AAAATTAACCAGATGTGGTGGTACATGCCTGTAATCCCAACTACCAGAGAGGCTGAGGCACAAGAATCATTTGAACCTGGAACGGGGAGGTTGCAATGAACTGAGATCACACCACTGCACTCCAGCCTGTGGGATAGAGTGATAGAGCGAAACTCTATCTCAAAAAAACAAACAAACAAACAAAAAACTTATTGTGTCTCCCTAGCACTAACTAGAGTAAAAATCAAACAGACCAATTCCTTCCAGACTGATATTTTGGAAATTAAAATGTCAAAAATGTAATGAAATTCAGCTGGTAAAGTCAACCTTGATATATTTGTTATATATTTTTCAGGAAAGTCTGATTGAGGAGGAAACTGGGCAGAAGAAGATTTAAATCCACTGGGCTGGAAGGAGTCACCATTACTAACGTGACTAAAGTATAATTCTGACATTGACATTTATAACCCACGAAATACCTGTAAATTGTCTTAATTTCAGTAATCCTTATACCAAGTCACACACATTCCATAATAAAGTGCTGTGCTGTGAATTAAGTGGCGTACATGTTAAATCTTTCTCCAACTCAGAACTCTGGGGGAAGGGGCACTATAAGCCCACCAAAGGGAGCCCTCCACGTGTATATACAGGTGGCAGAGGGGAAGGCAGATGAGATAAAGTGTCTGTTATTAACAAAAGAGATCTCAGGCTCCCTCAAAAAGGAAAAGACTTATGCTAAGAAATTTGAACAGGGGCGAGAAACATCCCGGGGAGGGGGGAACCACCCCTTTTTAACGCAAATATTTGCTACAGTACAATGATCAATTTCCCAAATACCTTCATTGGAAGAGTCTCTAAAGTGGAATCAAATAATTTCTTCACTCCGTCTTTAGTAAAATTAGGCAATGATGTGATCCACAATCTGCTTTATGAAACAAAAGCAAAACTGCCTTATTAATACATGTGAGCAAGATGAGAGGCTTCCATTAGCTAATTACTCAGTGACTTTTTTTAAATGAAAACAATATACTTTACAATCTTCACATTACTTAACACATTAACAAAAAGCAACACACTCACTTAACTTACACATCTGCTTGAAGCATCGGATTTCCCTAGCCAAAGTTAGTCTTTGGGACAATTTTTTAGGGGCAGCTGCGAGCCTCCCTTGAATGGGATAAAAAGATGCTCATCCAACTGCCTGATGCTGATGTTAAGAGACTTTCAGGAGGTACCCTTGATTCTCAAATGGTCCAAATGACTAAGGAGGAGGAGGAGAGTGAAAATGGCCCCTGCGGAGCTGAGCGTGGTAGCTCACACCAGCACCTAAGCTGAGCGTGGTAGCTCACACCTAAGCTCATACCTTAGGGAGCTGAGGCGCAAGGCTTGCTTGAGCCCAGTTTGAGGCTGCAGTGAGCCATGACTGCAACTCTGACTAGCTTGGGCAACAAAGCGAGACTCCATCTGAAAACTGAAAATGGTCTCCTTACAGAAATCATAAACTCTTCCCTGAATCTGAATAACTCTAACTCATCAATGTAGCTTTAAGGAACAACAACAACAAAAAAAACCCTAAGCCTTTTATCATAAAGGGTAGGGAAATATATCAAATGATACATTTAATGAAATGAGTTCTCAAATGTATACGGCTTTAAATGATCAAGTAGTAAAAAGAATGGTTTGAAAATAGTTCTATTATAGCAAAACTTTTAGAATTTGCAGTACCTTACAGATGATTACAAAAAAGCCAAGAATCACTACATAAGATAATAGCACTTAGATCTGGACAGAGAAAGACATAGTATTTCTCTCTGGAGATCCTAGAGCCAAAAGATTACCCAGGTCTGCCAATTTAGTATTTAGGGCCCAAATGCTAGGGTAAAGAAGCAGTGATTCTTATAAATTACATGAATGCAGTGAAGCATTAGTGCTTCTAAAAAGCAAAGCACTGGAACACATTTTTTTTTTTTTTTTTTTTGAAATAGGATCTCACTTTGTCACCCAGGCTGGAGTACAGTGGCATAATCATAGCTCACTGTAGGCTTGACCTCCTGGGCTCAAATGATTCTCCCACTTCAGCCTCCCAAGTAGCTGGGACTACAGGCATGCATCACCACGCATAGCTAATTTTTATTTTTTGTAGAGACGGGGTCTTACTCTGTCGCCCAGGCTGGAGTGCAGTGCCATGATCATGACTGACTGCAGGGTTGACCTCCCAGGCTTAAGCGATCCTCCTACCTCAGCCTCCCAAGTAGCTGGGAGTATAGGCATGCACGACTGTGACAGCTAATTTTTTAAAATTTTTTGAGGAAACAGGGTCTCACTCTGTCACCCAGGCTGGAGTCCAGTGGCATGATCAGGGCTCGCTATTGCCTCGACCTCTGGGGCTTAAGCAATCCTCCTGCCTTGGCTTCCCAAAGGGCTGAAATTACAGGCTTGAGCCACCGCTCCTGAACAGAACAGGAGTGGTATTTTTTTTTTCTTGGGGGGAAAAAAATCATAAGCATAAGCTCAGGACTAAACAGTGGTGCTAATAAAGGTGTGACTGCCCCTTCCCTCTTTCCAACTTGACCCACTACTAGCAAGGGATTTTATGAAACACACCTTAAATACCAATTTTCTGAAGTCTTATTTCCTTTATGTGGTGGTTTTTCAACCTTGGCCTAATACTGGAATAATATGGGAGGGACTTTAAAGAAATATGGATGCCACGATCTTACTCCCCATCCTCAGAAATGCTGATATAATTGGTCTGGGAGTGGCCTCTCCACAGGTGATACAAACATTTAACCATTTTAGAACCAGTTCCTATCATTTTCATCTAACTTATTTCATGTAAGATATCCCCTTTAACCTTTTTATTTCTCTCTTTACTTGTCTAAATATCTCTGAGGAATGGGTAAAGAACAGAACCTATGTACATTAAATGAAATGCTATCAGAAAATTGTCATGCAGGATGGCAAAAAAATAGTTGGAAGGGGTGAAAAGAACCAAGTGGTTTGTAATTTTTCTTATTTCCGAGCAAAGATGACTCTGGGACCCCACAGTGCAGGTTTAACCTAACAGGACCTGTAAGGAAACAAGCCAGAAAAATGCTGGGTGTAATGTGTCGTGAAGGAGGCATGCATAAGGAAAAACTGCAAAGTTTAGGAATGAGTTCATTTCATTAAAATAAGGGCAATAACAAACTAAACACACAATAAACTTTAAAATACATTTCCATTTTTAATTTAAAAAATAAATAACAGCAAATCTGAACAAAATCTTCCTACTTCAATGCACATCTTCTTAACTGTCCATGTTTGAAACCCAGCTAGTAACAAAATCATGGCAAAGGCATTTTTGACAAAGTTTAGATGAACAACTCACAAAATATGGCGAATAGTTGAATTTGAACAGCTGATACTGCAGATCAGCCCTGGCTAGATCCTAGGCGTCAGAGTGTAGTCCTGAATTTCCTTTTGTAGATTAGAATTGATGGTTTGACTCTCAACCCACCCAAACAGAAACTTACCTTTTCCAATTTAATTGTAAAAGCCAGACACTGCGACTTCTGACTCCCTGGTTCAACAGATTCTCCTAAATTCTCAGCCTCCCAGTAGCGGTGATTACAGGCATGTGCCACCATGCCCAGCTAATTTTTGTATTTTTAGTAGAGGCGGGGTTTCAGCATGTTGGCCAGGATGGTCTCGATCTTCTGATCTCATGATCCGCCTACCTCAGCCTCTCAAAGGATTACAGGCATGAGCCAAAATTAGAAATCAGCCAGTGACATAGGGGCAACTAGAGGAGAAGGACTCTTTCAGCTTGCAAAGAGTAAACAAAGGTAGATTGTTGTCTCAAATCCTGCTTTACATCTTCTTTTTCATTATGAATTTGCAGTGTGGCTAGTTTTTTTTTTTTTTTTTTGAGACGGAGTTTCACTCATGTTACCCAGGCTGGAGTGCAATGGCGCGATCTCGGCTCACCGCAACCTCCGCCTCCTGGGTTCAGGCAATTCTCCTGCCTCAGCCTCCTGAGTCGCTGGGATTACAGGCACGCACCACCATGCCCAGCTAATTTTTTGTATCTTTAGTAGAGACGGGGTTTCACCATGTTGACCAGGATGGTCTCGATCTCTTGACCTCGTGATCCACCCGCCTCGGCCTCCCAAAGTGCTGGGATTACAGGCTTGAGCCACCGCGCCCGGCCTGAGTGTGGCTAGTTTTTAATGGGTTTTCCTGGCAGGAGAAAATGACTGCAATTCCGGAATCAAAAGGTTAAGGTGAAGCAGGAGGAAGCACCCCATGGCCCAGCAATCTTATTTAGGGTTTCGTTTTCATCTGGTACCACTCCAGTTCCAATCCTACAGCACACCAGAGTGAACTGTCTTTGTATATTTGAACACACTCAACTGCTACAAATCAAGGGCGAGTACCATGACTGGCATTCCATAAGAACTTGATATATGTTGAATAAAACAATTCTTTTTAAAAAGTCTCAAAGCAAGACAAGTCACTAGAACAGAGATAGAGGAAAAAAAGCTGTAAAAACAACACCTCCAACCATACACCAGTATTCACAAAAGTGGTGGTAATTTTAGGGCTCATTTCAATGTCTTTCAATGCTCTAGAGAGTTCTTAGCAAGAAAAACAAAGATCAAGTCTCTTTTTTCCTCCCTGCTCCTTATCTCTCTATATTCAATGTAATCATGAGGTGTTTCTTTGCAGTCCTCCTCTTTGACTTCAGGACAGGCATTACTTACAACTTTTTGTCAAATTTGACTTCCTACCCAACAGCTTCCCCAAAAAATGAACCTTCCATCATCCGCTGTAATCTCTTAGTCACAACACTTCCTGGAATCCCTTTTGTTCAGGCAGGAGAGAGCTATTTCCATTAAGGTAGAAAGGGAATCACATGGAATAGCATGTTCTATTAAAAAAAGAAGGTATCCAGATGTATCCTAGCTTCCCAGCCTCTGCTCAAAGACCAGGCTGTGGGATTCACTTTTACTGCTGTGGAAGGACAGCCTTGAGGTTTGTTTTTTTTGGTGACCCAGTTTATATCTTTCTATTTTAATGGCAGCCTGTAAAATAGACTGTGGTACAAATGCCCCCAAGCCGGTCTGCTGAGTGACTTCTCAGAAGTCGTGCCAGGCTCTAGGTAAGCCCTACCTGTCCTTTCTGTTGGCTCCTCCTTTCTCTACAGCTTAAGTTCTTTCCATGTAAAATCCTCTTGAGTTCTTATCAAGTTTGTCTCTAGTCATAAATAATCATGTAAAAGACTCCAAAGGAAACCACCACTTGGAGAAGGACCACATGTGCAGAACTACCTGGCACTCACATTCCAAACTACCTTGGAAGAAAAAAAAAAAGTATCAGTAATGCTCTTAGAAAGTTCCAGTTCTTACTCAGGCCTAGCAGAGAAAAGCAAGGACCATCATGTGAGTCTCTCTTCCCGTATTTCATCTCACTAAAACCTCACAACAACTCACGCAGGAGGCATTATCCCCATTCTGAAAGGTAACAAAATGAAGATTCTGATAATCTCAAATAATTTCTGTTTGTTTGCAAAGTTAATAGATGTCATAGCTGGGATGTGAAACCAAATGGGTTTAATTCCAAAGCCAGTCATATTTCCATGCTAGCACACTGAAGGTTCTCCTGGGTGGGGGTAAAGGGTCACCTTTTCCACACCCCTTCTAAAATCTGCATACATTTCTGAAGTAACACCCTGGACACATCTGAAAGCTTTCTGCTTCCTTGCCCTTTGTGATGAACTGAAAGGGTGGCGGTGAAACAGGAAACACAGGGAATCAGGCAGGCAAATGCCAGCTCTGACAGCGGAAATCTCTTTCTCTGCTCTCTTCACTTCCTTAGTGCAAAGGACTCTGGGCAAGGTTGTGGAAGAGACCACTATCGAGCTTCGCCCAGTGATGGCCTTTGGATTCACAGTCAAAAAGCTTTCTGCTTTGCCACAAATATCTCAGTTGCATAGAAATATCTGGGACATTTCAAATATTGTTCCAACCGGGAGTAAATATTAAAGAGTTTGTCACGAGTTGTCTTCTAGAAGTTACCTGGGTATAGTCTAATTCAGCAAGCTGGGTTATTAGAATCTGTAGTACAGTTTTCTGTGTGTAGCCTCAATTTCCTTACCTACTAAGTAAGGGGCTGGCTGGTTGATCTTTGAGGCTTCCAGCTCCAAACGTCTCAAACTTCATGTGGCTATGTATGTATGTAATATTTGGTCACCTAAATCACTCCATTTTTTTCTTCTGAAAGGAATACGATTAGTACCATTAGCAAGTAATCAAATTAATTCCACAATCAAGAGGAATAAATAATGGAAGGGAGATATTGCACTGTATTCTCCAGGGTAAAATCAGGTAGCAGATGGGGCTGCTGAGTCATCCAAACTGGGTCTGGAAAAGAAGCTGCTGAATCCGACTGCTAAGTCCCTTGTAGCCAGTGATTTGCGCTCAGAGGAGGTTACAGGACAAAAAAACCGCATGTGCAAAAGGAAGAGCTTCAAAGAAGTCCATAGGGAAGGAGTGGCTGCAGTGCGTGGAAGGCGATTAGTCAGCAAAGTGGTGGGAGAGGGAGACAACAGCTGTCCCGTGCCGCAAGAAGATGGAAGATGGGAGGACGCAAGAACTCAGGGCTCACATGTGAGTCCATGCTCTTTCAATAATGACAGCCACACGTACCTGAAAGCAGCCGATCTCCATTAAAAACGTGTGTTCTTTTCCTCAAAGGAGACACAGTCGACATCAGAAAGATATGATTATTTCAGCTACCAAAGTGTATTTGATGTCCATATCTTCCAAGATACAATATAGGATGGGATGGATGTGTTTGCACGAGAAAAATACCTAAGTCTCAAGCACAGCTTTCCATAAGCAAAGCAAAAAATCCTTCCAAGCAGTAGATTACAGGCGTTGCTCCACCATCAGTGTGGAAGAACTCGTCCAGGCTTGTGCAGACCACCATGTCTCTGCGGTACAGGCTGACATTTAACAATGGTGAATGCGATCTCTTCTTTGAAAAATTCAGAGGATGTGGCTGTTCTGGAATTCCATGTGGACTGGAAGGGAGGTGACATGGCCTCAAACATCTATCAAAGAGAAGTGTTTGGAAGAACAACTGGTTTTGAGCTGGTAAACATCATCCCAGATCAGGAAACGCAGTCAGCAGGGAGCCCTGTGGAATGAGGACACTGGCTGGAGGCCAGTTCTCAGGCAGCAGCTGTCTAAGGCACTCTGTATGCATCCCCTTACTGGGATGCAGACTGGGAAGTAGGGATGCCGGACTTCCGAGCCTTTGGAGGTGGAGGAGGTGGTGCTTTCGCTTCTCTTCGGACAGGCAGTGGGGGAGCGAGCTGCAGGAGCAGAAACAGAAAATTAGAAGCAGGTCTTAGTTTTCTTCCCAACTCTGCCTTTTCCTCCTAGTTCCCACATTCTGCTTTAGCTTCTTATTGATCTGAGTTTATCTACCCAAGCTTTGCAAGGTGAAATGGAAAACTATACTCATTTGTCCTCGTTTCCCATGAGCTAATCAGACATACACACACACACACACACACACACACACACACACACACACACACAATTGCACTCCAGCCTGGGCGACAGAGCCAGACCCTGCCCCCACCCCCACTCCAACCCCCCAAAAAAGTGAACCAGGACTCACAACTTATTTCACAGGTACCCAGGATGAGGTACAGAGAACACTTGCTCTACCTTTATCATCTGCTTGAATGTCTGTCCTTCCCACTGAAAACTTCTCTATCGCTTGTGGTTTCAGGAATGAGCCAAGAATCAACTGCAGCGACAGGTCTATGAGCAAGCTTGCCCACTAGAAAGCCTGGAAAACCCGATGCTGCCTGCCAGGAGTGGCACTCCCTGGCCATAGTTGCCAGCTGTGGTTTCCCTACCTCAGTGGAGTTCCTCTGGCTGCCCTCATAGGGCTTGCTTTTAGGGGGAGGCGGCGGTGGGACGAGAGTGGCTGCAAGTCCATCTGTCTGCAACGATGGGGAACCTAGAAAGGACACAAAGGGCACACGGGCAGAGAGAGGCACTGAGCAAGGAAACTCACAGAAACGCTGCTGGCACCGTAACACCTAAGCCAACCTGGTCAACCCACTTGTGAAAGCCACATTCTGTGGTTTCTGTGGATAGAATGAAGATTTCTCACCCCACATTACACAGGTAATGCCCTTGCCAGAAAGTTTCAAGAGCTTCACAAGATGTTCTGAAGCAAACACTTTATTTTTTCTTCAGGGTTTTGCAATTAAGCTAAAGATAAGAACATTTTCTGGAACGTATGGTATTATTCTGTTTTCTGATAGAGCCCAAGTGCTTAGGAAAATATTCACTTCCTCCAGGAAACTGTAACTGATTAACTCCTGGTTGACAACTGTCTCCCATCTGGCTCTGAGAAACCTATCCCTCCACCATGTCTCTGGACAATGGGCGCCTTGCAATTCTTCTCAAGTGTTGTGCACTGCTGGCTCCTCAAGCCAGACTGTAAGCAGTAGATGGAATGGGTCTATTTCTAGTCCCTGTTGAGGTCTACCTAACCTACCGGTTAGCTTGTAAGTTACTTGTTATCTGTCTAGTCCTAGAGCAGATCTGTCTTATTTATACCTTCACAATTATAAAATGGACCCTAACGCCCTTTGGATCACTCTCCAGAAAAGTTGTTTTTGTTTTTTTTTTTGAGACCGAGTCTTGCTCTGTCGCCCAGGCTGGAGTGCAGTGGTGCAATTTCCATTCATTACAACCTCCGCCTCCCGGGTTCAAGCAATTCTCCTGTCTCAGCCTCCTGAGTAGCTGGGATCACAGGCACACACTACCACACCTGGCTTGAGGTCCCTCCATGTTGGCGAGTCTGGTCTCAAACACCTGACCTTGTGATCTACCCACCACAGCCTCCCAATGTGCAGGGATTACAGGCGTGAGCCACTATGCCCGGCTTACTCAGAAAAGTTTAATGAGTCCTAGTGGCCACCTTGCCAAACTCCAGTCCAACTGTATTATACCCACAACCACTGAATTGAACCAGTTTTACAATGGCCTTACATATGTGGTGGCTGGTTTAGTTACAGACTGCCCAGATTCATACACATACTCCATACCCTAGTGAAAAGACTGTAAGGGATATAGGAAAACTTACTTAGGGTCCTAGTGGCTTTGGGAGTGAGTGGAGGTGGTCTCAAGGGTGTTGACTGAGGAGGTGAAGAACCGTGAAATGGTGATAGCCGATTATCTACCAACTGGAGACTCTTTGGCCTTTGTGCTTTTTTGGCTGGGCTCTAGAACCAGAGAGAAAAAGAGAGCAAAACATTTTCACGGTGAGGAAGGCTGAGCTCAACAATACTCTCATCAGCCTTGTCTTCTGAGCAGACACTTGGAAAGGACTTAACTCAAGGAGCGATTTTTAAACTTGCTACATTGTCATATGGTGGGCACCACCAACCAGGCACTAACTAGAACCACTGAACCACAGATGATTTCCTGGCTGGCCACAGGCCTGATTTCCATCATAGTTGGACTGTGTCACTTAAGTTGGAAATTAGCCACCCTGACTCTCAGGAAAAGGTGGTCTTCCCACATTTAACAACTTGATGTGGCTTATGGAAGAAAAATACCTTTTTAAAAAATTAAAGGAGAGAAATGACAATGTTTGCACTGACTCAGGGGACAGAGTGGTGAGAACCACGGCTCTAAGTATCAACCCACGTGTTTACATTGTGGGTACAAGATCTTCAGTGATACTGATTTATGGACTGGAGCTCCTTGGAATGTGCCTTCCTTACCACAACCTGCGGTCTATCACTAACCCAGGCTGCTGAGTCCTGAGACAAGCCACAGCCCAGCTTCAATCTGGGAGGGGATGGTGATGTGCCTGGATCCAGGGAAGGTGGGGGCAAGCCTCCAGAGATTTATTTTTCTCTTTTTTATTTTTTTACCATCAAATCAGGTTCTGGCGCTTTCTCTGCAATGACCTGGGACTTGCTCAGACTCCAGTCTTTTCTCTTACACTTGCTGATTCGGTTCTCGCTGCTCTCCTCTTTGAGGGACAGATCTTCAGCTCTGGCCCCTGATGAGGCCCTGCGCTCCAAAAGTGGCTCCAAGATTGAGCTATTGGCCAGGAACAAGGACAAACATCACGAACACTGATCACCTTGCAATCAAAATTCACGATGAAAGTACAAGCAGTTATGACTCTTCAGCCTACCTTCCTTTTCTTTTGAGAAAGGGTCTTACTCCCATCAGTCAGGCTGGAATGCAGTGGTGGGATCACAGCTCACTACAGCCTTGACTTCTGAGTAGCTGGGACTGCAGGTGTGCACCACCATGCCCAGCTAATATTTTTTTTTTTTTTGAGACGGAGTCTTGCTCTGTCACCCAGGCTAGAGTGCAGTGGCATGATCTCGGCTCACTGCAACCTCCACCTCCCGAATTCAAGTGATTCTCCTACCTCAGCCTCCTGAGTAGCTGGGACTACAGGCATGCGCCACCACTCTAGGCTAATTTTTGTATTCTTCAGTAGAGATGAGGTATCACCACATTGGTCAAGCTGGTCTCTATCTTTAGACCTCATGATCTGCCCACCTCAACCTCCCAAAGTGCTGGGATTACAGGTGTGAGCCACCACACCTGGCCAATTTTTTGTATTTTTATTTTTTTTAGTAGGGATGGGGTTTCACCATGTTGCCCAGGCTGGTCTCAAACTCCTGGGCTCAAGTGATCCTCCTACCTCGGCCCTCCCAAAGTGCTAAGACTAGAGGCATGGACCTACGACTTCACTCTGATTCGAAATCTAAATTTTTAGTTACACGTGAACAAACATCTCAAGGTGTTAATGTACAGAAACAAGACCATCAGATGACTGGACGAAAATATTAGTGAGTATCTTATCCCAGGAAGAGAAGGTCTTAATTCAAATTTACAGACAAAGACAGAATCCTCAAAGTAAGAGATTCAATAGGCGTCTTTATATAGTGGGTAACAGCACAACTCTGGAGCCAGAAAGCCTGTGTTCAAATCCTACCCACAAACTACATACTACTAGCATGTAGTAATCTAGATGACTATATTCTAGAAGTAATCCCAGCACTTCTAAGAATGCATCCTAACTAATAGGAAAGCTACATGTACAAATATGTTTGCTACAGTTTTTAATAAAAATATATTCTACACTGATACAAGTTACATATTTTGTATTAAAGTCTATAATGAAGTTTTTCTTTATAAAGGATACAGCTTAAATATTCTATAGTAGGAGAAGAATTAATCATGGCACATTTGTATGATATAATGTCCACTGCCATCAAACATGATGGTACAAACTGATAATAATCAAGATTACACAGCAACATGAAAAATGCTTGTAATAAAAAGATGAGAAGAGAACAGCAAAGTACCAAACTTATATCTATGCTATAATTGGAACTATGTAAAGATATGTATATCAACGAAAAGGATGTATAAACAATTTAAGAAATACTACATATTTGATTTCCAGGCAGGATGGCATTCAGGTAGGTTATTTTTATGATGTAAATATTACACTACGGAATTAAACATTTGTGAATAAATGGTGAGTCAACTGGTGACTTATATTCAACACTATCTTAAATACTTAATGATTTATAAATGCTCATCACCTAGATCCTATTAAGCAGTATGCCACAAAAGGATAGATGCAATGCTTTTCTACTTGTATAAAAAGTAAACATACTTTTTTTGGTGTTATATAACTGAACTTTAACAGTGGTTATCTTTGAGTGACGAAGTTATAAAGCATTGTTTTCTTTTAAAAGTTTCCAGTACTTTAGCAATATATTATTTAAAAATAGTAATCTCAGGCAGAAAGAACACGACTATAAATTAACTGCTTTCAAATATTTTAAATTTGAACATACGGAAAAGCGTTTTATGTTTCTGGCAAGGAAGCCTCAGCATCAAAAAACCATCAGTCTTCCTAAAGTTGGTCCATACATTTAACATGATCCTAATATAAAAAGTAATAGGTTTCTGGACAATATCCAACAGCAACACTAGCAATGAGCAACACTGGCAGATTACATTCTGAAAAGGAATATTAGAAAATAAAAAATGTTTTATATCTATAGTAATTAAGATTGCATAATACTGATACATGAATAGACAGGTAAATCCAAGAAATAGAAAAAAAAAAGTCCACAAACAGACTAAAGAGTATGTAGAAATTTAATTTGTTATGATTGACATTAAAAAAAATAAAGATGACTTGCTCACTAAATGTTTTAAGAACTGAGCAGCCATTTGGAAATAAACATGTTGGCCCCATACCTAACATCTTATACTAGAATGAATTCCAAAGGATTACATACAAAATTGTGAACAGTGAAATCCTAAAAGTCAATGGAAAAAAACCAATATGTTTTTTGTTATCTTAGAGTGGGAAAGAGCTTTAATTGTGAAATAAAATGCAGAATTCATAAAATAAAAAATTGATTATATGACCATATAAAAAAAATCAGCACAACTCGGTAACAAATTAGAAGCAACAAATTAGAAGTCAAAAGATGGAGGAGAACTGGGAGAAAATATTTCCACTTATTTCACAGAAAAAGGGCCAACAATTCAACAGAAAAAAGTATCTGACCACAGGTCACAGGAAATAAAACATACACAGATGAAAAGAGGTTCCACTTCAGGCCAAACAAGAGAATAAACAAAAACCAGAAAACAAACAAACCAAAAATCTATACAAGAAAACATTTTCTACCTACCAGATTGGTAACATTTAAAAAGACTGAGTACAGTTTGGGGGCTATGGTGTGAGTAACTAGGCACTCCTGTGTGTCACTGGTGGAGTGTAAACTGGTATAATCTTCATGGAAGTCGGTTTAGGAATAATTTTCAAAATTGCAGATATACATCTTTGACAGAGAAATTTCATCTGTGGGATTCTTTTCCCATATTGATATACTTGTATATGTACAAAATAACTTGTATTTAAGGTTATTCACTGTCACGCTCAAGCGACAGTGATAGACTGAAACCAACTACATGACCATCAGTAGGCAATGGTAGAATATACAGGTTGAATACAGGTATTGATCGACCTACGACCTATGCAACTTACGACCATTCGACTTTACGACCACAATCGCTAGCCACGACTGCTCCGCGTCTGGCAGCACAAACGTTGCCCAGCTGGGCGTATGACAGTGCGGACAAGCTTCCGTCAGCACTACCATCTCCGCATGCATATAGCCTGCTCAACTTACAATCAAATTGTGTTACGACCAGTCTGTCGGAACCAATCGTGGTGGTAAGTTGAGCACTAGCTGTATCTCTAATCCCAAAATCCAAAATGCTCCAAAATGGGAAGCATTTAAATGCTGACATGACGCTATAAAGAAATGCTTACTGGAATATTTCAGGTTTGGGGTTTTGGGATTAGGGATGCTGAACTGGTGTTATACCAACATCCAAAAATCCTAAAACAAATGAAATCCAAAACACTTCTGGTCCCAAGCATTGTGGATGAGGGATACTTTACCTGTATCGTGCCACATACATATAATGAGATATATAGTTACAGAAAGATAAAGAGGGGGCTTTTTATGTTCTGAAACAGAGTGAGTTTCACGATATTACAGCAAATGAAAAAAGCAAAGTAAATTCTACCATTCATATAAAAAAAGTGTGGGGAAGAAAATATAATTAGGCGATGCTTGTGAACCTATACATAGCTGCCATGGGGTACCAAGAACCTGAATGTCAGCATCATTTGGCTCTGGGGGGTTCTATGAGTGGGAATGCTGGGGTTAAAAGGAGATTCGTTGTTATATATCCTTTGGTACTTTTGGAATTTCGTATCATGTGATTATAAAACCTATTCATAAAATAAATATAAAAATTTATTTTTTAAAATGGAAATGAAAAAAATAGGTAATGACTATAGGTATGTAATAGTGTGGTGAGACTATGGGTGTTTTTTTGTCATTTTTCATTTTTACTAACTGCTATTATTCTGCTAATTGTGACATTCCTCATTAGGGAAACAATGGGAATGACCCAAAGGCTATTTTTCTTAAATGGGGTGATGTGTGGCTAAAGGCAAACATTAGTAAGTCATTACCCCACCCTCCCTGCAGCTGAAAGATCAAACCCTTACCCATCAGATCCCGGTCTGGAAGGAGCATTGTCAGATGAGTTTGAAGAGGTGGAAACCACAGAGGAAGTGACTGAGGTGATGGACAACCTCCGCAGAGTGGAAGACATGATGTAGGGGAGCACAATAGACCCTGTGCGGCTTTGCTTCCTCTCCGTCAAGTTGGATGGCTGAAAATACACAACTCCAAAGGGTTAATGTGCCTGGAATTCAGCCCCTATGAACTGGCGCAGCTGCCCTGTTTGCTTGTGGCGAACCAGTACCCATCTTTATTGGCTGGCACTCAGTTCTGATGGGCTGGTGCCTGTGCTGCCTCTATTGTTAAATATTGCAGATATTGATATTGTTAGCTATGGGTACAACTTAGGTTAAACCTCTCGGATTCTAAGACTAGAGACAAAGTTGTCATAATTTTCTGCCACCTACATGAGAGAGGAAGAAATTAAGATGTTCCTTAGACTCTCCAATAAATAGCAAAACCTTCCATCTGCTTCCCCAGCTCAGCTTCTTTCAGCTTTTTAAAACATGCAATATTGGGGTAAGAGAAAATTTTTAGATTGACACCGCAGACATGCAGCTTAACCTGGTGAATCCTACGTTCTCTAGAAATGTCACCAGTAGGATTAGCCCCAGATGCCACCATATGAAACTGACTCACTAATACTGGCCTAGTTCTAATAATGACTAAGCTCATTAAATTGAAGACACAGTCTTTGCTGTCTAGGAATGTGTGTGCAAAAGAGAAACGCTCCTAGAAGAAACCCTTGAGTAGCAGAAGGTTAGGAGGCACAGTCTTAGGAAGAAGGCAGGACTGAGCACTGCGATGGCTGAAAGAGACGGTCAAAAGATGCCCTGGAGGAAACGGTACAGAAGATGGGCAGACAGCAAACAGGGAGAAAAGAACATGAAAAGAAACACAGAGCTTTGTTTGAGGAAATAGTATTAAAGTCAGGGGTTTAAGAATAAGACCATTACAGGGCTGGGCATACTGGCTCACATCTGTAATCTCAGCATTTTTGGAGGCTGAGGCAGGAGGATCACTTGAGTCTAGGAGTTCAAGATCAGCCTGGGCAACATAGCAAGACCCTATCTCTACAAAAAAATTTTAAAAATTAGCTGGGTGGAGCACACCTGTAGTCCTAGCCACTCAGGAGGCTGAGGTGGGAGGATGGCTTAAGCCTAGAAGTCGAGGCTGCAGTGAGCCATGATTGTGCCATTGTACTTCAGCCTGAGTGACAAAGAGAGAGTCTGTCTCAAAAATAAAAACAAAACAAAAAGAATAAGACCATTAAAGAGAACAGGATGAATTCAAAGAAAAAAATGCAGATAAGTAAAGCTGGAATGTATTGCACCATCACCCACTGGAGAGAAAAGGTTAGTACATGCACTATTCACTCAACTGCTCAGGAGGAGAAAAGAAAATTGTAGCTGTGAGGAGCTTGTCAAAAACAATTAGGAAAGCAGCTACAGGCATATGAAATGTAATTCATAATTGCTTCTTCCCTTCAGAGGCGTGAAAACTGTACACTTTTCATCAAAATAGATACAATTTCCTAAGATTAGGAAAAAATAGAAGAATTTGGCCAGACAGGACAAGAATAACCAGTGTCTGGGATTCAGAAAACTTGGGTTTTTTTTGTTTTGTTTTGTTTTGTTTTGAGACAGAGTCTCGCTCTGTTGCCCAGGCTGGAGTGCAATGGTGTGATCTCGGCTCAGTGCAACTTCCACCTCCCAGGTACACCTCCTGCTGTAGCCTTCTGAGTAGCTGGGACTACAGGTGCTCACCACCATGTCCAGCTAATTTTTTTGTATTTTTAGTAGAGACAGGGTTTCACCATGTTGGCAAGGCTGGTCTCAAACTCCCGGTCTCAAGTGATCAGCCCGGCTTGGCCCCTTTGTGCTAGGATTACAGGCGAGAGCCACTGCATCCCTAATTTCTAGTAGAGTGGTTTTGATTTCAGTAAAGTGGTTCTCAAAGCGTTGTCCCCAGACCAGCGGCATCAATATCTCCCAAGAACTTCTCAGAATTGCAAATACTTGGGCCCCACTCTGAGATCTGTGGAATCAAAAACTCCAGGGTTATGGCTCAGCCATCTGTATTTTCACAAGCACTCTGGGTGGTTCTGATGGTTGTTCAAGTTGGAGAACCTCTGTCCAGCACAAGGACTGTTCAAGGTCACCGAAGGGGAACATGTTGTCTCCCACCAGTCCCAGTATTTTCATGCCATACCTGAGCTGTCACAACTCATTTGGCATCTGAAAAACGAATCAGTATCGTAAAAGGTCAAGGAGACTAGAAAAAAGCATGATGGCCACTTAGATCATGCTTACCAGTGTTATAACCCCATAGCGCTTTTCTACTTTCTCCTTGAGTTCTCGGAAGCAAGAAGACAACCGCTCATGCAGCGGCTTCAGCTGCTCCGTCAGCTTCTCCCCATGGATGCGGATCCCTTCCATGAGCAGGGGCATCTGGAAAGAAGGGCAAACAAGGAGTGAAATGTGCTTTGAGAAGAGGAATCGTTTTGATGTGGTTGGGGAAGGGAGGGAGGTGGTGGACAGGTAAACTGGTAGACATAGTGCTGGGCTATGGGAAGGCCGCTTCTCAGTGTAGGGCTTGTGGCCTGGTTGGACTTTGGTCAAGGATGTGGGAAAATGTACACACCAAGAATATAGGTTGGCCCTAAACTGGGGAAGGGCTGCTGGATGAGGCAAATCTAACAGAGCCCTGGGGCACTTCCATGGATGAGCAACTGATAGGTTTAAGTCTTAGACCCAATTTGATAGTCATTTTTTCTACCACTGCCCCCTGAAGTCATGAGAGAAAAAAATGAGGCTAGCATCTCAGCTGGAAACACATGCCAGGAAACCAAATGATGAACTTTTTTTTTTTTTTGAGATGCAGTCTCACTCTGTCGCCCAGGCTGGAGTGCAGTTGCGCGGTCTCGGCTCACTGCAACCTCCGCCTCCCAGGTTCAAATGATTCTCCTGCCTCAGCCTCCCGCATAGCTGGGATTACAGGCATGCACCACCATGCCCGACTAATTTTGTATTTTTAGAGACAGGGTTTCACCATGTTGGCCAGGCTGGTCTGGAACTCCTGACTTCAGGTGATCCACTCACCTCGGCCTCCCAAAGTGCTGGGATTACAGGCGTGAGCCACCAAGCCCAGCCCCAGCTGATGAACTTTCATCTCAGTTTTAAGAAGCCTCCGTCAACCCTGGGCAGTTTAACTGTCTGCCAAGCAAACAAATACATAGATAGGCTGTGGTTCCATAAGGGTTAAAGAAAGCAAAGTAACCCTGAGTGGGCTTGCTGACTTAAGCCCTGGGGAATACTGGGCGTCCCACACGGTCGCCTCCCCAGGCCTGTAGAGGAAAGTCGTCCTGTACCTGTAATGCTATGAGTCGCTTTAGCAGCTCAACTTTCTCCTGGTCTTCAGGATGTTCCTGCAAGTACTTTTCTGTAAAAAAAGCCTAAAGGCAGAGCATATGCAAGTATTAATTAGGACACATTCCTATCTGTGCAGGAAAGCCTGGAAGGGTGAAACATGTCTCCTGTGCTGAAGAACCAGGTGTGTCTAACTAAAAATGCATTCCTTTCCTGGGATAGCTCTTATACCATGTCGGGCAATGCAAAACAGTGTGTGCTATTGTGTGTTCTTTCCTTAATTAGCTAATTCTTAGCAAGACTACATTCTCGGCAGTCACCACCCCACCACACACACACGCTAATCAAATCATCGACATCAACAAAGCAAAATGTCATTCATTAAAAGAACTCTCCCAAAGAACAAAGCAAAGGCCAAATGACAATATCTCAAGGCCAATCACTAAATTAAGTGCATAGATATCATAAGGGAAAGAGTAAAAAGTTAACAAGCCATGCTTTTTTCCTATATTAAGTGAAGATTAATATCTGTACTTTCTTACTAATCACCTATCCCAAACGCCATTTTAAAAACAAAATGAGGCCAGGCGCGGTGGCTCACGCCTGTAATCCCAGCACTTTGGGAGGCCGAGGTGGGTGGATCACGAGGTCAAGAGATCAAGACCATCCTGGTCAACATGGTGAAACCCCGTCTCTACTAAAAATACAAAAAAATTAGCTGGGCATGGTGGCACATGCCTGTAATCCCAGCTACTCAGGGGGCTGAGGCAGGAGAATTGCCTGGACCCAGGAGGTGGAGGTTGCGGTGAGCCGAGATCACGCCATTGCACTCCAGCCTGCGGAACAAGAGCGAAACTCCGTCTCAAAAAAAAAAAAAAAAAAAATGAGATATACATGTGAAGACATTTCAAAAATATTAAATGCTTGTTGCCCTTATTATTACATACCAGCACCATGCTCGTCAGTAAACACTCATGACCCCCCCAGCTGAGTCCCTGTAACAGGTAAATAAAACCCAAAACTTTAATTCCAAACACAGGCCTTACCTAGGGTACTGTTTTAAAGAGATAATTTATTAGGAAAGAGAAATACAAGCTTGCAGTAAATGTTTCCAACAGGGTCCAAAATAGGACTGACATGTTTTCTTCTCAGATCTTAATGTTCATTTCTGAAAGTGCTTTCAAAGACCAGCCTTCAGATTCCCCCTTCGTCTTCTGCTTTACAGCCATGAAAGCCAACACCCGCCCTTCCCACTGGCCCACTATATAAAACCAAGAGCTCCTGGAACAACAGGACGGACTTACAAAGTGAATGGCCCACTTTGGTGGCAAACAAAATATGTGCAAAGTCTACCTTGTGGCCAAACATTATGGGTTGAATTACATCCCTGCCAAATTCCTATGTTGAAGTCCTATCCCCTGGTGCCTCAGAATGTGACCCTATTTGGATGTAGGGTTGTTGCAGGTTTAATTAGTTAAAAGGAGGTCATACATACTGGAGTAGGGTGGGGCCCTAAGCCCGTATGACTGGTGTCCTTATAAAATGGGGAAATTCAGAGACAGAAGTGCAAACATTAGGAGAACACCATGTGAAGAGATGCAAGAGGATGGCCACTGACAGGCTATGGCACATCCTCAAGCCATGGACCACCAAGAAGACACGGGAAGCCAGGAAGAGAGACATGAAATGTTCTCCCACAAATCCCTCAGAGGGAATCAACGCTGTGGCCACCTTGATTTCAGACCTCTTGCTCGCAGAAAAGTGAAACAAGAAATTTGTTGTTTTAAGCTACCCAGTTTGGAGGACTTTGTTACAGCAGCCCTAGCAAGCTAATGAAACAGAGAATCTGAATATGTAGGAAACAATGATGACAGAAAGAAGCATGATAATATCATGCATTAGCAAAACAGCTCATTCTAGCCAGAGTCGTATTTAGAGGGACTGTTGGTATAAATGACAAAGGAATATTTACTTGGCTCTTCTTTGACTTTTACCTTTCAAGCACAAGCACTTGAAATTTTTGAAAGTTATAATCATTGTTTTTTGATAAATGATAAAATACATGGAAATTTTCCAAGTATTGGGTAGATCAGGAAACACTGGAGCAGAGTGCCCTGAATTTCATTTTTCTAGCAGAGCTGTGCCTCAGAACAGAAAGGGTGATGAATTACAGCACACAGCTCCTGTGTTCTTAACACCTTGACGATGAATAAAGAGCTTGTTTAGAATATTTACTTACATCAAATATATAATGATGAGCTTCCCAATTGATTGCAATACGTCATGGTGATTAGTGAGTTGAACTTTTTCTTACGTTTAGAAACGTGCAGTCATACATATTAATTAAATGAATACCTTAGTATTTTAAGCCAAAGGTCCTGAAATGTATTTATTTATTTATATATCCTTGCTTTTTTTTCACTTTAATTAGAACACTGTCACACTGGAAAAGCTTCATATGAAATTATGTATTTTATTCACAGATATTGGCATATACAAATCTGTGATCGGGGGTATTTTGTTAAAATTAATACTTGGAAAAAACACATGAAGATTAGTACCAAAGACTACGTATAAAAAGTACATACTGAAAGCACTACAGTATGTAAAAAGTACTTTTATTTAAAAATATTAATATATTAAATATTTAAAATATTTAAACATTTAAGATATTTAAATATTTTTAAAATCTTAGATCCTGTTTTTATATTGACTGCCACTGTAACACTGGATATTACTATGGCACCTAACATGGACAAATCAGAATTTCTGTCTGGTGTGGAGTCCTTCCCAGCTGCTGAGTATCGTAAGGCTAGAGAAGGCTGAAAGGCTGGGAAAAAGGGTAAGAAAGATGATCGTAGTGGCAGCCACAGAGGACAGAGTCACCACCTATGAAGAGCATTCAAATTATACCAGCTGCTCCAAGTAGGCAGGAGGAGGCCGGAAGAAAACCAAGACTGGCAAAGCCTTGACTCTGTGCCAAGCACTGTCTCATGCTCCTTTTATAAAGGATGTCTCCCTTAATCTTCCAGTCCATCCTGTGATCTACCTTTTGAGTCAGGCATTTTTCTTTCTTCTTTTTTTTTTTTAGATGAAGTGCTGTTCTGCCACCCAGGCTGGAGTTCAGTGGTGCTACCTTGGCTCACTGCAGCCTCCGACTCCCAGTTTCAACAATTCTCGTGCCTCAGCCTCTCGAGTAGCTGAGATTACAGGCACCCACCATCATATCCAGCTAACTTTTTGTTATTTTTATTCAAGACAGGGTTTCACCAAGTTGGCCAGGCTGGTCTTGAGCTCCTGGCCTCAGGTGATCCTCCCACCTTGGCCTCCCAAAGTGGTGGGATGACAGGTATGAGCCACTGCGCCTGGCCACGTCAGGCATTATTCTCACTTTGCAGATATGTGGAGCTCAGAGAGATGAAGCATGCTGCCAAGAGCACACAGTGGCCAATGGGAAGCATTGGGTTCGGGAAGCAACTGAGTGTAAAGCCCTGCTCTTCCCAGGACACACACACACACACACACACACACACAGACACAAGAGCGCCACCCAGTTAATGCTGTTTGCCATTCCCCTCTGGCTGCTTTAATTTCTACCAACTCTCCAGGCAGCTCCATAAAGGTCTCCTTTGCCAAATGTGGATTTATATCTAAAAAGTTTATATTCAAAAAATATTTAGCCACTGAAAACATACCACAGCAATGAAAAATTCTGCCTCTATCAGTTATACTTAACATACACTGAATGCAGGATGGGTATTTTAAATGCTGTCACATCCTAACCTTATGTCATGGATTAAACTGTGCTGAGTGCTGCTTACATGTCTCAACTAAGAATACTTAGTTGAACTAATTTAATTGTAGAGCTAGGGCCATCAGTTGTCCATACAGCCTCTGCCACACCAAGTCAGGGCAGGGATCTTAGAAGCTAATTCTGCTGCCCAGGCTGGAATGCAGTGGCACAATCTTGGCTTACTGCAATCGTCGCCTCCGGGGTTAAAAGCAATTCTCGTGCCTCAGCCTTCTGAGTAGCTTGGACTACAAGTTCATGTTACCATGCCTGGCTAATTTTTGTATTTTTAGTAGAGACACGGTTTCACCATGTTGGCTAGCCTGGTCTCAAGTTCCTGACCTCAAGTGATCTAACTGCCTTGGCCTCCCTAAGTGATGGGATTACAGGTATGAACCACTGCTGTGCCCAGCCCCTAGAAGCTAATTTTTTTTTTTGAGACAGAGTCTTGTTCTGTTGCCAGGTGCCAGGCTGGAGTGCAGTGGCACAATCTTGGCTCACTGCAATCTCCGCTTCCTGGGTTCAAGCAATTATCCTGCCTCAGCCTCTGGAGTAGCTGGGACTGCAGGCGCACACCACCACGCCCAGCTTATTTTTGTATTTTTTTAGTAGAGACGGGGTTTCACCATGTTGGCCAGGATGGTCTAGATCTCTTGACCTCGTGATCCACCTGACTTGGAAGTGCTGGGATTACAAGTGTGAGCCACTGTGCCCGGCCCCTAGAAGCTAATTCTAAAGAGACTGTGGCTCTGCCATCCCCGGAGACGCTGCTCCATTTCCAGTGTGTCCTGGGTTCTAAGGTCCACCCATTAGCTTTAAACCGCTCAGGAGAGACAGACTAACAGGTGCATTGACCAGAGGTATATTGGGTTCCTCCCCCTCCACCACCCCCAGCCGGGATGCTTTATTAGGCAATGTTCTATACCAGCTGGGTTGCTGATAGTCTTTAAGAGATAAGGGACTATCATTTCATTGACTTTCCGTGCTAGAAGGGAAAGTGAACATCTCTTAGAGGAGCTGTAGGAAATGAATCTGTCAGTGGCAAATGGCACAGAGGGAGGCACAGAGACACCCAGGTCTGTGAATCCTTAGGGGGTTCTGGGACCAAGCAAACCTTTTCATAGTTGGAGAAGCCCCCCATGACAGCCGGGTCCACGATGCCACTGAGCAGCATGGAGAGGGGATGCACAGAGAGGGCCCGGTCCCAGGCGTGCTGCTGAACACAGTTGCTGATCCTCTCATTGGTCAGCTCCATGGTTTCAATGGCATTCTCCAGAGGACTGATCTCCTCCTGGGTGACAGGGCGCATGGGAGAAAAAGGACACTTTTCAGCTCCAAGGAAAGACTGAAAAGGTTTAACTCTTCCCTTGAAGAGGTATAAAATACCCACGAGCTACAGAAAAGGGAAGATTTGCTTATCAAAGTTAGGTTTATAACAGGGATCCCCAAACACCAGGCCATGGACCAGTGTCAGTCTGTGGCCTGTTAGGAAACAGGAGGTGACCAGCAGGTGAGTGAGGGAAGCTTCACCTGTATTTACAGCTGTTCCCCATCACTCTCATTACCACCTGAGCTCCGCCTGCTGTCTGATCAGTGGCAGCATTAGATTCTCATAGGAGTGCAAACTCTATCGTGAACTGTGCATGAGAGGGATCTAGGCTGCATGCTCCTTATGAGAATGTAATGCCTGATGATCTGTCACTGTCTCCCATCACCCCCAGATGGGACTGTCTAGTAGCAGGAAAACAAGCTCAGGGCTCCCACTGATTCCACATTATGGTGAGTTGTATAATTATTTCATTGTATATTATAATAAAATAATAACAGAAATAAAGTTCACAATAAGTGTAATGTGATTGAATCATTCCAAAACCATCCCTATCCCCCAACACCCTCCACCTTCTTACCCCAGGTCCATGGAAAAACTGTCTTCCAGCAAAGCAGTCCCTGTGCCAAAAAGGTTGGGGGCCACTAGCTTATAAGGACACCACAATTTTTTGGAATGTGGTAAGATGCAAAATAAGATATTTAAAATCTCCTTACCAAGTAGAATGATGACTTAAAAATGGGAGCTATGGTAATAATTATTCCTTGGACAAAATGTCTACAGAAAATTTGGAAAGAAAAGAATTGGATCTGTAGTAAGAATCATTTCTTAGGCAATGCTTCCTTGGAGACTTTTGGGAAGATCAATGACAATAGAATAGTGGGATTATCAGTTCTGAGTCACTTCTGCACCACCGAGCTTGTCCAGTGACAAAACGTTTGATGCTTCCTCCATGAAAGGAGGTAAGTGATCTTGGAGGCCATGCATTCAGACCATACATAATCTTAGTATGAACTCTACGGTTATCAGAAGTCAGAAATAATAGGGTGTATTAGAATCTACAGGCTGAATTTTGGATGAAAAGAAAATAAGACAAAGTACAGATTTATAGAGCTCTTCCTATGGAAATGCCTTCAAAATCAGGTTTCCAAAAAAGTATCCCCTTCTTCATTTTACCCATTATCAGCCAACATGACCTCCTATTCCAGACTTGAATCCAAAAGTCTCCATCTAAAAATCATATCCATACTTGAGGAATAATGCCAATTTTTTTTTTTTCTTTTAGAGACAGGGTCTCACTCATTTGACCAGGCTGCAGTGCAGTAGTGCAAATATTCATAGCTCACTGCAGCCTCCAACTCCTGGGCTCAAGCCATCTTCCTGCCTCAGCCTCACAAGTAGCTAGGGTGATGGGCACATGGCACCACACCCAGCTTTTCTTTTGGTAGAGGTGGAGGTCTTGCTATGTTGCCCAGGGTGGTCTCCAACTCCTGAGCTCAAGTGATCCTCCCACCTTGATCTCATAAAGTTCAGGGATTACAGGCATGAGCCATTGTACCTAGCCATGACTTGTAACACATCAAACTTCAATTCATATTTGTTCAGGAAACACTTTCTTGAACATCTGTTTTAGGCTAAGTGCCATGCTATGCACCATATATACAAAAGTGATTAAGATGCATGTACTTCATGGCTTGGAGGAGCCGATGGTGTTAGCAGGATCTCAGGACATGTAAACGTGGTAGGTTAGAAACATGACCAGGGTGCCACAGGGGACAGACTAAGGGCAGATCACCCAACTTGGGTGTTCCAGAGATGCATACACTGAGAAAGGGGTGCCTGGACGGGAGTTAGTTAGGTACAGAAATTGCAAGAGTGTGTTTCAGGCAGAGAAAATAATCCAATGTCACAGAGGGCTGTAATTAGCATGGGATGAGCAGTATGGTTCCAACAGATTGCCTAGGAGATGACGCGGAAGAGTTAGGCTGTATGTGCGTGTGCTAAGGAGGACGGACTTTATACTCCAGGTACTTGGGCCGTGGAAGGGCGTTAAGCATGAGAGTGGATGAAAAGGCGAGGTTTCCTTAATGGAATTCCCAATGAGGCAGTGAGGCCATGAGGAAGCTGGACCTGAGAAGGCTATGCATGGCAGGGAGGCCACTGAGGAGGTAGGAAACAAAGTAGATTTAATAAAAACTAAACAGGTAAAATGAGTGGCTTTTGGGAAAGGTGAAGAGGGAGGAGTCTAGGGTGATTGGTGACATGATTAACTGAGAATAAAAGAAAAGGCTTTGGGAGGGAAGATGTAATTGACTGGAAACTCCAAAGCGGCATTCCAAAAATGTTTCTGGGTGCCAGCTGGATGGCTGAGCAGACACCACTCCTCTGGACATAAAAGAGCCATTCACTGTGAGTGACCTTTAGGGCTGGTGTTGTCACATCAGTGTTACAAAGGAGCTCTACTATACAAGCATGCCTTTTATTTCTCTTTTGAAAAACAAAGTTGGCCAGAGAAGTCTGGCCAAGCTGGTGTGAACAGCAGTGGGAATTCAACAAAGCCTGTGATTATATCTGGAGACAGAAAGTTTTTTTCTAAGTGCCGATTTCAAATGACTCACTGTTGAAATCTGTTTGGCTTCAAACCATTTGAGAATCCCAGGAAAGGTATATGCAGTCGTATATGTGGTCCGTTCAATCCACATCGTCTGGTGGCAAGAAGGAAAACATGAAATATTGGTCAATTCCCAGGAGGAAAACATAGAATGTTGGTCAATTCCCAGGGAAAACAGCAAAACTCCCTGTTTCAATTAAGTGAGATTCTATTCCCAAATGCCTCGTAGGACATGAGCCAAATTTTCTCATAAAATTCAAGTACTCTGGATGTTTAAGGCTGAAAGGGATCATCTACTTGGAACTTCTCACCCTACAGAGGGAAATGTGAGGTCCAGAGAGGGGCGACTTGCCCAAAGTCATTATAAGCAGCCCCAGGAAGAGTCCAGGTTCTGGACTCCTACTCCAGCATTTTCCATGGAGATGACAGGGGCTGGCTAGGTAATTAGCAGGGGAGGCCCCTGTTCCCAGGGATGCTATCGTTTTTCCTATGGAAGCTGGTTAGGTAGGTGGAAGACCTCCACTTGGGATGTCAGTTTTACCTCTTAAAGGACAAAAGGGGTGAACTCACAGCAAATTCATTGTCTGGATCCTTCTCTCCTTTCCGGAATGGCCGGGAGTACCTGAACTGCTGCACTTCATTGGCTCTGTAGTAGCTGCAGAAGGACATAGCAAAGCTGTATTTTCTCTCTCAGAACAACCACTCCTGGATTTGACTTCAACAAAACCTATGACACATCTGCTGGGTCTGAGTGTTTCCCACTAAGCTGGCTCACAAACAATAGTGCCTCCACATGAAGGCCTGAGAAAGCGCAATCTGATTTTATTTCATGTCTTACTTTCATATTATTTAGGAATTTATTTCATAGCACACAATCTTATTTATTTTATTTTTATTTTTTTATTTATTTATTTTGAGTTGGAGTCTCACTCTGCCGCACAGGCTGCAGTGCACTGGTGCTATCTTGGCTCACTGAAGCCTGTGCTTTCTGGGTTCAAGTGATTCACCTACCTCAGCCTGCCAAGTAGCTGGGATTATAGGCATGTACCACCATGCTTGGCTAATTTTTTGTATTTTTTAGTAGAGAAGGGGTTTCACCATGTAGGCCAGGCTGGTCTTGAACTCCTGACCGCAAGTGATCCACCTGCCTCAGTCTCCCAAAGTCAAAGCACACAATTTTATTTATTTATTTATTTGTATTTTTTTTATTATACTTTTAAGTTCTGAGGTACATGTACAGATCTTGCAAGACTGTTATATAGGTATACACACGCCATGGTGGTTTGTCGCCTCCACCCGCTGTCACCTTCATTAGGTACTTCTCCCAATGCTATCCCTCCCCAATTTCCCCACCCCCCACTATCCCTCCCCTATCCCCCCACCCCCCAACAGACCCCAGTGAAAGCACACAGTTTTAAAAGGTATATGTGGCCAGGTGTGGTGGCTCATGTCCACAATCCTACCATTTTGGGAGGCAGAGGTGGGAGGCATTGCTGCAATTCAGGAGTTTGAGACCAGCCACTCTGGGTAGAACAGCAAGATCACACACACACACACGCACATACACGCACACACACACACACACACATGGCACATGTCCCAGCTACTCAGAAGGCTGAAGAGGGAGGTCTCTTGAGCCCAGGAGTTTTGAGGTTGCAATAAGCCATGATCATGCCACTGCATCCCAGCCTAGCTGACAGCAAGATCCTGTTTCTTAGCGGGTGGATTGCCTGAGCTCAGGAGTAGGAGACAAGCCTGGGCAACATGGTAAAACCCTGTCTCAACTAAAACACAAAAAATTATCTGGGCGTGGTGGGGCATGCTTATAGTCCCAGCTACTCGGGAGGCTGAAGCAGGAGAACTGCTTGAATCCGGTAGGCAGAGGCTGCGGTGAGCCAAGATTGTGCCACTGCACACCAGCCTGGGTGACAGAGCTAGGCTCTGCCTCCAAAAAAAAAGTGTATGCACTTACACTTACATTTGTGATCTCATTTGTACAGTTTTATAAGAGTTCCATCAACCCTATTAGCATTCAGCTTTTCAACAGAGGAAATGAGGCCCTCCACCACTGGGGACCAGCCACTCCTCCGTGATGGTTCTGGGTGAAAATAAACGCTCAGGGATATGAAAGCTAGGAGAGAAATTCCTGAATTTCCTCTGCCTAAAAAAGCAAAACCCCCACATCCCTGTGAATTACCAAGCTTTTATCTTACACTCAAAGTAGAAAAGACAGTAGGTCTTGCAAACTGTAATAAACACAAGGCTTTGGTTTTGATATACTCCAAACAAGTGTGACACAGAAACCAACTTTTCTCTTTTTTGCAGAGACAGAGTCCCACTTTGTTGCCCAGGCTGGTCTCAAATTCCTGGCTTCAAGCAAAACTCCTCCCTCAGCCTTGGAAAATGTTGAGATTACAGATGTGAGCCACTGTGCCTAGACACGGATTTTTTTATTTTTTCTTTTAATGAAAAACCACTTACTTTAAGATCTGCTCTGGAACTGGTTTATCCTTGTAGCTGGGCGGCAAGCTCATCACTGGCTTTACGGTGAAGCACTGCATGTCTGAGGAGCTCGTTAAGGAAAGGAGAAGGGCTGGGGCCACCAAGATGTCAGACAGCAAAGGCCCCTGTTCTTCTTGGTTCACAGCCAGAAATGCCACCAGCATCAATCACTCCCTTTGGCCCAAATGCCAGGACTCCATTGAAAATGGAGTTCCTTTATGTATCACCAAAATGTCTTATTCAATGATTACAATTAATTCTAGGACCCTTCTTCTTATTACTTATTTATTTATTTTTTGGTAAGACATCAACACCTTTGCCACAAGGAAACAGACGTCAATGCAATATCAGGAAATAGGTGCTTGGAAGTGGATTTAAACAATTTCTTGGGACAAGGATCCCTCTGAAATCACCAGACTCAGAGCCCAGGCAACAGGAATTGCTTTTATCTTTGGATCCCATCTGTTTATCCCGTGCCATAGCTGGGCACTGTGCTTGGTATTTTGAATATGTTCTCTCTAATACAACAACTCTACAAGAGGGATGTTATTATTCTCTTTTCACAGATGGAGAATCTGAGGATAAGAGAGGTTAAAATCCAACATCACACAACTGGTAAGTGGTAAACTTAAGTTCAATACCTGCTCGAGGGTAGGGACGCCTGGTTTGGTTTAATGATGGAGTCTTAGAGAGTCTTAGCACCTCAACCCACCAGTGCAGAGATACTGTTTCAAAGTCTACAACAGAATCCAGAATTCAGAATAGGAAGTCTGTGTTCCACTTAAGCTCGCCATCTGGCTAGGAAGTATATTTCATATCCATCATTTGTCTATTATCTCTTCTTACACTATGTCATCACCACCAGCTAACATCATTAGGGTCCCAAGGATTTTACATGGAATGGGAACCAGCATCAGAGTGCTTGAGAGGATGGGACTGTAGCTCCTATCTTCACTGGCTTAGCTGGGGCTGTGCAAAGCTGTAAGAGCCTCAGAGCGTATTCCCCACGGGAAGGATACACTGCTTGGGAGAGGACTTTATGTCTTCCCCAGGAGGCGTGGTACTGGTCATCTTCTCTGCATTGGGAAACTGGGTTAGCAACCTCAGGCTGAAGTCCTCTCGCCTCTCATATTCCTTTCCCCGGTAGATGAAGATTTTATTCTGCAGGGGAGACAGCAAGGGAAGTCATTAAACAGGAAGAGTGAAGAGGCAACTGGCATTCTGGGTTCTGAGGGAGACATGGCACTCCCTAGCTGAAGTTCAATCCACACCATCGAGTTCTCATTGAATATCTAGTCCATGACCAACAGTAACTGTCATATCTCACAAGAGCTGCGGTTTATTTCAGAAGTTAAATCATAGGCATGAAAAATACTTAGGCCAGTGCTTCTTCCAGTGTGGCCCAAGGACCACGGCCAGTCTGTAAACAGTCAGGATCCATCTACAAGGAAATAAGGAACCTGGGCCCTCGTTTAAATCAATGGCATGACCAGGCATGCTGATATTTTCACGGCAAGACAAAATATCTTCCTAAGGAAGGAAGGAAGTGCATTAATTTACACTGAGGAACTCCTTAACGATCTCATCATGATCCAGTAAGTTTGTGGACCAGCACTTGAACAGCACTGCCTAAGTGTCTTCTGGCACAGAGACAGAGTCACAGAGAACAGGAGCAATGGACCACAGTCTCCAGCCAATCCAGAAAGTCTGATAGAAAATCACTGCATTGAATATTATTTTCTCCACCCTAAACTGTAAATTTAATCTGTTTAATCGATTTTTTGTTTCCAAAGAAATTTCCTAGGCCCCAGGAATGGGAGTATTTTGCCTCACAGCTGTGGTTGCCTGGGTAAGTGCAAACACAAGCATGTATGAAATGAGCAGTTTGGATGGGTAGCCGACACATGCTTCACTTTTAGCCAAGACGTGGGCCCAGGTTGTCTTGTAAAATGTCTTTGAAAATCACCTGTCCATTCATATAACAAATATTTATTGAGCAAACAGAAGATCAGCTGGAAAACAGGAATATAATGGTGATCCTGCTCTCACAGAACTTACCTGCTACAGGAGAGAATAAAAAACAGGCAAGTAAATGAATAAGTAAACATGATAGTGTAAGTACCGTGAAGGCAATGACACTTTCCAGGCAAACACTGAATGAAGGGAGTAAAAACTGCTGGATCTTTTGGAATACATGGTAACACTTTCCAAGCTAGGAGAACTCTATGGGACTTAAGCCTGTTGAAATTCTATCATTCAGATGAAACAAGGTGGGCAAAGTTTCAGAGTATTATAAAACACTAGTTGTATGATGCAGACAGTAACTGTCAAAGGAATCAGAGAAGCAGGTCAGCAAGAATTAGCAGAGCTGGAAAGAGAAAGCTTTAAGGAAATCATGGGCCTTAGATGGACACAGACGGATGAATGAGATAAGGAAAGGTAAAAAGAAGGGGTGAGAAGGACCAGGCGGGTACGTGGAAAGGGGAAGGCCCAGGGACAGAAAGATCAGAGTTCCTGGAGAAGAGATGAACTTGGATTGGAAGAATGAGCCAAACTATGAATGGTCTTGCATAGCACACAGAGGTTTCAAAGATTCAAAGGTATGTTCACTGGAGGTTCTGGAAGGCGGTAGCCACATGACAAAAGAAGAAGTGTAGACAACGTAAGCCAACAGTGGAATCCATGCCCAAATGAAGCCTCACAGGCTGAACCGAGCAGGAGAAGAAAAAGTAACAGCAGGAGAGGGAAAAGTAACAGCATTCAGTGTTTGCCTCTTGGGTGTTGGGAGAAGAGAAGGAAAATAGGGGAGTTGACGCGGATTCAAAGATCACTGGTCTTGAGCCTAGGTAACACAGAGAAACCCCATATCTAAGAAAAACTAAAAACATTAGCTGTGAGGAGTGGTGCATGCCTGTTAGCCCACCTACTCAGGAGGCTGAGGCAGGAGGACTGCCTGAGCCTAGGAGTTCAAGTCTGCAGGGAGCTGTGATTACACCACTGCATTCTAGCCTGGATGACAGAACAAGACCCCATCTCTTAGAAAAAAAACAAAGTCACTGGTCATGGAGTGGGAAGAACAGTTGTACCCTTGATGGAAACAAAGCAGATAATGAGATCTCACTGGGTTGGAAGGAGATGATGTAATTTTATATATTTTGAATTTGGGGAAATATCCCATAGAATGGAAGGGCACTGAGGTTACATCACTCCTAAGGATTTTATATTCTATTGTACACTTTCAGGTATGTTAATGGCTATAAACTACTTAACAGTTTACTAAGCACTCCTATATGCTATTTAATTCTCAAAACTTTCCTGTGATATAGGCATTATTTTTCTAAATTACAGATCAGAAAATCAAGACTCACAGATTACGTGATTGACCAAAATCACACACTCACTCAGCAGGTGATTTAGACTAGAATGGTTTCACTTGAAAGTCTGGTGTTCTTGATTTCATGGAACCATGGCTGTCTCTGTGGTCACATTTCCTGATTTCATGCAATACACAGGAATATGTAACAAGTACAGCTGGGGTACCGGTTCTCTTATGTTGACCTGGATTAAACTAGAGCTAACGCTAGACCCTGATGCATTTAGAGCCTATAGTTTTTCTATTTTTTAATTTTTGTTTTCTTGAGACAGGATATATCACTCTGTCATCCAGGCTGCAGCGCAGTGGCTTGATCACAACTCACTGCAGCTTCTAATTCCAACCCTCAAGCAATCTTCCTGCCTCAGCCTACTGAGTAGCTAGGGCCACAGGCACATGCTATCATGCCTGGCTAATTAAAAAAAAAATTTTTTTAGAGATAGGGTCATGCTATGATGCCCAGGCTGGTCTCAAACTGCTGGTCTCAAAGTCCTGGGCTCAAGTGAGCCTCCTGCCTTGGCCTACTAAGGTTCTGGGATTACAGGCATGAGTCGCCACACTTGGCTCCAGACCTTCCACTCTTTATTCTCTTTCCTCTGCCTGGTCCATTTCATCCCCAACCATGGTTATTTTAACTACATATAAAAGTAACTCACCAACTTTTACCTCCTGTCTGTAACTTCGTTTGAGTTCCAGATCTATACAGCTAATGGTTGACTTGTACCTTTTGGATGTTCCAAATCTACCTCCCCTTGAGTATGTGCAAAACCAAAGTTTTGCAAATACTTTAGAAAGCCCTGGGAGGCCCTCTGCTATCTGGTACCCACAGCCATCCACCCATTCTCCTGTGCACCCTCTTGTACACACTACTCCAGCCTCATAGCTTCGGGACCTGCTATTCTCCAGGTCTGGGACCCTTGCTCATCCTCTTGAGAGCTGCATGGCTCACTCTTTAACCTTTTTTCTGTTTTTTCCAAAAGTGCCATTTTCTTCTGGAAGTCTTTCTTGTTTACTCTATTTAAAACTGCAACTCCATCCCCAACACCTGCCTCTCTAGTCACCATCCCTAAGACCTCTTCTCCAGGATACTTATTGAACAGTGTTCCAGGCCATCTGACATACTAAATAGTTGATTGATTGATCTCATTTTTTGATCACTCCAAGCTGGAACATAAGCTTGATAATTTCAAGATTTTGGTTCGTTTTGACTCTGCTCCCATGCCTATATCAGAGCCAAGTACATGGTAGGAGTTTAATAAATATTTACCCAAGGAATAAATTCATTCTCTCCTCCATGACTCTGGCCTTTTCCAGTCCTGCTGTCCCAGTAAACGGGGGTTCAACTACCCCCTCCAATGACGCAGGACAGAAGCCCAGAAATCATTCTCGGCACCTCTCGCTTCCTCACCCACACAGCCCATCAATCATCAGATGCAGTGACTTCATCTCCACTACTCCAGTCTTTCCGCTTCTCTCTAAAGCCACCACCCCTACTTCCTGAGTCTAGCCTGTCATCTTTTTTCTGAACATCTGCAATGGTCCCTTAGCGATTTATTCTCAAGCACCTTCTGTCCATTCTCCTTGGACGACCATGAAGACCAAAGCCAGATGACCTTTCCAACACGAAAAATCTGCAGCGGCTCCCACTGCTCTCAGGATACAGACGGAACGCTCTAGGAAACCCCAAGGCCTTGCAGGCTCTTCCAGGGCTTCCCGCCTCCCCGCTGGCAGCCCAGCTCTCCTTTCCTTCCCAGGCCCTGCCCTGCTCTTGCCTGCTGCTTCCTCTGCCTGCAATCCTTTTTCCTACCCGCTTTACCTCCTTCACTCCCACCTTACCTTTCAGATTGCAGCTGAAACAGAAGTTCCCTGGAAAGCCTTTCCTCATGTTTTATTTTATTTATTTTGAGACAGAGTCCAGCTCTGTCGCACAGACTGGAGTGCAGTGGCACAATCTCGGCTCACTGCAACCTCCACCTCCTGTGCCCAAGTGATTCTCCTGCCTTAGCCTCCTGAGTAGCTGGGATTACAGGTGTGAGCCACTGCTCCAAGCCCTGATTGTTTTTTTTTTTTTTTTCAAATTAAGACATAGGCTGTGTGTGGTGGCTCACACCTGTAATCCCAAAACTTTGGGAGGCTGAGGCAGATGGATCATCTGAGGTCAGGAGTTTCAGATCAGCCTAGCCGACACGGTGAAACCACATCTCTACCAAATACAAAAATTAGCCGGGCCTGGCTGTGCATGCCTGTAATCCCTGCTACTTGGGAAGCTGAGGCTCGAAAATTGCTTGAACCCAGAAGGCAGAGGTTGCAGCGAGCAGAGATCACACAACTGTACTTCAGCCTGGATGACAAAGTAAGACACTGTCTCAATAAATAAATAAATAATAAGACATAATCTATATACAGTAAAATGGCCCCCTTTCAGTGTAAAATTCTGTGAGTTCTGACAAACATAACCAAGACCAATCAAAATACAGACAGTTTCATTGCCACCAAAACTTTCCCCAGGCCCTTCTGCAGCCAACCTCCCCCTGACCAGCAACCACTGATCTATTTTCTGCCCTGATAGGAAGTGTTGCCTTGGCAAGAATGTCACATAAATAAAACCACAGAGTCTGCAGCCTTTTAAGTCTGACTTCTTTCACCTCACAAGATGCATGTGGGAATCGCGCCTGCAGTTGTACATTTCAGGAGCTTGCTGCCTGTGGTTGCTGCAGGATTCTGTTGTGTGGATACACAGCATTCTGTTCATCCAGTCACCACATCAGGGACACCTGGCCTGGATCCAGTCTTTGGTGACTGTGATTAAAGCTGCTGCTATAAACATTCCTGTACATTTTTTGTAAAGGGGTAAGTTTTTATTTCACTTTGGTAAATATTTCCTGGTTACAAATTCTTATAGTACAGGATATCTTGCTTGGTTACAGTTTATTTGTTTATTTACTTTTGAGACAGAGTATTGCTCTGTCACCTAGGCTGGAGCACAGTGGTGTGATCTCTGCTCAATGCATCCTCCTCCCCCTGGGTTCAAGCAATTCCCCTGCCTCAGCCTCCTGAGTAGCTGGGATTACAGGCATGCACCACCGTGCTTGGCTAATTTTTGTATTTTAACTACAGACAGGATTTCATCATGTTGTCCACACTGATCTTGAATACCTGACCTCAAGTGTTCTGCCTGCCTCAGCCTCCCAAAGTGCTGGGATTACGGACCAGACCACTGAGCCCGGCAGTTTAAATTTTACATTCATGTGTGATTAAAATCTCCCCTCATGAATTTAGGTTGTAAAATCCATGACAGTAGGAACTATGTTTGATTGTAATCAACAAGATATTTTTAATGCCTTCTCTATGCCTGGCCCAGAGTAGACGCTCAATAAATATTTACTGACTGAATGAATAAACTGTCTCTTCATTAGGCATTCTTAGGAATGTAAATTGCTTGCTTTACCACTTGTTTTAAAATTAGGAGAAAGAAGATGGATAATAAATGTTTAAGCAAAGCTCAGCTCCAAGAGAAACTTTCTTTTAGTAACAGATAAAAATTTTTGTTTATTAAATTGTAAAGTGAATGTCGCATTACAGACAATTTTGAAATGGAAGAAAATACCATCGTTGTTATTATTATTATAATAAAATGTTTTAATTTGAGAGACTCTCGCAGTCTGGCTCTTGGGATACCTACTTTCAAATTAGCTCTGGCTAGAAACAAAATAAACAACAAAATACATCAGTCCACACTTTTCCCTGGTGTGACCCATGGCAGCTGACCAGTGCAGGGGATGGTTCTGTTTTTTCCCTTTTTCACTGCACCTGGGAAAAGTCATTTCACAAAAGACCTGCCAGAACACCAGGGGTGTCCGGGGGTGTGGGGTGAAGAGGCCGGCCGCTCAGGAAGTGGTTTCCCTCCCCTACCTCCCACAGCGAGAACACCGGCAGCTGCTAACACACTGCTGCCCATCTGGAAAAGAAATGAGTTTCCTCCCTCCTCCTAATGGCCTGGGAGACCACCATCAGGTTTCTTACCCGTAGGAAAGAAGGAAAGCCCTGTCCATAGTATCCAACAGCAAAGTATTCAGGCTGAGGCCTCATTGCCTTAATGATGTTCTCATAAAACGAGGCTCTTTTTTTCTGCAAAACAAAACAAGACATTCCAAGGGGAGGTTATAAGGACACGGTGGGGGGATAAAAAGTCAGACTTTGTTTTGTTGTTTCCCATGTAACGCAGGGCAATGAAAGGTCTTTGGAAAACACCCTATGGGCAGAAAAGGATGATTCTGTTCTCGGATCACAGGTTATGGACCTGGGTTCCATGAATGGGTGTTGGAGGGCTGGGACTCCCTGAGGGTGTATGCAGAAGTGTGTGCACATTCAAATTCTTCTGCATAACAGGGCAGTGCACAACTTTGAGCAATTTCTCAAACAGGGCTCAGGACCTATGAAAGGTTAAAAGGTGCATTCTGAGATTCACAGAAGGTGGCTGCACTTAACCAGAAACCCATGGGAGAAGGTAAAGATTCTTCCTCCTGACCTTCCTTCCAAGGTCAGGCACAGTGGCTCACACCTATAATCCTTGCACCTTGGGAGTCAGAGGTGGGGGGACTGCTTGAGGCTAGGAGTTTGAGACTAGCCTGGGCAACATAGTGAGACCCCATCTCTATGAAAAATTTTAAAATTAGCCAGCAGCTGAGGCAGGAAGTTGTCTTGAGTCCATGAGTTCAAGGCTGCAACCATGACTGCACCACTGCACTCCAGCCTAGGTGACAGTGAGACCCTGTTTCAAAAACATTCTAATAATAAAATTAATAACTTTTTTTTTTTAAGAAGAACTGTGCAGTCCATGCAGGTGGTTTGGATGAAAATGTCTGGTGAATTGTAAGTGCCCAGAAGGTGGTGGTGATGTTCTGTTTTTCAGTACTTGCTACCACTTTTATCTTTAATTCTTTACAAGACGAGGGGCTTCCCAGCTCTGACTTACAGGGTTGGCCTTAAAGAAAGCAAAATAGCTAGCCAGACCTGGGCAGCTCTGAGCAATGACCTGAGCCCCATCCCCACAATACTTTGCATGCTATTTCTCTTCTATCTAGGTGATGGGCTCTGTCAAAATACTATTTTCTTTTTTTTTTTTTTTTTTTTTGAGACGGAGTTTCGCTCTCGTTACCCAGGCTGGAGTGCAATGGCGTGATCTCGGCTCACCACAGCCTCCGCCTCCTGGGTTCAGGCAATTCTCCTGCCTCAGCCTCCTGAGTAGCTGGGATTACAGGCACGTGCCACCATGCCCAGCTGATTTTTTGTATTTTTAGCAGAGACGGGGTTTCACCATGTTGACCAGGATGGTCTCGATCTCTTGACCTTGTGATCCACCTGCCTCGGCCTCCCAAAGTGCTGGGATTTTCTTAGACTGGTAACATGTTGCATTACTAGTACTTCAGCTCAGTTCAGTTGATGAAAAAAAAATTTTTTTTGAGACAGGATCTCACTCTGTTGCCCAGGCTGGAGTGCAGTAGCATGATTACAGTTCACTGTAGACTTGACTTCTCAGGCTCAGGTGATCCTCCCATCTCAGCCTCCCAAAAACTAGCTGGGATTAGAGGAATGTACCACCACACCAAGTTAATTTCTTGTATTTTTTGTAGAGATGGGGGTCTCACTATGTTGCTCAGACTGGTCTGGAAGTCCTGGGCTCAAGCAATCCACCTGCCTCAACCTCCCAAAGTGTTGGGATTACAGGTGTTAGCCATGGCACCCGGCCCAGTTGACAATATTAATATGTGAGTTTTTTTGCATGTGACGGCAGGGGCTGGTATAGTACAGTGGTAGACTTTTTACAAAGTGATCTTGACACATGGCTCCTCAAATAAATGATAATTTCATGAGTATGGGTGACCTGATCTTTTCTAACTCCTCTACTAAAAATTACTGAATGCAATATTGTGGTTGCCACCACTGGGTATTCAGAATGGTGGCTATCTATCATTGGGCATTTACAATGGCAACTGCCTTCTATTGGGCATTTGGAATGGCGGTTGCCTACCACCAGGCATTTGGAATAGTGGGTGCCTTCCACCAGGCATTTGGAATAGTGCGTGACTTCCACTGGGCATTCAGAATGGTGGCTGCCTTCCACCGGGCATTCGGAATAGTGGGTGCCTTCCATCAGGCATTCAGAATAGTGGGTGGCTTCCACCAGGCATTCAGAATAGTGGGTGCCTTCCACTGGGCACTGGGAATGGCAGCTGCCTTCCACGGGGCATTCATTTTTGTTTTGCTTTACTGATGGCTGGGAATATGGAAGGTCCACAGAAAGAAAAATTGCTTCAGGAAGAAAGAGAGAGCTGCAGACGGAGATCCTAAGGGATGTGGAAGGTGTGTCACTATTATCTGAAACTCGATATTCTACACCTTCAAGGCAACCCCATTCCACTTCCAGGGAAGTTCTGAGCCTCCCGTGAAGAATAATTTGCAGAAACACTGATGAGAGAGCCTTTGCACTACATCTTTTCTTTTTCATTCTCATTTCAAGCAAAGTTTACTTTTCCACTGTAAAAGACACAATTCATCCTACCAATTTACAGAAACATTTTCATGAGCACAAATTTTAGCAACGCTGTTGGAGGCTGAACAGATTTTGACTCAGACTCACCAGGAGGTTGCCAAGGCCCTCGTAGTCAAATACTTTGCTTTCGTAAGTCTCAGCCAACTCTTTGCTCAGTTTGATGGCCTTCTCCCACATCTTCAGAAAAAGGAAAGCAGGGTTAAAGTAGAGAACAAGGCGGTCATTGATCCAGTGGCAGAAGCCGCTGGCAAGTCACTGGGAATGAGCAAGTGGTCGGGGGGTTGATTTTCAGTAGATATTCCTCACTTGCTTTATCCCTTGGGTCAATGAAAACTTCATTTTCTGACATCATAAAGATAGTGTAGATTGGCAGCTTTGCCAGGGGCAGCTTCTGTAGTTCTGTTTGCAAGGACATTAAGAATAAGTACCACGTGTCCCCCAAAAAGCAATACTGCATTTAACAGGCAAAACACCTACAACGCTTGAAAGTAGAGAGGACCCACCGTCAGTTGAGGTTTGGAGAGCATGCAAGTCTTGTTGGAGGGGGAAAGGAAGCTTCTGTGGGACTCTGGTTCAGAAACATGTGTGCTTGTGTGTGTACGTGTGTGTGTGTGGGGGGGTGTAGTTACACTGTTTGTGGGATGGAAAAAGCTAACAGTACTGTTGTGTGGAATTTGGCAATCTGTATATCCATGCAGGGCACTGATTCCCCTACTTAGTAGATGCGAGTTTTAGGAAATGCCTCCGAGCATGTATAACCTTGTAAGTTACAGACCAACGCGTGTCCTCAGTGTCTGAGGCTAGCAGCCCAGATTGAGCCTTCTAATCACTTTGGTATTTCATGAGCTGTCTCTTAGACGGATACTATTCAACCCACAGCATTGGGTCACTTCCTGCTTCATTCCTGTTCACAAGGTGCTATGTTCCATCATTTCTGGCTGTGAAGGAACATGTGCAGAGCCCCAAGCCACTGTGACACACTTCAAAATTAAATCTTTTAAAGTCATTGTTTGCAAAATTTGTCCCCCTCTGAAATGTCAGAATTCAAGGATACTCAAGGAGAGAATAAACAGCAGTTGTTTGTTATTGTTGTATATTAAATAATGTATCTGGTCTTGGTCCTGAGTTCCAGTGAGGTAGCTCCTAAACCCTCAGAATTTCTCAAGTAATAAGAGTCTTTGTTATTTCTGGTGCCACAACCCCAGGATCACACCCAAGTCTATGCTAATGAGTCACTCATGGTGGCCTCCCAGCCTCAGGATGGGGGCTACCATGCCAGAAATACCAACCACGTGACTAGAAGGTGAGGGCTGTGAGCCACGTGGTATCAGCCTGACCTCCAGGGACAAAAGAAAGGCTAAAGATCAATTTTATCATGTAGTTAAAGATTCAATCAATTATGTCTGTATCATGAAACCCTATAGTGGCTCATTCCTGTAACCTTGGCACTCTGGGAGACCAAGGCAGGAGGATCACTGGAGCCCAGGAGTTCCAGGTTCTGGAACCTGGAAAACCAGCCTGGGCAACTAGTGAGACTCCATATCTACTAAAAAAAAAAAAAAAAAAAAAAAAAAGAAAGAAAGAAAGAAACCTCAATGAAAACTCTGTGGACCCATTGCTTGGGTAGGCTTCCTGATTGAGGAACACACTGATTTGCTGGGAAGATGCCCCAACTTCACAGGGGAAGACACTGTGGGTCCCTTCATTTGGCTGGCCCCAGTTAACATCCTTCTTGATGAAGCTAGAATCGTTAATATAGCACTTTACTGCGTTCTGTTGGTTGTTCTAGTAGACTATGAAGTCTGAGGGGGTAGTGGGAGCCCCCCAAATTTACATCCAGTGGCCCAGAACTGTGAAGAGACTGGGGATCCCTAAAAACTTGCGTATGGCATCTAAAGCAGGGACAGTCTCGCTGGAGATGGTGCCCTGAACCTGTGTAGTCGGTGACAACCCTAAGCGGTGAGCATCAGAATTATCCTGCGACACTGCAGTCATTTCCAGTACAAAAACAATCCAATACTCACTTTGCCTTTGTCAAAATACGATATGATTTCTTGATACAGCTTCTCTTTAAGCTCTTGCTGAGTATAAACATAGTAACTGTCCCTCTGAAGCAAATGAGGCACACAGGGCTTGTCAGACCACTGAAAAGGAAGGAAAGCAACACATAGTTAATACAACAAATATTCAGCCCCTCACAATCAAGACAGTATTGCATATATATTTGACTCATTGACATTGTATTTTAGCTTATGTATTAAACTCAAAAGTTACATACACACACATAGACACATGCCAGCTCCAAAACAAGTATCATGCCAAATGAATGAACACTCGCAGAATTCCCCCACAAAATCAGCGATAAAGAGAAGGTCGCTAACCAGCATGACTATCACTGTACTGGGCCATCATTAATATAGTCAGTTAAAAGAAACAAATTAGGAGTATAAAAATGAATAGAAAGAGGCAAAACTATCACAATTTGCAAACATTATGGTTGTATTCCTCATAAGGCAAGGCTGTTGACTAACAAACTGCTACACGCAATATGAGAATTAAGTTATGCAGCAGGAAAAACATTAATATACTTGGATTAAAAGAGACTTCAGATACATGGAAACTAAATATACAGAATACAAGAACAGAACCAAATAAAAATAAGTCCAAAAAGGTAACATTTCTAAGAGTGAACAGTACAAGGAATACACAAGACTTATATGCAGAAAACTTGCACAAGCCACTGAAGGGCACAAAAGCAGACTCGAACAAATGGAAAGTCATACCATGCTTTTGGATAAGAAAACTCTATTTCATAAACATGTAAATTCTCACTAAATTAATTTTTAAATTTCCTGTTTCCAAAGTCCATATGGAAAAATAAACAAAAAGGAATAGGTAGGAAAACTCTGAAAAAGAAGAGCAACCAAGAGTAACTACCAGGTAATAAAACATACTATCAAGAACTCATAATTAATACAATGTGGTACTGGTACATGAATAGACAGAGATCCATGTAAAAGCATACACAATCTAGAAAGAGATTCCCTCCCCCCAAAAACAAGGATTTAGTAATAAAGATGGAATCTTATACCAATAAGCAAAATGTGACCTATACTTAACAAACAGCATCTCTATTTAATAGCATGCTAAGGGGAAAAAGCTACATTTACGTCTCATACCTTACACCAGAATAGGACAGTTTCTGAATCGCCCAAATGAAAAGACCTACAGTTACAGGCACTGGGGATTTCTTTCTGATCGTGCAATGGGAAAACCCATAGTCAACAGCTTCACCTTCTAAGCTATATATAATAAGCTTTTTTTTTTTTTGGAGACAGAGGTTGCTCTATCACCCAGGCTGGAGTACAGTGGCACCATCTCTGCTCACTGCAAACCTCCACCTTGCAGGTTCAAGCAATTCTCCTGCCTCAGCCTCCTGAGTAGCTGGGACTACAGGCATGTGCCACCATGCCCTGCTAATTTTTTGTATTTTTTAGTAGACATGGGTTTCACCATGTTAGCCAGGCTGGTCTTGAACTCCCGACCTCAAGTGATCTTCTGGCCTCAGCCTCCCAAAGTGTGGGGATTACAGGTGTGAGCCACCGTGCCTGGCCCATTATCCACTTAAATATGAATTGTGAATTTCCTTTGGGAAGTGGTGAAGCATAGGAATCCTGTTTTTAACTCGTATCTTAGGACAATGCATGTATATTACTTTAGTATAAAATAAAAAATTAACTGTAAAAGAATATGAATAGCTGGGAACAAGACTGGAGGCAGAATGATCCAATAGGAGGCTGCTGTAGTCCTAAAGGTGTGACATGCTGATGGGATGGACCAAAGTGGTATCCAGGGAGATGAAGAAAAGTGGACTGGCCAGTGTGGTGACCCACAGTTGTAAGCCTACTACCCTGGGAGGCTGAAGTGGGAGGATTGCTTGAGCCCACGAGTTCAAGACCAGACAGGGCAACATAGGGAGAACTCATCTCTTAAAAAAAAAAAAAAAAAAAAAAAAAAGAAAAGAAAAAGAAAAGTGGATAGGTTAGGGGCATGTTCTGAACAGAGGGGACACATCTCTTGTTTGCGGAGAATGTGGGAGGTGGTGAGTAAAAGAGAGAAATCAAAGATGACTATGAGGTTGCCTGAGCAACTAAATAGATAGGAATGTTATTAGTAACATGGTAACGAGGTGCGGTAGGACGGGCTGGGGAGGAGCAGAATGAGAAATCAAGGTTCCTGTTACTGGTTTGTTCAGTCTGAGCTGCGTATTAGCCAGTCAAAGTTTATACGTCAATCCAAAGTTAGAGGAAGTGATCAGGGCCAGAAATAATTACTTGAGATTCATAACATATAGATGTATTTATATCCAAGCCACAACATAAATCTATTTAGGGAGAGAATATAAATAGTAGAGTACTTCTATGGTATTATATTCACTTACAACTCATCTTTCTGCAGTTTTCTGAATTTTACACATTTTTTAATGTATTCATCAATGTGTGTTTTATTTTTAATTAGAGCGTCAATTACCAAAGGTTCCTAAGACATGGTCTGCTTTCCAAGGATTTTTAAATAAAAGATAACTGGAATTTTCCCATACTTGATCTACAAACTAGCTGTGCCTAATTAAAAAGAATTAAAAAAAAAAAAAACCCAACTTGTATAAAAGGATATCCCTGGAATAAGGTTTTTTCCCATTAAATTCCTGAAAGGTATAGAATTTAGTCTGAAAGGACACTGTACTCCACCCCGTTGAAACAGGCTCTCAGCCATTCACCTGCAGAAGCTCAGCATGCAAGAGAAGCGTGTAGGCAGCTTCTGTGTAGTTCTCACAGTCTCGGTGCAAATCTCGAAGCTTGTACAGATATCTGGCAAGAAGGGGAGAAAGGAAGTGTCACTCAAGAGTTTTTTGTTTTGTTTTGTTTGGAGACAGGGTCTTGCTGTGTCGCCCAGGCTGGCATGTGCAGCGGTATGATCATAGCTCACTGCAGCCTTGAGCTCCAGGGCTCAAGTGATCCTCCCACCTCAACCTCCTGAGTAGCTGGGACCACAGGCATGTGCCACCAAGCCTGGCTAATTTTCATATGCTTTATAGAGACAGGGTTTTGCCATGTTGCCCAGGCTCAAGAGTTGATCTAGTGTTCAGCTCATTCCATAACCAGACCCCAGCCTGCTTCCCTGCCTGACCCCCTTCCCCATTACTGTACAGAAGCATTTCCTTCCTCTTGAGCCAAGGAGTTGGTTCCTCCCCATTTCTTTAATACTCTGTGCAGCCTCTAGCTTCCATGTTTTTCCGACTCCATCTAAACTAGACAGAGTTTCTCCTTTTTTTTTTTGAGATGGAGTCTTGCTTTGTCTCCCAGGCTGGAGTGCAGTAGAGTGATCTTGGCTCACTGCAACCTCTGCTTCCTGGGTTCAAGCGATTATCCTGCCTGAGCCTCCTGAGTAGCTGGGCTTACAGGTGCCAAACACCATACCCAGCCAATTTTGGTATTTTTAGTAGAGACGGGTTTCACCATATTGATCAGGCTGGTCTTGAACTCCTGACCTTGTGATCCCAGCCTTCCAAAGTGCTGAGATTATAGGCATGAGCCACTATGCCCGGTCTCTCCTCTTTTTTTTTAAGGCAGTGATGCTTAATATTTTTAAATTTTAGATCTTAGACCCCTTTGGGAAGCTAATGAAAGCTATGAAATCTCTCCCCAAGAACCTGTATATTGGTTAGGTGCAAGTTTGTTTTATGTTCAGGGGTTTGCAGACTTGAGGTTAGGACTCTTTGGCAGGTTTTCCTGCCTCTCCCTGTGTAGCCTCTCCCCACACAGCCTCTCCCTGTGTAGCCTCTCCTGCCCACCCAGGCAGAGAGAAGTTGTGTATCTCTCCCCTGATCCCTGACATGACCTCACTTAGGCACTCCTTCTAGTCGTACTTACTCACGTATCTGTCTAAAGAGTTTATCTGTTCAGGGTGAATGAGGCATATGATGTACTTTTAGGGGTCTCTCCAAGCAGCAAACATGGTGTTGGGCATGGTATTTGTTTACTGAAGAAATCAATCACAAAGCCATGAAATAAATAGCAGAAGCAAGATGTTTCCTTCAGCTTACCGTATGTATATGTCCTCTCTCTTCTTTTCTTTATAAAAATTCTGCCAGAAAATAAAAAAAGAGGATCACAAAATCCCAACATAAATCAAGAGCTATTGACAAGCTGGCCACAAAAATAGCCAAACCGCTATTGTCGCTTTCCCACAGTTTCACTTTTCCAAAGAGTTCACTGTTTCCCTTTAACAAACATCCCCGTAAGAAAAGGGAATATTTATCCTCAGGAAGCAAAGGCACAAGAATGACATAATGGACTTTGGAAACTCAGCGGGGAAGGTGACAGGGGGTTGCGGAATAAAAGACTACATTTTGGGTACAGTGCTTGGGTGACAGGTGCTGTAAAATCTCAGAAATCACCACTAAAGAACTTAACCATGTAACCAGAGACCACCTGCACCCCCAAACCTATTGAAATCAAAATGAAAACAAAAAACACTCCAAATTTATCCTCAGGGTCTGTGGCTGCAGATACCTGTGAGTTGAGCCAGCCATTCCGATTAGACTCAGAAAGACACTGGCTCTATAAAGGTGCCCCAGGGCACCTCTGTGTTTGTGAGATCTACCTAGAGCTGTGCTGTGGGGTGCAGGGGCGGCCTGGCAGTGCCCTCCCGCCATCCCAGGGGCATGTCACATACCAGCACGTTCACGGTGCAGCTCATGCGGTTCTCCTTGCTCTCATCCTGCATGACGATGGTTCTGTAGTCCAGCAGGTTCTCTAAGAGGCTGCTGACCAGGTGGGCGAAGACCTCCCCAGAGCCGGAGAGGTATTTGTGTTTCCGGCAATGTTCTAGAAGCCTGGAGGGGCGGAGGGAGAGACAAAAGCCCAGGTCCCGCACTGTCATTCCAGCAGCACTGACGAGGGTCTCAGCAGCAGTTGGGGCAGGATTTGATGACACACAATGTCAGCCTTAGATATGAAGTGACACAGTTACGCCAACACACACCTCAGGCAACACCTTCCTGTCCTGGAACCTTCTCTTATGCTACGCTTCTCTGTTGACTCGAGTTCCAGTTTTCTTTAGGACTCAGCTCAAGTCCCACCGTCACTTAGAATCCCAGCCCACAGTGTTCTTCTTACAACGTCTTTTGTGTTTGTGTTTTATTCAGTCAACAAACCCTTGCTCAAAAGGCTTATGTGTGCACTCTGAGGACTCTAATCAAGCTGGATGAGACCATTTTCTTCCTGTCTCTATTCTCCCTGAAGCCTGGCACTCAGGGCATCCTTCGAACATTCTGGAATGCCTTGGATGGATGTCCAGCCTAGAGGAACCTAGCACACCTCCTGAAACGTTGAAACATGGCTCTTCAGAGTCTTAGCTTCAGATAAAAATGCAGAGTGATAGAGAAGCAAACTGAGGCTAAACTTTCAATCTAAATCCTGTCCCTTTGGATGCTCATAGAAACAAATTCTGGGGCTTATTAGATTAGGTAACTAAAAGAAAATCTGGGACAAGAGGGAGAGGGAAAGAGAAAGAAATGGGTCCAAAACATTAGTCCAGATTTAGGATTATTCTTGGCCACTGGGGACCTATGTATCTGTATTTTTTCTGAGTTAGTGATCTAGGAAGAATGAAGAAAACGAGGTAAGATCCTTATGTAAAAATAATCAGCTGTAGGATTAAAAATAGTAGCATATCATGTGTAAATATTGCGTGCATATGTGCATAACCATTTAATTCCACATAAGATCAGAATTGCAAAAGATATAAACTGGGAGGTTTGAAGCTCAAATGGAAAGACTTAATGGAAACAGGATAAAAAGACCAACAAAAGTTCTTATCACCATTAAAAACAAAAGAAGAAAGACTTCTAGTCCTTTAAAATACACACTATTCATCAATTCAATTTTATTGCTAACTATTCAGAGTACTAGTTCCTTAAGGAATCTTCAAAACGAAAACATTTGGGAGTCCTGTCCTTAAACACAGACCCTCATCCACAAACAGGTGAGCAATGTAGTGTCCAAGGCAAGCACTCAGTTGGAGACGCAGTTGGTCAACATCAGAAAAGTTCAGAGGACATGAGAAAGCAATGGTCTAGAGTAGCTACCACCTGAATGAAGGGTAGGTCTGTAAATAATAATAACAGTAGGCCAGACGGGGTCCCTCATGCCTGTAATCCCAGCACATTGAGAAGCCGAGGCGGGGACCTTACTTGAGGCCAAGAGTTCAAGACCAACCTGGGCAACACAGCAAGACTCCATCTCTACAAAAATAAAAATAACCAGCTGGGCATGGTGGTACATGCCTATAGTCCTAGCTACTAGGGAGGCTGAAGTGGGAGGATCACTTAAAGCAAGATTTTGAGGTGCAACAAAGCAAGACCCCTTTTCTACACAAATTAAAATAGCAAACAGCAAGGCATGGCAACACATGCCTATATCCTAGTACTTGGGAGTCTGAGGCAGGAGGATTGCTTGAGCCCAGGAGTTCAAGGCTTTGGTGAGCTATCATGGCACCACTGCACTCCAGCCTGGGCAACAGAGAGAGACCCTATCTCTTACAAACAAACAAACAAACACAGGCCAGGCGTGGTGGCTCATGCCTGTAATCCCAGCACTTTGGAAGGCCAAGGTGGGTGGATCATGAGGTCAGGAGTTCGAGACCAGCCTGGCAAAGATAGTGAAACCCCGTCTCTATTAAAAATATACAAGAATTTGCCAGGCACAGTGGTGGGTTCCTGGAATCCCAGCTAGGGAGGCTGAAGCAAGAGAATCACTTGAACCCAAAGTCAGAGGCTGCAGTGAGCCAAGATTGTACCACTGCACTCTAACCTGCGCAACAGTGCAAGACTTCAACTCAAAAAAAAAAGAAAAAAAAAAAAAAACAAAACACCACACACACACACATACACATACAAAACAAACTGTAATAATAACAACCATGAACACTAGAGCAGCCAGTATGTATTAGGCATGAACTCTGCAACAGATGCTACGTTAGCCCATCATCTCCTGTAATCCTCAAAATAATACAAAAAAAAAATAGATGCTATTCTTGGAGAAAGGGAGAAAAATGAGGTGTTGGATAAGCAGAATGACTGGACTAAAGCCAAACTCTTTATTTTATTTTATTTTATTTTATTTTTTTTTGGGGACGGAGCTTCGCTCTTGTTACCCAGGCTGGAGTGCAATGGCGCGATCTCGGCTCACCGCAACCTCCGCCTCCTGGGTTCAGGCAATTCTCCTACCCCAGCCTCCTGAGTCGCTGGGATTACAGGCACGCGCCACCATGCCCAGCTAATTTTTTACAGTTTTAGTAGAGACGGGGTTTCACCGTGTTGACCAGGATGGTCTCGATCTCTTGACCTCGTGATCCACCCGCCTCGGCCTCCCAAAGTGCTGGGATTACAGGCTTGAGCCACCGCGCCCAGCCCGCCAAACTCTTAATATGTGGCAAAAACAGGGTCTGAAGATCAGTCTCTTACTGAGGTCAGCACCTAAGGGTTTTTAATCACTTTCCCAATCTTCATGACTTCACAGGAGCCAAGGAGGATGACGAGGGCAAGAGGGTTATAGGTGAGTGTGGTGTGGGGCAAGGGGGGACAGTGGGGACAATGGGAGCCCAGATAGAGGTATAGATGTGTGGAATGGGGTGGATGACAGGGCAGGGCAAAGACCAATCTGGCTGGAGATAGAACTGCTTTGGTTTTATGTCCTTTATGGGGCATAAGGTATTTGTGACATATACAACAGACCTTTACATATTTCTTCCTTTACATTGTTGCTCTGCAGTTATAATTAGAGGTGCTAAGACTTTTGTTGAAGTTCAAAAATGCAAACACTGGGCAAAATGCCACCGCTCTGTGCACCTCCTCCTCTCTTCCATCTGCTGTGTTCTCCAGGGCCAGGCTAGCCAGAAAACACCGACATTTGACTCCCACCAGATAAGTATGTCAGCCGTGGACAGTACACACCCCATAACCATACCGAAGACCACAGTGGGGGTGGCCCCGGCAACTCTGAGACTATCAGTGCAACAGCACCCCTGTTTTGCTCTGTTACTAAAATGACACCACTGACTTAAGGTTTTGTCCCTGAAATACTCACAGTTTTTCCAGAAGAACCTTGTATTGTTCGTCTCCTCTGCCCCCTTCTACTTCCTGGTCCAGCTTTGTGATCAGCTCATTCTCAAACTGAAAGCAAAGGCAGAGTTTCACAAGAAAATATTGCATCTGTAGAAGACAACATGGCCAACCTTTCTAGACTTGGTCAACCCATTCATTAAGTTGTGAACTGTTTCCAGCACAGATAGGGAGCATCACAGAGGGTCACACATAAACTGTGCACCAAGACCCTATCAAAATGTTCTAACATAGTCTCATGTTACTTTGTCCTTTGCATTACATTTGATTAAAAAATAATTATTATTATCCAAAACATTGCTTTCTGTTACAACTATGCATGTAAAAATAGAATAATTCTCAGGCTGGGTGCAGTGGCTCACGCCTATAATCCCAGCACTTTGGGAGGCCGAGGAGGGCAGATCATGAAGTCAAGAGATCGAGATCATCCTGGCCAACATGGTGAAACCTCTTCTCTACTAAAAATACAAAAAATTAGTTGAGCGTGGTGGCATGCGCCTGTAATCCCAGCTACTCGGGAGGCTGAGGCAGGAGAATCGCTTGAACCCGGGAGGCAGAGGTTGCAGTGGGCTGAGATCGTGCCACAGCACTCCAGCCTGGGCAACAGAGCGAGACTCCGTCTAAAAGAATAAAAACAAAAATAAAAATAATTCTCGTTTTTCTATTTTAGTTTAGTTTCATGTTCAAGTCTCTGCAGTGAGATTGCTTTTGCAGAGGTTCACAGCCGCTAAAAGGTCCTTTCAATATTAATTCACTTTGTAGATAAGAAAACAGAGGCATGGAGAAGGCATATCAGGAAAATCACGTTCTCAAAGCTATAGAGTAATGGATTAGGACTTAATCCACTGCACTGCTTTCAGCCGTACTATATTAGATAGGTTTTTAAATTCAATTCACTACATTACTCTCTGGGCTATACTGAAACAGCCAGGATTAAAATGCATGAAGTTAAGTTTTTTAAATTATCCAGAGACAGGATGCTGCCTTAGGAAAGACATGTAGCAAAAACATCTCTTCTAGGCTCTGTGCTGTATTATCTGACTTGATCTCTAATTGCTTTACAAAATGAAATGTAAAGTGAATTTTCAGATCAATGTTGACTTGTACTATTTAGGTTACTGCTTCTCTACATAGAAAGAAATGAGTTATGAGTTGACTACATGTGCATTTACTAATACTACAGGGTCTACCACTTCTTACCATATGGAAATTGCCATTTCCACTGAAATTGAACTCACACTGCATCATATCAAAGAAAATGGGGATTGTGGCTTTCCGGAGCTCTACTTCGGGGGTCAGAGTGACTTCCAGAATCGGACCCACCATTGATGGGATGAATTTGATTTTGTGGGGACCTGAAATGAAAGTGAATGAAGATATTAAAAAAACATTTCACTGAAAGGAAAGTGTTACAATCTTCCTCCACAGGGCCCATAAGAAAAGAAAAGGTTTATGTGGGAAAACCAACTCAATTCAGAAGTGAGCGACTTAATATTACATTCTGATAACATGTGGATGCCAGAGTAAGAGGCAGTTCATTGTCAATGAAACCAACAAATCAACTTTCACTTTCAGACACAAAGACAAATACATCTCAGGGTTATCTGGATTAAAATAAAAAAAGAATTCATCATGGGATGCTTATCACTCAGAGGTTGTGATCAGTCCTGTTCCAGGCTAGACACTCACCCAGGTTATACCACATGTCCCGGATTCTAAAGCCGATTTCCTTTCTCATGTCCCCATATCTAGGAAGAAGATCATAAACCAGAAGGAGGATTTGCAGTGGAAATGAATCGCATAAACATGGTAAGAAGGAAAGTAAAAACGGTCTGTGTCCTTCTTGGTCACTCTTAAGGCCCAGCGTTAAGAAATGAGGTTCATACCTAAACGAGCACCCAAAGGGAATGGGGCACACAGAGGCCAGGGGACCCTGACAGCATAAAAAAGCCAAATCAAAATGCTGAAAAATAACTGAGAAGATGAGATTAACAAACTCACTTCAGGGAGAAGAGTGAGACATAGACACAGCCAAACAAAACACGGCAAACACTGATGAAAAGGAAGATGAACAAAGCATGATTATCCAGTAACGTGACTGAGGTCTAACAGGCAGACTCAATACTTATATACTTTACAGACTTATGTTTGGGAAATATACATCCATTCCAGTGTGTTCTTCAAAGTATTCACATTGGAAGGCTCTACATCATGCACTCTCAATGGGACTGATATCCCCCACAAACGGATACAAATTGGTTCTTGGGGCCGGGCGCGGTGGCTCACGCCTATAATCCCAGCACTTTGGGAGGCCGAGGCGGGTGGATCACGAGGTCAAGAGATCGAGACCATCCTGGTCAACAAGGTGAAACCCCGTCTCTTATTAAAAATACAAAAATTAGCTGGGCATGATGGCGCGTGTCTGTAGTCCCAGCTACTTGGGAGGCTGAGGCAGGAGAATTGCTTGAATCCAGGAGGCGGAGGTTGCGGTGAGCCGAGATCGTGCCATTGCACTCCAGTCTGGGCAACAACAGCGAAACTCCGTCTCAAAAAACAAAAACAAAAAAAAATAAAAAACAAATTGGTTCTTGGGAGCAAAAAATACTTTGCAGCTTTTGGCAGGTTTTGAGGGAGGAACCAGAGGTAGAAGAGACTAAATAATTCTCCTAGGTATCACAGAGATCTCAATAAGGGGAACAGAACTAAAATTTCAAAGTCTTCAAATAATACATTTCTCAAGTTATTTTTTAACAACATGGCCTTTGGGTTTTCTGTCTCTCAGTGAAATGAAACGCTTCCCTAAATCTCTTATCACTGCTGCACGTAATTTCATTTTGAATTTCAGGCCAGGAATCTCAAGGGCATTTTTCTGCAATGTTTGAGTCCTGACTTTCTCTGCTGAAATGACAGGGAGGTAGAGCCACTGTGCTGGAGTGTGGTTTGCGAAGCACTATGAGCGAGAAGGTGCTATGCCTGCAGTTTGGGGAAGCTGCAAGCAGAGACGCAGCTGTTCTTGGGGAGGGGCATGCAGAAAGCTGAGGTCCCTCTCCAGGTACACATTTGATAAAAAGCTTGCGATGACTGATGGGAAGATGGTTGGGCCTTAAGAAAAGAGAGGTGAACCTGGGGAATATGAGGTCTATTAAGTAATTAGTTTAAGGCCTACCTCACTCACAACATGGATAGTCACTAAATAGTAATTTCTGTGATAGATACCTAAAATACTGCTCTCAATATAAACTGAGGAAGCCCGTTCCCGATCTTAACTTTAAACGGACACTTACTTTTTAAGAATTTTGGTGCGCTTGGCTTGTGAGAAGGTTTCAAGCTGAAGGGACTCGTGGGTGAGAAATGCTACTGCCAAATGGAAGTAATTGTTCCAGAGCTGTTCAAAATTAATTGTATGGGTAAAAGGAAATGAAAAATAACATGAATAAGGGTCATAATAAAACACTGTCACATGGTAAAAAGTTATTCCTCAGGGATTAATGAAACAACAAAATACAATCTACAATATTTCTTTTTCCTGGGTTTTGATTATTCAACCCTAAAAGTTTTGAGACTTAATATTAGCTTTAAAAAAACATTTAAACTATTATATTTTTCTTTACTCCTGGGATAAAGGAAAACTGCTATCAAGAAGTCCATCTATTTATAGTAGTTGTTTGGCACTATCTTTCAAAAGCCGTACAATTTTCCCAAACTTTGGAACGAGTAAACACTTTTAGGAGTTTATCCTGATGAAATAACCACGAATATGTATATACACACAAAGATAAATATGACAAGTGTGTGTGTGTGTGTGTGTGTGTGTTTTTTCTTTTGTGGCAAAGTCTTGCTCTGTCACCCAGGCTGGAGTGCAGTGGCGCAATCTTGGCTCATTGCAACTTCTACCTCCCAGGTTCAAGAGATTATCTTGCCTCAGACTCCTGAATAGCTGGAATTACAGGTGCCCACCACCACACCTGGCTAATTTTTGTATTTTTAGTAAAGACAGGGTTTCACCATGGTTGGCCAGGCTGGTCTTGAACTCCTGACCTCAGATGATCTGCCCACCTCTGCCACCCAAAGTGCTGGGATTACAGGTGTGAGCCACCACACCCGGCCAACCACGAATATTTTAAAATATTTAAAGCAAGAAAATCCATCACAGTGTTATTTAACATAATAGAAAATGGAAACAATCTAAATGTTCATAAGAATTTGGTTAAATATATCATGGACCAGTCATAGAATAGACAGTATTCAGCCATTAAAAATATAAAAATATTCAACATTATTGAAAAGATCACAGATAACTGAGAAAGGAAAATAGTTTAACAGGGTACCAAAGAACTGTACAACTCAATTCCATTTTGGCAAAAATATACATATATACATACACATACATAAAATATATATTCATCTGTGTGTGTGTGTGTGTGTGTGTGTGTGTGTGTGCGCGCACGCGCTTTCCTCTACTTATGATGAGTTTCCACTTTAAAGTTCTGAGGCAAGTAAACATGGCCTGAAGACAGGGCACCTAAGGCCAATTCACACTGACTTGCTAGAACTGAATCAAAAGGAAACCCTTGCTCTCCACATCCAAGTAACAAAAGGATCAGAGACTACCCCTTTGCACCATGTGGCAGATGACAAATTCAACGTATTGGTCCCCTCCCACAACCAATCAGACTAGTCACCAGTCACTCCTTCATTTACATAGGGTGTAACCAAGTAACTGATGGGAAACTTCTAGAGGGTATTTAAATGCCAGAAAATTCTGTAACCAGCACTCTTGAGGCGCTTGCTGGAGCCCGCTCCCACTCTGTGGAGTGTACTTTCATTTCAGTAAATCTGTGATTTTGTTGCTTCATTCTTTCATTGCTTTCTTTGTACATTTTGTCCAATTCCTTGTTCAAAATGCCAAGAACCTGGACGATTCGTTGTTAAGAACCTCCACTGATAACAGTTCCACAGATACAAAAATGAAGAACACAGAAAGCACATCATCCACAAAATGCAGAGTACTCTGGGAGGTAAGCAGTATGAGAGCAAGGAGCTTACCTGTCTTCACCAGGGAAATGCCCCTACTGGGGCACAAAATAGTGCCTTGTACATATAAGTACTCTGACATTTGTTAAATGGACGAATGAATGAGTGAATCAATGAATGAGTGAATGAAGATAGAGCTAGTGCTATAATCTGTTCTGAAATTCCTTTAGACTTTCACAAACTGCATACAAACTGTTCTTTAGAACTGTCCATTTGTAGGTAGGAGAGTTACCTGTGTCCTTATTTTAGCCATGTGTGTTTATGTGTATTTGTGTAAATATACAAAGGGTCAACTCCAAATGTTTACAGCGACAAGGAGGATTATTTGTATTTTTGATCTTCTACTATTTTTAATTTTTTGTTTGTTTTTTTAAATGTGTTACCTTTATAGAAAGAAGAAACAACCCCTATTTTATTGTGTTTAAAGGACAGTGGGACAGGTATGTTTGCTTTAGAAAATGAAAAAAAAACACAGGAAAACCTTTTTCATGTGAAAATGGTGAAATCTGAGGAGACATTTTCCAAATTCATATAGTTCTCTTGCCATGGGCCAAGAATTCCAGAAGCATATAGGTGAGTCACATGCCTACCTGAAGTTCAAAGCTTGCCTGATCCATGAAGCATTTTGTGAGAACCTCAGCAAACTGATTTATAGCACGGAGAAAAACCCTGGGGAAGGAAAACACCAGATAAAGAAGGCAACTTTATGCCGTTTGAAATCATTTCCCACCAATGTTAAAAACTAAATCAAACCTGAACCAGGCATCATAAGACCTCACAATCTTACAGTGTCCTGGTAGACCAAAAGCACAACACCATCTGCAGACAGGGCACAGGAGCTTAGTTTATAGAACTAACAAGACGAGCCACTCAGGGCCATGTCCCAATGTAGGTAATTGACAGCAGATCTGAGACTGCAAACGAGGCCTCTTAAGCCTCAAACCAGAGTAACACAGAGTCTATTATAATGCCTCTGTTTAGGCTTAGGTTTCTGATGCAATTTTAAAAATCTAATCTGTACTTAGCAGGGAAGCCTTCTTCTAATCAGGTATCAGAGTAGAATTACTCAAAATCGGGTGTCATGTAGAGTTAACAATAATGCTTACAATAATGGTTTGCTTTATTTAGCTCATTGAATTCCAACACTCTTTTAATATAATATGTATTCAGTTCATTTCACTTCTGTTCAACAAATATTTGTTGTGGGCCAGTAATTGCAAGGCATGGGCTCAGGTCTGTGCTGAAAGACACAGTTCCTGGTCTTAAGAAATATTTAACTTAGGGAAATTAACAATATGTCCATCTAACCATTATCCAACATAGAATCTGAAAATGATTCTATGAGAAGGTTTGAATGGGGTATGGAAAATCAAAGGAAGAAGAGATGGCATCCAGGCCAGAAAGGCTTCCTCTGGAGGTGACGCTTGGGAAGAACTTTACAGAACGGCAGAAACACTGACAGTTAGAGGTTATAGGAAAGGCACTGCTTGCGGAAGACTGGTGTGAGGCAGAGCAGACCATGTGAACACACTCGGCAGAGGCCAGTCTGGTTGGAGTACAGGTACACACACAGGGAAGTGGCAGAAGCGACTAGTTATTGGGCACTATGTATCGGAAGCCCTATGATTTCGCCAAACTTTTAACTAGTAAACTCATTTAGGAGTTTATCCTAATAACCATGGTTGTTTTTAAATATTTAAGGCAAGGAAGGCTATCACAGTGCTATTTCACATAATAGAAAATGGAAAAAATCTAAATGTTCGTAAGAAGAATCTGGTTAAATACATCATGGACTGGTCATAGAACAGACGGGAACAGGTGAGCCCTAAATGTCAGGATGAAGCCAGGCCCCGTGGAGCCATTGAAAGGTACAGTGCAGAGTTAAGGAGGACGATGACCATGAAGGCACTGAAGAGACCGCGCTAGAGAAGGGAGCGGGAGCCCAAGGTGGGCAAAGGCAATGACCCTGGGAAAATCAGGATCACGAGCACATAAATTAGATCTTCACTTTACAGACGATGGGTCTGAGGCAAAGGGATTTAACGACACTTCCCAAAGGTCACACAGCAGCCTCAGGCATTCAGACAAATGCCTCAGGGCTGGCCGGGGGCTGTCTCACCTGCTTTGAGTCATATTCATCACCATCCAATCTTTGGCATAGACATTCTTTCCAATCAGGTCCTTGAACATGATAAACGTTTCCATGAGGAAGTCCTGTGGAGAGCAGAGGAGAGGTTGGGGGAAAACTGGGTTCTATTCATAGTCTTTATTCCGGCGTGTACATAAGCAGAACCACAACCTCAGAACAGGACGTCCTCAGTCCCACAGTAATGGCCCATCTTTCCAGGGTTGTAGGAATAACAAAGCATTCTTACAGCTAGCTATGATGTGATTTGATTTTTGTATTGTAGGACCCTGAGGAAGATGAGGACAAAAGGAATCATCCATATTTTACAAATGATACAACTCAGGCTAAGAAAAACTAAAGGACTCACTTAAGGGCATAGAAAGTGGGAAGAAGGGCCAGGAGTGGTGGCTTATGCCTGTAATCCCAGGACTTTGGGAGGCCGAGGTAGGCAGATCAAGGGGTAAGGAGTTCAAGACCAGCCTGGCTAAGATGGCGAAACCCCGTCTCTTCTAAAAATACAAAAATTTGCCAGGCATGATGTGTCTGCTTGTACTCTCAGCTCCTCAGGAGGCTGAGGCAGGAGAATCACTTGAACCTGGGAGGTAGAGGTTGCAGTGAGCTGAGATTGTGCCATTCCACCAGCCTGGGGGCAGAACAAGACTCCGTCTCAAAAAGAAGAAAAGAAAAAAAGAAAGCGGGAAGGAGAAGAGCTGGACGAGAACTTGGGGCTATGAACCCCAAGTCTGAAACCTTTATCTCTTTCATCCTCTGCTGCCATAGCTTATCAGAATGTATCTCATACACTTAAACATAATTCACCAATAATTGTTCGTAAATGGGTACATTTAACAGATTTCAGTGCAATTCTCCTTTTCATGGTTAGAACAGGACAATGTGATACACATGAGAGGCAGAATCACGATTCTTCTTGTGCCAGGACGTTATCATGTGCAGCCTGGAAGAAGGGTCCTAAATGGTCCTTAGAAAGGGATCCTAACAGTGACTGGTGATGACTAATAACTAATCACGTAAGCATACAGAATAGGAAACCTGGCTCTTCTGCTCCAAAGGGGACTGGGAGCCAAAACTAATTCAGAAATAGAACAATCAGAGTTAAAAGCAAAGCTAAAACGTTTTGAAGGCATTTTTATTAGTTAGCTAAATTTAGACCTTTTCCAGTGGGACTCCTGAAAGTCCTGTCCTGTTTCTCTGGCACTAACCTACACAGTCCCGCCTGGACACCTGCATATTGTGCAGTAGTAAAAACAGTATGTGAGAGGCAGGAGGCCTGAGTCTGTTGCTAACCATATTTTTCTGAGATGCTGCTCAAGCTGGGTAACTTCCTATACTTTGGATGCTGAACGGCACGGGGAATGGCTCTCTCTGGCCAACAAGTGTGCATGTAACTGTGGGTTTTCCCCGGTTTTATGGTGAGTTAGACATATCCACCCCCATTTCTGAAATCACAGACATAATGAATTCAAAATTTGTTTCATCATATATTTTATTTATTTATTTATTTTGAGAGGGCGTCTTGGCCTGTCACCCAGGCTGGAGTACAGTGGCATGATCTCAATTCACTGCAACCTCCACCTCCCGAGTTTAAGAGATTCTCCTGCCTCAGCCTCCCAAGAAGCTGGGAGTACAGGTGTCAAGATGTTCTGCCACCACCACCGGCTAATTTTTCATTTTTGTATTTTTAGTAGAGATGGGGTTTCACCATGTTGGCCAGGCTGGTCTCAAACTCCTGACCTCCAGTGATCCACCTGCCTCGGCCTCCCAAAGTGCTGAAATTACAGGTGTGAGCTGCCACATTCGGCCTCATTATGTACTTTAAGTGCTTCCCCCAATTTATTAACCATTCTGTTAACCTTTCTTTGAAATCCATAGGAATTCACAGCTTGTGAGGTAAGGATCGAATTTAGATACTTCTTATTTGGTTCAGATACAGATTCTCCATTGAACTCCTAGAAATCTAAATTAATGAGACAGCATGATAAAGGAAACTCACAGAGAATCCCAAAACTCCGTTTTATCTACCACTTCCCAACAGCCTTTACGCAGTTCACTCAGAAGGCAGCATGAGGGAGTCAAAGGAACGGCCACTGGGAGGCAAAGGCCTGTCTGTGCACGGTATCTCACCCACTGGAGACTAAATTCAGGCATGTTCCCTCATTTCCCAAGGCCTTCATTCGCTCGTGGGGATAATGATCCTCTTTTAATTACATAATATAGGTGGAGGAGCTCGCCATCATGCTGGCAAAGAGGAGGTATGCCCCTTTTTTTCTTAGTTAACAATGGAGCCAAATTGTTAGGGTTTGAATTTAAAGCTTCCCTATTATGCCTGCTTTCTGAAGGAAATTTGAAAAAAAAATCCCTAAAATGTTTAATGTTAATTTTACTTTACAGAGAAATAACAAAATGATGATTGTTATAAAAAGCTTGTTCTCATAGGCATTAGCTACATGCCAACCTGCAGGAAGCTGGGCATTTCCCATGCGTGGAGCCAAGTTAACACTTAAATTACACTCAAGGTGGGTACAGGTGAGGAAGCTGAGGTTGAGTGAGGTTAAACAGCTTGCCCCATACGGTATACAAGGAAGTGGAATCATCAGAATTCAAACCCAGAGCTGGGTGTTGTAACGCCTGTGCTCTTACCCGCTATACCACTTGCCTGTAGAGATCTCACACACGGCTAAGGCACCCTTGGCCTTACCCCTCCCCTCCCTTCCACTCATCCAGGTCCTCTTGCTTCTGGTCTCCACAGGCACATCTACATATTGCTATGGTTCCTGTGACATGCTGCCTGCCATGGCCCAAGTGGCAGCTCATGGAGACCTCTGGCTCAAGTCACATGGTCTAATACTGAGCGTCTACCATGGGACCAACTAATAACAAACAGTATTTTCTCTCCAACTCCTTGTATGCTTGTCTATCATGTGGGCATCACAGAAAGGAAAGTGATGGGCAAGGAAGGAACTGCCAATCCATGGGGGCACTGGCCACCTACTCAGCATGACAGATGCAGAAAGTGGAGAATCCAGAACCAAAAGACTCGAATATGCACAGATGATGGGAAGTTATCCAAAGACTAGTGTCCACATGACATCAGTACGCTAATCTAGCTGCACATCCGGTCCACTGCTCTGCAAAGTCTAATAACACTTCACAGACATCTGAACATATATAGCAATAATTACATATATAAATAATACGAAGGGCCAACAACAATGCCCTGAAGGGAAGGTGTTGTCAAGTCACAGCCAGAGGCCTAACTCAGCCTCTCACATGAATGCTTCATAGCAACTAGGAGAACAATTTTCCTGCTTAAAACAATAGAGAACAAAATATTTTCACCTGAAGATAACTTATAAATGTTTTTGGGGAGAGATAGCATGGGGAGAAATGCCGGATATAGGTGATGGGGAGGAAGGCAGCAAATCACACTGCCATGTGTGTACCTATGCGACAATCTTGCATGTATTCACATGTACCCCAAAAACTAAAACGCAATAAAAGAAAAGAAAGGGAAAGGAAAGAAATGTTTTAAAGCAGGAGTCCCCAACTCTCTTGTCACCAGGGACTGGTTTCATGAAAGACAATTTTTCCATGGATGAGGGCAGGAAGGGGTTTTGGGATGAAACTGTCCCACCTCAGATTCACAGAAGCTGGCAACCTAGATTCCTCCCATGTGCAGTTCACAACAGGACTCTGCTCCTATGAGAATCTAATGCCTCTGCTGATCAGACAGGAGGCAGAGCTCAGGAGTTAATCCTCACTGGCCCACTTGTACCCGTTGTAAAGGGCAGGGATTACCTCTTTTTACTGCTGTCTTTCAAATGATATCAACCACATCTTAGGAGACTTTGTGTACCCCTGCCTTCTAAAATCCCTGCCACAGCATCAGTAGTTACTGTACCCACATATTAAGCAATATTCTCTTTTCAGAGCAAAAAACATCTCCTAAATGTTGCTAAATAAGGGTTCTCTCTAAACTCAAGAGAGATTAAGGTGTGTGATAACCTCTTGGTATATGTGTTGTACTCTTTTTCAAACCCTGTCAAAGAAGGAAAGTAGAAATCAGCTCTCTTCTTTCCATAATCACTGTGGACAGCCACATAGCACTGGAGCTGGGTGGGAAGAGAACCCTGGATTCATGGTGTTCAGTTTCAGTCATTTTTTTAAACCAAATATAAGAAGTCTTCAGGTTACCAGGACCCCATAAAGGCAACTTACAATGATGTCTTGTCTGGTTTTGAAAGTGCTGATGTAGTGGCCATAGTGGCTGTCATCCATTTGCCGCAGGATGGCAATCATGCAAGCCACAAAACTCCCCTGGAAGGAAAAGGAAAGCACAAATCCAAGACTCCTTAGACCAACAAGATATGAGCCCCATGAACTTGGCTTTTCCCACTCAATGAGCCATGCAGGTCCCCACCACACTGGAAACGCACTGCATTCTAAAGGTCCAAAGGCCACGTGCTTTGCTGTTTCTGCTTCAAACTACCTCCTTCCATGTCTGAGTGAAGGAATCCCATTAATAGCTATGGAGTGTGGATTCCTACAGACAGGACACCTCAGTGAGATTACCAGTGAAGATGTAAAACTTGTGGGGCTTTGGGTCTCTTGTTGAGACAGAGCTGTAGTATAGAATTCCATGGAGAAATGTCTGAACACTTAGATTAGTTAAACAAATCTGATTCGGGAAGAAGGCTAGGAGGAAAAGAGGTGGCAACACTGATCATGGTGGAGAGGAGGGCAAGCAATGGTGATGATAACTCCTTACTATGTGGTTTGGCTGTGTCCCCACCCAAATCTCATCTTGAATTCTACTTCCCATTATCCCCATGTGTTGTGGGAGGGGCCTGGTGGGAGGTAATTTAATCGTGGGAACGGTTACCCTCATGTTATTCTCATGATAGTTAGTGAGTTCTCACGAGATCTGAAGGCTTCACAAAGGGGTTTTTCCCCCTTTTGCTTGGCAATTCTTGCTGCTACCATGTGAAGAAGGACATGTTTGCTTCCCCCTCCGCCACGATTATTAAGTTTCCTGAGGCCTCCCCAGCCATGCTGAACTGTGAGTCAATTAAACCTCTTTCCTTTATAAATTACTCAGGTATGTCTTTATCAGCAGCATGAGAACAGACTAATACAACCTGATGCCACTTTTCCAACTCCAGAGCCCTTCAGCCAGTTGTTCTTACATATTACCCACATGAACTGTGAGCCTGACTGGAAGAGAAAAAATTAATAACTGGGTGGTTAACACTGCTTCCATTTGTGAGTTCAGGAATTACATATTCAAGGTTCTCTCCCCTAGTCCAAAAATATTTGAATTATAGACTTGTTTTTTTAGGCAGGGGATAAAGATCCAGGGTTACTAAACTCCTATATTTATCTTGTTATGAAAATAACACAAAGGAATTTTGCACAACAGAGATCAACAAGAATTCAATGAACAAAGGAATTTAGCACAATAATCTTTCCCTCTGGAAAGATTCCCCAAGCAGAACAATGAAAGACTGTCTGTGTCCATCTCTTTCTGAACATATGCCTTAGACTGTCCCTTTTGTTTTAAAAAGTTTATTTTTTAGGCCAGGCATGGTGGTTCACACCTGTAATCGCAGCACTTTGGGAGGCCAAGGCTGGCTGATCACTTGAGGTCAGAAGTTCAAAATCAGCTCACCTACATGGTGAAACCTCATGTCTCTTAAAAATAAAAATTAGCTGAGCCTGGTGGTGGGCACCTGTGATCCAAGCTACTTGGAAGGCTGAGGTAGAACCGTGTGAACCCAGGAGGCAGAGATGCAGTGACCAAGGTCATGCCACTGCACTTTAGCCTGGGTGACAGAGACAGAGCCTGTCTCAAAAAAAAAAAAAAGTTTATTTTTTCAATTATAAAGCAATGTAAATTTATTGTACTAAGGCATTTGATATATATATTGCCAAATTATCACTAGCTTTTATTCCCACCAGTGTCTAACACAATTTGTTTCTCCAGGACCTTGCCTAATCTGGGTATTAGAGGCTTATTTAATCTCACTTTGCATTTTCATTTCGTTTTCTCTGAATTAAACAGTCCGTCCATGAACTTTTTGGCTATTTATCTTTCTCACATTCTCCCACCTTAGCCTCCTGAGTAGCTGGAATCACAGGCACGCACCATCACTACGCCCAGCTAATTTTTAATTTTTTGTAGAGATGGGGTCTGACTATATTGCCTAGGCTAGATTATTTTCACTTAATGGAAAATCCATGTCAGAACCAAGATCTGCTCAAGATTATAACCAATAGCCCATGATGTGAGAGGTCCATGTGAAGAACAGCCTGAAGCCACTGGTCCCATAGGCCTCCTGATAGGCGGGGGGGCAGAGAAGCAGCAGCAGCTGGGGATCCACCAAAGAGATACTCACGATGTGGGGAGACTGCCGGCTCATCCCAATCACTGTCCGGTTGATCCTTCTCAGCAGCCGTTCCATTATAAGCTGGATGTGTGTCGCAGTGGCGCCCTGGGGGGAACACAGGATTTGACTCCATTTCTTCTGACTCAGTTTTACTTTTCTTTAGGGAACCTCAGATAGATGGGATTTGTCTTTAGATCTCTTTCTGGCTCTTCCCTACAAAGCAATCTCTTGTCCAAAAGGGAAAAATGGTCTCACGGAATAATAACTTTATAAAGAAAATCAACTGAAAATGATCATCTTTTAAAATAACATTTAAAAGATGAAGGTGGTATGCAGGGATGAGTGCCTTCCTAATAATTCAGACTGCTCAGGTTCACTGAGAGCCTATTGTGGCCACTGACTCAACAAATCGTTTTGGGGGACCCCCATTAGCGTGACCTATTCTGCTCTGAGGTCGAACAAACTAGAACTTCCCAGGTCAATAAGGCACAAGTGTGGGAAATGAAAGCAAAGTTCTTGCCACCTTCTGTGTTGGAGAAAAAAAAAAAAAAAACACAAGAAATTCAAGTCAAGAGGATTGCTATGGAGTACACGTTTGTGTCTCCTCCAAGTTCATATGTGAAGCCCTAACCCCCAGTGTGATGGTATTAGGAGATGGGGCTCTTGGGAGGTAATGAAGGTTAGCTGAAGTCATGAGGGTGGGGCCCTGGACTGATGGGATGAATGCCCTTAGTAAATGAGATATCACAGAGCTTGCTCTTTCTTTCCACCACGTGAGCACACAGCAAGAAGGCAGCTGTCTGCAGGCCGGGAAGAGAGCCCTTACCAAAACTTAACCATGGTGGCACCCTGATCTCAGACGCTCAGTCTCCAGGACTGTGAGAAAATAAATATTTGTAGTTTAAGCCACACATTCTGTTTCATTTTGTCATGGAAGACTGAGCAGACTAATGCAAGGATTTTGTATTCTGACTCTGTCATGTGTGACTTTGAGCAATTATCCAACTTCGCTGAGCTTGCAGTTTTCACAGCTGCAAAGGGGGATAGTAACAGTTTTCTTACAGGACTGACGTACATGAGTGTGCTGAATAAATGCATATTATTTCTTTCACCTTCTTTCTTTTTTTGTAGCTAGATATTACACTCATTTGGCTCCAACTTACCCATATGCAACTTGACTTTTCATAGCCTCTATCCATCCTTGCTTTATGATAGATATTTTGAAACTCCGGCTTAATACTTCAAATAACTAAATCATTGCTATATGTATGGTTTTTTTGTTTTGTTTTGTTTTGTTTTGCTTAACGGTTTTATCATTTTTTACAAATTTAACTGGCAAAGACTATATTTATGAAACGTGTACAACATGATGACTTGATATACATAATTGTGTAATGATTTCCATGGTCAAATTAACACATTCATTGCCACCCATGCTGTACATTAGATTCCCAGTGCTGATCCCATAACTGACACTTTCTACCCTTTGGCCAACATCTCCCCATCCTGCTCCCTAACGCCCTGCAGCCCCTGGTAAAGATTGTTCTACTCTCTGCCTCTAGGAGTCTAACTTCTTCAGATTCTAATAGAAGTGAGATCAGGTAGGATGTGTCTACGGCTATATGTTTGTTTTTATTTCAATAGTTTTTGGGGTACAAGTAGTTTCTGGTTACATGGTATTGGTGATTCTGAGATTTTCATGCACACATCACCCAAGCAGTGTACACCGTACCCAATGTGCAGTCCTTTACCCCTCACCTACCTCCTACCCTTCCCCCACAAAGTCCATTATATTAATCTTAAGCCTTTGCATTCTCATAGCTTAGCTCCCACTTATAAGTGAGAACATATAATATCTGGTTTTCCATTCTTGAGTTACCTCATGTAGAATAACGGCCTCCATCTCCATTTAAGTTACTGCAAAAGACATACTTTTGTTCCTTTTTAAGGGTGAGTAGTACTCCATGATGCATATATACCACACTTTAGCCACTCACTGGCCAATGGGCACTTAGGTGGGTTTCATATTGTTGCTATTGCAAATTACCAAGCTATAAACATGTAGGTACATGTGTCTTTTTCATATAATGACTTATTTTCCTTTAGGCAGATGCCAAGGAGTGGGCTTACTGGATTGAATGGTAGTTCTGCTGTTAAGCTCTTTAAGGAATCTCCACACTGTTTTTCATAGATGTTGTACTAATTGACATTCCCTCCAGCAGTGGAGCAGTGTTCCCTTTCACCACATCCATGCCAACATTTATTGTTTCTTGACTTCTTTTTTTTTTCTGATTCAGATCTCACTCTGTTGCACTCAGGCTAGAGTGCAGTGGTGTAATCTTGGCCAACTTCAACCTCCACCTCCTGAGTTCAAGCAATTATCCTGCCTTAGCCTCCTGAGTAGCTGGGATTACAGGTGCCCACTACCACACCCGGCTAATTTTTTGTATTTTTTGTAGAGATGGGGTTTCATCATGTTGGCCAGGCTGGTCTCAAACTCCTGACCTCAGGTGATCTGCCCACCTCAGCATGCCAGAGTGCTGGGATTACAGGCATGAGCCACCATGCTTGGCTGCTTTTTGACTTCTTAATTATGGTATGGCTGTTTGTATTTTAATTACAGTATTAAGTATTTTGGATCCACGCCCCCCTCTCTGCTTCCCTCTGTCCCTTCCTTCTTCTCTCCCTCCTTCCTTTGCTTCTTGTTAGTCATTTACTTGTTTCCCATTTCCCTGAATGAAAGTGATTCATAAAATCAGCCTCTCCAGGAGATGCAGCTTTCACTTCCATTTACCTAACATTTCCTTAGTGTGGGACTAACTAGACGTGCAAGTCACATGCTGTGCCCTGTGGGGAGGTGTGAAATGAACAGGGCTCCTCTGAGCCTTAAGAGATTTATATTGTGGGGGTGGGGGGTGAGTAAGACATAAATTTAAATAAGCATAACACAAGGATCCCCTAGAAGGTGGGCTCCTGGGGGCAGGGTTCTTGCTTCTCTAGTTCACTGCCATAGTCCTAGACTATCCCAGTGCCTGGAGCATGCCATCAGTTTCCCAAGGATTTGTGAGCTGCATTCTTCTTCTTTTTTTTTTTTTTAAAAAAATACAGAGTTTCACTCTTATTGCCCAGGCTGGAGTGCAATGACACGATCTTGGCTCACTGCAACCTCCGTCTCCCAAGTTCAAGCGATTCTCTTGCTTCAGCCTCCCAAGCAGCTGGAATGACAGGCATGCATCGCCACACCTGGCTAATTTCATATTTTTAGTAGAGATGGGGTTTCTCCATGTTGATCAGGCTGGTCTTGAGCTCCTGACCTCAGGTGATCCACTCGCCTCAGCCTCCCAGAGTGCTGGGATTACAGGTGTGAGCCACTGTGTCCGACTACTGTGAGCTGCATTCATAACTCAGTGTACAAAGTGATAAAATCCTCAAAAGAGACTCGAGGGGTGCATGAAGGGAATCAGTAGAATTTTGCAGGATCACACCAGGGCCAACTTGACAGAGTCACCTACTGCCACTAGAATTGACAGAATGAGGCCAATTCCAAAACAGAGCTGTTGGGAGAGGAGGGAATCCTGCAATATATTTTTTTTTAAGGCGGGAAGAACAAATGTCAGTAATTAGAGCCTTGAATTAGCTGAGGAGGTGAGAGGACAAGGGAAGAGATATTGAGCCAATGCACACATTTCAAAATGTTTATGGAGGGAAAAAAATACCACCATGACTGACAAAAAATTATTGGACTTACTACTTTACCAGAGCTCCAAGATCAATAATTTTGCATGTCTCTGCTCCTTACAGGGAACATAATATTGGGAAGACTGAAATAAAAAGCTAATTTAAGTCTCCTTGCACAGGATTTAAATACACTCAAGAGTCTTTTTAAAGAGTCTTTCTGTGTGGTGAGGTTGGTAGAGATGCTACATATTAAAAAATAGGGTCAGAAGTGGAAGAGACCTAAGAAGTCATCTAGAACAATTCCTACATACAAGGAACTGGATAGGAAACTGAGGCACTGAGATATCTGCCTAAGGACAAATAGCTACAGAGGAGTAATAATGGGACTAGATTCCAAAGCCTCGATTCTTGTGCTTCACATTAACTTTTGATCATAAACATATGATTTCTAGAACAATGGATTCCTGCCTAAACCAACGTACCAGGTACATTGCTGCCAAATTTATAGGGCTTGGAGCTTTACTTCATTATTTTAAGTAATTACTGAGTTATAACAGTTACTTAAAAACAAAAAGTATTGTGTTTATGATGTGATTGGTCACATTTATGTATTTGCTGCAAAGTCCTTGGTTAGGAACCAAATCAAAAATCACAGCATGCTTTGGGAACATTTATTTCATTTTATAATGTGGTTTCTATAAACATACTTAATAAAAAAAAAAGGGGGGAATGACCTATAATGAATAAATATCAAAAAAGCAGTGCAAGGGTAAGTGGGATACAGGGGATTAGGGAAGTGGAGGGACAGAGACTGGGGGAGTGGCAAGAGACAGCAATGGTACTCTCACATACTTCTGAGGCTGCAGTGTGGGTTCACAGAAATACAACGTGCCTGTGCAAACCATGAGCAGGAGAAAAGGTAGAAAGAAAAGGTAGGCCTTGGTCAAATGGTGGTGGACTCTGACAGGTGAACTAAGGTTTATCTATAGGAAAAGGTGTAGTATTCATATCCTGTGGTAGAACAGAACCCAAAGATGCTGTAGAGATAAAGAGTTTAGGCAAAGACAAAGTAGTTTCCCTGTGCTGTGGGAACACCTGTGCCATGCAACCTCCACAGACGTGGTGACTATGATTTGTGGCAAGATACCTTTTCTTTCTCAGCCCTAACTGTTCAAGTGAACGCATTCTGCAAAGTTCTCCAGCTTCCTGTGTGGGGGCTCTGCTAGGCCTGTGGGCTGCACTATTTCTAGGACATGTGCCCACAGGCACAGCATGTGACTTGCACATCTAGTTAGGCATATCTAGGACATGCTGAATACAGGCAAGTTCAGCCCTAGGTTTATAAGAGGGATGGGGGCCAGGTCAAGCAAGATAAGGAAACATAATTTCCACAAGGCTTCCAGAGAAAGCAATAGTGTCCAATAGGATATGGAAATGAGAACTGAGCGGCTCAGAAATAGCAGGTTGTCAGGCATCAGAGGATGAGAAGGAAGAGGTTTCTGGTTTCTTCATAAAAACAGAATGACCTTTGATTCTTTTTTTTTTTTTTTTTTAATAGAGACAGAGTCTTACTAAGTTGCCCAGGCTGGTCATGGGTCTTTTTTGGTTTTTTGTTTTTTTGAGATGGAGTCTTGCTCTGTCACCAGGCTGGAGTGCAGTAGTACGATCTCGGCTCACCCCTGCAACCTCCACTTCCCAGGTTCAAGTGATTCTCTTGCCTCAGCCTACCGAGTAGCTGGGATTACAGGTATGCGCCACCACGCCTGGCTAATTTTTGTATTTTTAGTAGAGACAGGGTTTCACCACGTTGGCCAGGATGGTGTCAATCTCTTGACCTCGTGATCCACCTGCCTTGGCCTCCCAAAGTGCTGGTCAGTCTTGAACTCCTGGGCTCAATTGACCTTCCTGCCTTGGCCTCCCAAAGTGCTGGGATTATAGGCCTGAGCCACCATGCCCAGCCAGTTCTTTGCTTCTTAAGAATAGTCACAGGAATCTCAATGGTGGGCGCACTGGGCAAGCCAGTTCAATCAGCCCGTGGAAGGCACAAGAAGTAATCTGACTTCGCCTGGACCTAGATTTGCCCTGGAGGCTCTGACCTCCTTAATTATCTCTACAATGGGCACAACCTGCCTTAATATCTGAGTTGGAAACTACCGGAAAAGAGGAAGGCCATGGAGTCACTCCTGCCTGGGTGCAAAGGGGACAGTGTGAGCTCTGTGCAGCATCAGATATGAGTCAACTCACCACATCCTTCCTGTCCAGCACTTCCAGGATGTTGCTCAGAAGCTGCGAGCTTGCCTCAAGGTCAGGCTTGCTGGAGTTGTCATCTAACTGGCCGCTGAGCTGGTCTGTCAGCAGTGGCAGCAGCACTTCTCTGCACTCTGAGAAGGAAAACACAGACAGCTCACATGCAGGAGTGCCACTGCGTGCACCGCCTCTCCTTCCTGCTACTCTCTCTCGGCCTGTCCCAGTGGCTCTAAGCTCTGCAATCAGACCTGCAGCGATGCAGCCCCCCCAGGCCACGCAGGAACACCAGAAACCTTGTCTCTACTAAAATTATAAAATAAATTAGCCAGGCGTGGTGGCACGTGGAACTTTACCCTTGTTCGGTGTGTAGATGAGTGAATTAAAAAAAAAAAAAAAAGGAACTTCATCTTTGCAACTGGATTATACAAACTAAGAAAATGACCCCTTCCCCAGGAAAAGGTGCGAACTTAGCAAAATGTGTAAATTATTTAACAATTTCTCTAGCTTTTAAAAATGCCAACCTAATACATGACAGTGAGGCCTTCTGAAACAAATAAAACCAAGCAAGTCACAGATGATTTTTTTTCCAAAATTTTTTTCACCTAATGGAGAAAATTTACTAAAAGAAGTTCCTACAAATACTGAGCTTCCCTAGTACATTTCAATGGGATTCTGCTCATGTCTGTGCAGGCCTGCAGATTTCAGAAAGTAAGGTATGATCTATTATGTCTTCTGAGAGCTTTGCTACTGTAACACATTTTATAATGCGTTGAGAATGCTACAGAAGTGACTGTTAAAGTGATCACATTCTAATCAGAATTATCTAGTGGGTGCTTGCTCTTCTGCTCAAACACCTTATCTACTATCTCAATTACCTTTTCTGTAACCTTAGAAGCAAAAGTTATCAAAGCATATTAAAATGTTTAGTAATAACTTACTTTAGAAATAAATGTTTTCTATTTAAGAGCATTCACAGGCCGCGTGTGGTGGCTCATACCTGTAATCCCAGCACTTTGGGAGGCCAAGGCGGGTGGATCACAAGGTCAGGGGTTCGAGACCAGCCTGATCAACATGGTGAAACCTCGTCTCTACTAAAAATACAAAAATTAGCTGGGCATGGTGGCATGGGACTGTCATCCCAGCTACTGTGGAGGCTGAGGTTGGAGAATCGCTTGAACCCAGGAGGCGGAGCTTGCAGTGAGCTGAGATCACGCCACTGCACTGCACTCTAGCCTGGGCGACAGAGCGAAACTCCATCTCAAAAAATGAAAACAAAAAACCCAAAAAGCGAAGAGCATTCACTAGCTTTTTGCAGTCATGACCTCTGCCTCCAATTGTGCCTTAGAAACATTTGCAATTTCTAAGAGTCAGAAATTGCAATTCTAAGAGTCCAATTTATAGAGTCAGAAAATATCAGAACCCAAAGAGGCTACTGATACGATCTAGTTCAAGTCCTTCCTTCCACAGAGCTGGAAGTTGAGACTTACAGAAGGTCACTTATTTGTCCAGTTACATAACTAGCCAGGGACAAGGCCAGGAAGGCTCTCCCACCAATGATCCACTCAATTTGTTCGATGTTGAGGAGTCCTGCTGGTCTTTAGATCCCCAGGAAATATATACACATAACATGAGGTCACCCTCTGGGAGCCCCTGACCAGGTAAGCCCCAAAAGAAGCCTCTACAGCTGCCCCACTCTAACAAGCCTTCAATTTATGGGGAAGGCCCAGGTGCTGGACCTTCTCCTTATATAGCTTTGGGGTAGAAACACTTGGTGGCTATTTGCTATACTCTACTTAAAAAATGAAAAGTATTTTACCAGTGTAAGAGTTTTTCCTCCATGCCCCACTCCTTTCCCAGTAATATACTAGTAATCTGACTTCTGCCAGCCTACCCCCACCACAAAGAAAAGGCTTGAACGGGCATAGTGGCTCATGCCTATAATGCCAGCACTTTGAGGGGGCCAAGGTAGGTGAATCACCTGAGGTCAGGAGTTTGAAGCTAGCTGGCCAACATGGTGAAATCCTGTCTCTATCAAAATTACAAAAAAAAAAAATTAGCCAGGCATAGTGGCTCATGCCTGTAGTCCCAGCTACTTGGGAGGCTTAAACAGGAGAATCGCTTGAACCTAGGAGGCAGAGGCTGCAGTAAGCCAAGACTGCACCACTCCACTTCAGCCTGGGTGACCGAATGAGACTCCACATCAGAAAAAGGAAAGAAAAGGCTTGCTTTCTATGTTTGTCAATTTCCCTGGTGTAAATACTTCCACCACAGTCAATTTCCAGTTACTAAAGTAGAATCACTGAATGTGGAGTTGAGAAGGCATGCACGTAACCAGCTCTCCCGTGGGATCCAGCACATTGCTGCTTCCCTGTCCCCTGGTTTTTAAGGTCATGCAATAAGCATAAGTTAAAGAAGAGGAATTTCTTTAAGAAGGATCATCTTTTTCCTACTTCCTTGTTGCTTCCTGATGTTCCTGTTTTAAAGACAAAATTCTCTAATTAATGAACCATTTGCAGATTGTTCTAATTAAAGATTAAAGAACACATGATTTTGCTCTTTTAGGAACTGTTGGAAACACTGAGCTGGCTTCAGTTTCTCCTTAAAACTGCTCTCCTTGGAGGTCCTTCCATACCAACAAACAACTGGCAAAATATTAATGACATTTTAAAAAAAGAAAAGCCAAGTTCTGACTGGACACAGTGGCTCATGCCTGTAATCTCAGTACTTTGGGAGGCCGAGTTGGGCACATCTTTTGAGGTTGGGAGTTTGAGGCCAGCCTGGCCAACATGATAAAACGTCATCTCTACTAAAATTACAAAAAACTATATACATGTATTAGCTGGGTGTGGTGTTGCATGCCTGTAATGCCAGCTACTCAGGAGGCTGAGGCAGAGAATCACTTATACCTGGAAGGTAGAGATTACCATAAGCCAACATGGCACCACTGCACTCCAGCCTGGGAGACAGAGTGAGACTCCGTCTTAAAAAAAAAAAAAATCAGCTGTTAGCTGCAGAAATGGGGCTGGCAGCTCAGCACGCAGCAGTTTGTTTTTGTTTTTTTGAGATGGAGACTTGCCCTATCACCCAGGCTGGAGTGCAGTGGTGCAATCTCGGCTCACTGCAACCTCACAGAGCAATTTTTGAAGGAGACTTACCTGACTGTCGAAAAAGGGTGCTCTCTACTATCTTGGTCATGCAGTTCAGTTTCTGCCGAACCAGCTGGTTGTCAGGAATGCTTTGAATGAATTTGCAGAAGAGCACGCTGGGAGAGAAACCTCAGGGTTAATCATGTCTTCATTAGTTGAAGGCATCATTATACATTTTTCTCCTCCACTCTGAGATTTGGGCATGGAGAGATTTACCTGGAAAACTACAATTGACCTGAGAGTTGATGACATGGCAGCAAGGGAGACTTTATCGTCACTTACAGGAGGCCTCTGCCTTAGAGCTAAGTATTTAAACTGCCAAAGAACACCATGTCTATCATTGCATTCCAGGCCTGCCTTTGTGAAAATGGCTTTCTTGGCTAACTCCACTCTCATGTCAATTGAAGTCTGAGTTTGCACTGCTGGGATCCTTAGGGACAGGGCTGGAAGCATGTCATTATGCACCATTTTTTGTAGTTAATTTTATGTCTGCATGTCTTGTTTTCCCAGAGAAAGTGCAAACCTCTCTCCGAGCAGGTTTTGTATATTCTTTTGTATCTTCCATAGAACTGAGCACAAAAGGTATTCAGCTAATGCTTCTTAGAAAAATAAAAGCCACGTGTAGCAGCCCAGCTCCAGCCAAGCAGGGGAGTTGTTTCTCGGTTAGAGTTAAGGAACAGAATTTTGTTTTGCTATTTACCTGAGTTCAACAGGATCAAATACAAGTTTGACGTCATTAATTATGCTAGGAAGGTACTTCAAAGCTGCCCCCTGTAAGAAAAACACCAAAGGCAATTCAGTTGCCAGGCAAGACAAAAACAGCATTTACTGCTTGATCCCAGGAGGAAAAGGCTGTGCTTGGAACTTAAACAGGGAACTGGACACAGATACCCTTGCAATAAAAAGGAAAGCTGGCATTGTTCTACACGATCTCCTAAAATGCTTTTCCTGAAGATGCAAGGGGGTGCAGCTTTCTGGTTCCTACTGCGAGCAAGCTCTGTCCACTTGGAGTTCATTTCTCTAAGGAGGTCGTTAAATTCTTGAAGCCTCTCTTACAACGTGGCCATAAAGAGTAAAAAATAAATATGAATAGTAAAGTTCACATTTGAGTCTTGAGGGATTATGTACTTCATATTTTTAAAAAAATTGATGATAATTAAGATGGTGACTCTGCACTTCTTGGTAAAATGAGGGACAAAAAATAAAAGATTGTCACCTGTAGTAGCATCAGAATCAGTTTGCTGAAATCATGGGGTCAAGCAGGGTTCACAATGGTCTTTCAAGGAATGTCTAACTGGGTGGCCTGTCTTTGGAAAACTAACATTTGAAAATACAAGTGTCTGTAGAAGTTAATGGGTTTTTTCCCCTTGACTTTCTATAAATCATACTAAAATCCATAAGCTATCCATGAACCATGATTCATTTTGTTTCTCCTGTATGATGGCCGATTCTAAGTGGTCCCAAAACATCCTCACCACAGTCTAAGAAGGGTTACCCATAATGACACCAGGCTGACCTTGATCTTGACAGCTTCCTCCAGAGGCCTGTCCATCAGCGTATTGAAAGAAAGAAATAAATGGCGGATTGAATCGTTAAACTCATCTCCATCTTCACTCTGGCCATAAAATCTTAGCAGGAAAAAAGAGAAGAGTAGTTGGACTTTCCATTGTTAAAAGAAATTTTAAAATAGGTTTGTTGCCTCCTTCACTTCTCCTTCCTTGTCTCATCCTCATAATTTTGACTCACCTAATCAAGTCCCAGGCATCTGAAGTTTCGGGCAATGGATTAGAGAAGCTGCTCAACCCAGGAAGGTTCTGATCTCAACCCAGCCTGCAAAACCATTTGTTCCATTCTGGACACCGAATTGCCCATGCTGATACTGGCCTGCTCTACCAAAAGGGCCTTCCAGGACATAAGACCCCTTAGTCTTCACTGATACATGCTTGCCTTAATTAAAGTATTCTTGTCTTCAAAAGATCTGTCCATCAACTCAAAAGTGAGTTCTTCCTCATAAATAGAAATCAAGAGATATTTGGGCACTTTCCAAAAAATACACTAGTCCTACACGATAGTGCATATGCACAGACAATGGGTGGCAATTTCACCACCAACTGCTCAAGAATAGGATGGCCTGAATTCAGAATTTCAAGCACACACTCAAATACACACATGAATATTTAAATTAGTTTCCTCCATTCACCTATACCTTACATGGTACCCAAAGACTATGTACCTCACTGAGATAGTTAATCAATCAGAGGGTTACTGGTAATTCTCAATTCATCCATGTTGCAGAACTAGAAAAGAATTTTATTTGCAATTTAGTCCCCAAAGTATCTCCAAACTAACATGCCTACAACAGAACTCGCTTGATTTTCCGGCTCAGCTTAGTTTTCCAAGTGTCAGCAAACGGCATCACCATCCACCCCAAACCTAGATGCTATCTATGCTTCTTCCCTTTCTCTCATTGCCCGATCAAATTCAACAGCAAATCCTATGAGCTCGAGTCAGTCCCTTTTCTCCATCTGCCTCTGAGAGGGAGCTGCAGTATCTCACACTTGAACCACAGTGGCCTCTTAAAATGGTCACTGGCCTCTCCTTTTAGACTTTGATAATCCATTTTCCATGTGGGAGAGGAGATGATCATTTAAAATATAAGCCAGATTTTATTACTTCTCTAGTTGTCCCCCAATGGCTTCCCGCTGCACTTGGAATAAAATCCAAGCTCCTCAATATGGCCCACAAGGCCCCACATCATCTATTATTTGCTGGCCACTCCCGCCCTCTCTCCTGACACTGAATTCTCGTTAGTCCTCATGCATGCACACTTGGTGCCCCATAGGTCCCAGCCTGGGGCAGGTTCTGCTCTCACTAACCCTTACCTGACATCCCTGGAGGCCGCTTCTTCATCTTTCAGTCTCAGCTGACATGACACCACCTCCTTCTCCACCCAGCTCAGCTCAGGCAGCCTTCCCTATTAGCTCTACCGCCCCAACACTGCCCTTATTTAGGGGGTGATCTCTTTACTCCTTGCCTCCCTGAACCCCATGGGACTCACACACATCATCACAGTGGGAGCCTGGTCACGTCTGCTGCAAGGGCCCTACACCAATGCAGAATACTTGGCAATCTATGTATGTGACTTATTATTTTTTTTTTAAGTACTAATGATAGAGAACTGAGGAATTAAGATCAAGCTTCTTAATATCCTATTATGGGCACTTTACAATTTCCTCTTGGTGTTTTGCTGATTGAGGTGATCTCCAGCCAGGTAATGGGCTCATAAGAGAGATTTAAGCTCTGATGAAGGCAACAGGGGGACTAGGGACCAGGTGACATTCCACTGCAGCCTCCGGACAGGGCCAGTGCACTGAAGAGACCATTCAGTCGAAGCAACCGGAGGACACACATTGCCAGTCTCTTCTCCAGCTCAGGTACTTCTTTAATTACACATAAGGAGAAAGTAACCACAAGCAACCTGTCCTGGACAAGGTGCAATAAGGCAACTCTATCCTAGACAATTTCATGGGTCCTCTGTTGACCTAGCCTTTCATTTTCCACACTTACCATCCTTTACTGTCCTATCTGGTGTCCAGAATGAGGACCCTGATGTGCTTCAACAAATAAAGAGGAAATGAGCTAGTGAACCAACCATAGGCAAATACACTTTAATTTCACACTCAGGTTTTCTTTCTGTGGTTTAAAGGTGATGCTGATTTTTGGACATCAGGGTTTACTCTACAAACAAATTTTTGGGTAAGAGAATGTTCCCTTGGTATAACACTCCATGCCCCAACCATTTCTGAATATATGGAAATGTACTATAACTAGAAAATATAATGAACAAACTTTAAAAGAAGATCTTCTGAAAAGAAAGCAAATACAGAGACTGTGCATAAATTATGTGTGGGGAAAACACCACTTGCTTCCACCTGGGAAAGAGAAACAGTCATTCAGCCAGCTGGGTTTTTAAGTCATTAAACATTTTAAAAAAACAATTAGAAAGGTAAATATTCATTTAAAAATTCAAAAAGGATAGAAAAATAGCAAATAAAAATATAATAATAAATATAATTAAAATGCTGAAAAAATACAAACATAAAGAATGAAAAAATAAATTACAACTCTGTCACCTGAAGTTTTAGTGTTATTGTTATTTCAGACCAAGCACGGTGGCTCACACCTGTAATTCCAGCATTTTGGGAGGCTGAGATGGTCAGATCCCTTGAGCCCAGGAGTTTGAGACCAGACTGGGTAACATGGTGAGACCCTGTCTCTACAAAAAATATAAAAATTAGCTGGGCATAGTGGCATGCCCTTGTGGTCCCAGTTACTTGGGGGTCTGAGATGGGAGGCTCACTTGAGCCTGGAAGGCAGAGTGAGGCAAGCTGAGATTGTGTCACTGCACTCTCGCCTGGACAACAAGCCAGACCCTGTCTCAAAAACAAAAACAAAAAACCCTAAAAAACTCTAAACAACAACAACAACAAAAAAACACTTTAGCATGTGATCTACCCAGTTTTCTTTACTATACATATTTCAAATCTGTATGATTTTGAAAGGAAGATCATACTGTACTCATGCTTAATACCTTTATCATTTAAGAATCTATTGGGCCAGGCAAGATGACCCATGTCTGTAATCCCAACACTTTGGGAGGCTGAGGGAGGTGGATTACGAGGTCAGGAGATCGAGACCATCCTGACTAACACGGTGAAACCCTGTCTCTACTAAAAGTACAAGAAATTAGCCAGGCGTGGTGGTGCGTGCCTGTAGTCCCAGTTACTTGGGAGGCTGAGGCAGGAGAATCTCTTGAACCTGGGAGGTGGTGGTTGCAGTTAACCGAGATCACGCAACTGGACTCCAACCTGGGCGACAGAGTGAGACTTCATCTCAAAAAAAAAAAAAAAAAAAAGAATCTATCATGATGATCTTCCCTCATTAATATACTATAGGTTTGAAATGACTGTACATACTTTCATGTTCATTTTTGTCATACATGATAGATGTTTTTTCCGTTAGATAAATTTCTAGATGGGGTATTATTAGACAAATGTGACACTTTTTCCTTTTCCTTAAAAATTTTCCATTTACAACCACCTGATCTTTGACAAACCTGACAAAAACAAGCAATGGTGAAAGGATTCGCTGTTTAATAAATGGTATTGGGAAAACTGGCTAGCAATGTGCAGAAAGTAGAAACTGGACCCCTTACTGACAACTTACACTAAAATTAATTCAAGATGGACTAAAGATTCAAACATAAGACTGTTTAACACCATAAAAACCCTAGAAGAAAAGTTAGGCAAAAGCATTCAGGACATAGGCATAAGCAAGGACTTCATGACTAAAACACCAAAATAAATGGCAACAAATGGGATCTAATTAAGAACTTCTGCACAGCAAAAGAAACAATCATTAGAGTGAACCGGCAATCAACAGAATGGGAAAAATTTTCTGCAATCTACCCATCTGACAAAGGACTAATATCCAGAATCTACAAAGAACTAAAACAGATTTACAAGAAGAAAACAAACAAACCCATTCAAAAGTGGATGAAGGATATGAATAGACACTCTCAAAAGAAGACACATATGAGGCCAACAACCATATGAAAAAATGCTTATCATCACTGGTCATTAGAGAAATGCAAATCAAAACCACAATGAGATATCATCTCACGCCAGTTAGAATGGTGATCATCAAAAAAATCTGGAGACAACAGATATTGGAGAGGATGTGGAGAAATAGGAACACTCTTACACAGTTGGTGGGAGTGTAAATTAGTTCAACCATCGTGGAAGACAGTGTGGCGATTTCTCAAGGACCTCGAAACAGAAATTCCATTTGACCCAGCAATCCCATTACTGGGTATATACCCACAGGATTATAAATCATTCTGTTGTAAAGACACATGCACACGTATGTTCATTGCAGCACTGTTTACAACAGCAAAGACCTGGAACCAACCCAAATGCTCATCTATGATAGACTGGGCAAAGTAAATGTGGCCCATATCCACCTTGGAATACTATGCAGCCATAAAAAATGATGAGTTCGTGTCCTTTGTGGGAACATGGATGAATCTGGAAATCATCATTCTCAGCAAACTGACACAAGAACAGAAAATCAAACACCGCATGTTCTCACTCATAGGTAGGTGTTGAACAATGAGAACACATGGACACAGGGAGGCGAGCATCACACACTGGAGTCAGCTGGGGAAGGGGGCTGTAGGAGGAACAGTGGGGGTGGGGAGGGATAATGTGGGAGAAATGCCAGATATCGATGATGGGGGAAAGGAGGCAGCAAACCACCTTGCCATGTATGTACCTATGCAACAACCCTGCATGATCTGCACATGTGCCCCAGAACCTAAAGTACAATTAAAAAAAAAGTAATTTTCTTTTTTTAAAAAAAGGTATTTGGCAGGACAATATCAAAGATGAAAAAAAAAATCCTTTTTTGCTTTTTATTCTTACTGTCTATTTCTACTCTAAAGAATTTATATCTCCATTAGAATCAGATTTCAAATTCAGGGACAATTTTTGTCCAATCTCATCAAAGGACAAAGATTTTTAATCTTTTTCAAATGTATAGCTAAAAGATGCTGTGTGTGTGCATGTGTGTGTATCAAAATTCTTTTGATAGTGAGAATGAAAAAAATTTTTAATTTATTAACCATTTAAGTTTTTCTTTTGTAAATTACCTGTTTTTGTTTTCTATTATGGCTACGTATCATTCTTTTACTGACTTATAAAAGCTTTAACTGAGAAAAGCTATTAACTTTTCATCTGTACTATATGTAAACTTTTTCCTAGGTTTTGGTCTTTAATTTTATTTTTTCAATAAACAAAGTTTCTTTTAAACATACATAATGCTAAAATCTACAAACCTTTTTAAAATTATATTTTAAGTTCTGGGGTACATGTGCAGAACATGCAGGTTTGTTACATAGGTATACACGTGCCATGGTGGTTTGCTGCATCCATCCCCTGTCATCTACATTAGGTATTTCTCCTAATGTTACCCCTCCCCAATCTCCCCAACCCCGTCATCCCTTCCCTAGCCCCGACCCCCTGACAGACCCCAGTGTGTGATGGTCCCCTCCCTGTGTCCATGTGTTCTCAATGTTCAACACTCGCTTATAAACAAAGTTTCTTTTAAACATACATATGCTCAAATCTACAAACTTCTTACTGCCTTAGAAACAAATTTTAACACTTTGGAAATACAGCTATTTCTGATGGGTAGGAAAGTCACTGGGGTCGTGGGTGTTCCCTGCAAAGCTATTTGCCCTTCTGTGGTTTCTTCTATTTTGGATGGAAATGTTATGCTAGAAATCCAAACAGGGAATGATCCTACTTCTAGTGTTTAGGTGCCCATGTAGCTAAGCACATTGTCAACAAGTAAACACTCATCTCAGCAAATACCTCCCCTGAGATGACTGCTTCTTCTGCTAGTGACAGCAGATGATGATCCTAGATTTGCACAAAAAACATTCATGAAGTCATCTGCTGTATTAGGTACAATCTTGCCGTAGGAACCTGCTTCCCCAAGTCCTGAGGTTATTACTGCCCCAGAATTTTGCTGATCTACATAAACTTCTAATGCATCTTCTCCAACAGAAACATAGTCCACCTCCATCTTCAGCCCTGCAGTTCTGAAATAAGGCAATTCTAAGAACTAACTGCTCACAGAGCTGAACACCAGCGTGGAGAGTGAGGGAAAAACTACAGAGTGACAGCTGATAACCTAAACATCTTAACTGCAGTTAACATTACCTCAAGTAGAGCACTCGAGACTGGATGATGAATCTAAACAAGTACTTCAAGGCTTTCAACGCAGCAAAAAGCATTTCTGTCTTGCTGGAGTCATCTGCATTAGCCACGTAGAAATTCAGTACCTTGGAGAGTTTCCTTCGAAGGATGAGAAAGAAAAATTAATCCAATGAGCAACAGGGTACTCTGAGGCTTGGGTAAGCTATCTAAGACGGGAAGTTGGCATATTGGAAGAAGTGATAACTATTTCTTCTAGAATTAGAATATGCCCTGAACAGGAAAACTGACACTTTTCCAATTAAGTTTCCTTATCTGCCATCTACATTTGGAACTACTCTTCTGTTGAAAAATACTAGAAGATTCCTTTCCCTTTGTGGAATTAAACAGGAAGGTTATGAAATGAAATGGTTTAAGTGACCCAAATCACTCGGAGATTTTAATGTCTCATATGCAATCCTGACATCTTCAGATGCTCCCTTAAGGGAGGGATTATGTCTGTCTAAAGGAGTTGACTTAAAATAAGTCAGATTCCTTTTATTCTGCCCAAATCCTTTGAGATCCATCAATATGGAGTCAGATGGAAATTTCATGGAGTGAAGGAAGAGGAACACAATCTAACTCTCCAGAACATTCATTGTTCTAAGCATTCAACAGATAAAACTGTCCTTTGGTTTTGGGTTGCTCTTTATGACTTTCTAGAGTTTTTGGGCTAGGAATGGTCTTCATTTTGTGCTATACCTTAGACTTTGGAGGGCACTGATATTTTAGTCGTAAACTTTCCTTCTGGGAATCTTTGAGCTTTCCTAGAATCACTATTTTTAAAAAAGGAAACATATAGAATTGATCAAGACTTGCAAAGTGGGCCCAGATTATAACTACCGGAGTGCTGCATTTGGCTCAGTGAGGGTTTCCTCATTTGTAGCTACTGCCCACTTGGATGTGAGTCTTGCAGGTGGAAAGGGCACTGTCACTGGTGTGCTCACTGACAGGTCAGTGGGCAGCAATCTACAGGATTTGACCTAAGCCAATACCTAAGAACATCATTTACCAATCCAGCTACATTCCTTTCACTGTTTATCACATTCTGCACAATAACTGGAAGGTAATGGGGTTAGTGTGGCAGGAAGATACAATGCCACGGTGAGCTGAGAGCTCTGGAGAGGTATGCGGACTGGACATTAGTTGCTTTCCTTTATCAGGGGCCCATTAACCAATGACAAAGGAAGGCTGCACTACGGAAAACGTAGAGACCACTACCTCTTTTGCAAAAGATGGGAAAATGAAGTCTTCTCATATTTTGGATGTAATACATTTTATAAAGCATTTGTGGCACAGGTTGAGGGCATGATCTTTTCTTCTATCAAACTTTGTCTTGTTTAATTCATGGTTTGATCTCTTTGATGCCTCCATGCTGATCCCACTGACATCTAACCTCTAAGATCCTGAGTTGGGTCATTTGTCATTGATTTTGCTCTTTTTTTTTTTTTTTCTTTGGTTCAGGGTTTTACTCTGTTGCTCAGGCTAGAGTGTAATGGCATGATCACAGCTCACTGCAGCCTTGACCTCCCTGGGCTTAAGCAATCCCCTCACCTAAGCCTCTGGAGTAGCTAGGACTACAGGTGTGCACCACCACACCTGGCTAACTTTTTAATTTTTTGTAAAGACAGGTTCTTGTTATGCTGCCTAGGCTGGTCTTGAATTTTTGGCCTTAAGCAATCCTCCCACCTTAGCCCTACCAAGTGCTGGGATTGCAGGCATGAACAACCATGCCTGACCTATTCTGGATTCTTAAGGAGATTTCACCTTATCCAGAAGGACGGCTCTGGTCTTGACCTCCTTTCCAGAGTTAGAATACTTACATGGTTCCCTTTTTCCACGAGGAAGCTTAGAATGGAGTTCTGCCTTAACAGACACATGCACTGAACATAGGTCCCTCTCGTTTCTCAGCAATCCAGCCCTAAGAGTACAAATCCAAAGATCCAGCAACATGCAGTTCCCTCACATCATACTTACACATATGCCAAAGTGGCACTGAAGTGCTTGTAAATATAGGTTTCAAGTACAGGATTGAAATGCTGGAACTTGATGTCTCCTATCAGTGAAATAATGAATACCTGCCAAAAGTGAAAAACAGAAATAGCAGCACTGCACAATCCCAAGCATCCTGTCAACAAGCTGGATTTTAACATCTTGGTGCCTCCTTTTTTCTCAGGATTATTTCTGCAGCATACCCACTCCACTATTCCAGAGCTGATGTCAAGTCTTGAGAATTGTATTTATTTAACATAAACAGAGAGACTATTATATGTCAGGCACTGTGCTAAATGCTGGGAAGAAACCAATTCAAGCCAGCATCCCTGGCCTCACAGAGCTGACTATCTCTAAGATAGGGGAATTGGTGCCTAGGTAACCTAAGGGACAGCAGGAACGAGGCTCTGGAAATGAGTTTTCTCTAATCTAAGGATGCAGCTAATGAAACATTCCATGATATTTTTCTCCTGGATACACTGTGAGTGCCCCTAATAATAACTTCACTAGAGTTTCATCTCCCAATTACCCCTTGTATGCTCCCTTGCACTGCCGCCAGGCACATGAACTAAAATTAGCCACACTGCTCTGCTTACCACAGAGAGATCAAAAGCAATCAATGCCCACTGCCAGCTGCCCTGCTCCAAGGAATTTGTTTCCAGACCTTGTCCTGCAGCATCCATAACCACTGTCTCTCTTTCCCATAAACCTGAGTCCAAACAGTTGCATCTCAACTATGCGGCATTTTCTTTACCTTAAACCTTAGCTTTAACGCCTGATCATTTCTTAAACTGACTAGTTTCTCCAAGCTGTTGAATCACCTAAAGCGGCAACTGACCTTCCTCTTCAACTGTGGCATTCAAGTAAAATCCTTCCCTGAACTTTCACCCCACCCAGGTGAAAATGGTGCTTGCTTTGGACCTTTCAGCTTCTTCCCCTCCACCTTTATCTCCGGCCTTCCCAGATTCTGATACCACTTCTCCCTGTTCTGATTTCAGTTCTTGGAATGGGTTGTAGGTCTAAGTGATTTCTGTGACAAATTCAATTGTCTGCTGGGTTAAATATTCTGTTTAAAGCCTAATGAGGCTAAGATGATGAACCTCTGACTTGTGAATTGAGTCTCCCTTGCATAATAAACACACCAGTGCACACATACACACAACATGTAACAATCTTCTTTGTTGACGGTATCACCTGGTTTACAACCAGAGAATGATAGTGTCAGTTAAAATGATTCCTGATTTGTAACAAAGATAAAACACCTCCTTTTCTCTAATGAGAAAGAGAGAGCAGATCAAAAAACGAGATCTAACCGGAAACAAACAGATAAAGGCCTGAAATATAAGTCATTTTTTTCTAATTTTACTTCTAGGATCAACCTAAAACAATAACCAGAGAGATGTAAACAAATATTTATGTGGGAAGATATTTACACAATTAACTTATAATAGTGAAATACTGAAAACTACACAGTTGCAACAATAAACACTAGTGAATATGTTTAACTGCTTACCAGTGCATCAAACACAAGGAAGTCATAGGTTTCATTGTCGGACATTTCCATCATTATGTTAAAAAGTGCATCTAGTGTATCCTGCAAAAACTGAAGGATAAGAAAAACAGAGGTTATTCGGATGCTTTCATTCAGCTCCATACCATAGAATTCTGGGGACAACTAGGTTTAAATCGAAGATGTTTAAAAACATCATTTTAAAAAAAACTGGCATACTTCTTTAACAACGTAGATAAATATTATGTTTACAATGAATGGTTTAGTTTTAAATGTTGAACCAATTAGGTATAATTGGTATAACAGGCATATATACGTATATTTCTAACTATGAATATACAAACATACCTTAACAATCTCTCCTCCATCCACCTCCATTAACTTCTTTAGATTGTGTTTGATGTTCTGGGAGTTGGAACGCCAATTTAACAAGCCTAACAGGTCAACTAGGAAGAATGACCAAAAACTATAAATATTAGACACAGGTGAGACAGAACAATCCAGACCATTTCAGGACATAGCTAAAGAATTCTCTGGAACAATAATTGCTCTTAATAGTGGCTAATTTAAGATGCCTTACATATTCTTTTAAGTTACTATCTCCTATCTAAGAGAAAACCTTGTGGTCCTCGTCCATTCTTCAAAGAGAAAAAAATTAACGATTAATGCATAAGAACTTAAAAGAATGTTTGACTGAAACTAACATTTCTCAATTAATGACATCATGGTCATAAGAAGTAAAGAAGCATGCTTATGTAACCTTCCTACTTTTAATTTGCTGCCTTACTTAACATGTCCCTTACCACTTCTATGTCTGGGCAGATTCAGAGGGAAAGAGAAACATAGGTATGTGTGCCTCTTTCCCTCCCTCTCCCCTTCTCTCTCTCTCTCTCTCTCTCTCTCTGTGTGTGTGTGTGTGTGTGTGTGTGTGCGTATGTATACATTAATTTATTTCAACATCATGACCACACAGATTTTATTTTTTCCATCTTTTAGATGAGGTGATAATATACTAACAGTCCAGATAACTGCGGTTTCTCTGAGACACACACACACACACACACACACACACACACACACACACACACGTTTATTTCTTAATAGAGACAGGGTCTCTCCATGTTGCCCAGGCTGGTGTTGAACTCCTGAGCTCAAGTGATCCTCCCATCTTGGCCTCCTAAAGTGCTGGGATTACAGGTGTGAGCCACTATGCCCAGCCCCTTTGACATTTTTAACAGCTCAACAATTATCAAAGCTGTAAGTGGCTTAAAGTTTCAAAATTCTACGCTGTAAATCAAAAGACACCTTAAAATTTTTATCCCAGACTTATACTAAGGGCTATGAATCTGTTCCACCTTTTCCTTAAAATAGCCACCTGATTTGCCTGTCTATTCTTCCCTTCGCTTGAGATACCCAGAAATACTATGTATTTGGTAAGACGTACTTGGTGTCTCCTTGAATCTTCCCATAGTTCTGAGCCATCTGAAGGCAGGAACCATACAGTGTTCATTCTTTTATGTTGCCATAGTAGTAGGCATCTATTAGGTGTTCAATACATGTTTGATGAAGCAATGAATGAATGAATGGAAAGGGAACCAGTAGCCCCTAGGAAGCTCATAATATACTCAGTCCAATCATTAATGCATTCATTCATTCAGCAAGTAATTAACAGGTACAATGCTAGGCCTTCCACTAGGCACCATCCACTTCCATATTCTCTAGCTCTTACATCTGCCGCAGGCTAGTTGAAGGTATTACTCATTCCATAACTTGACTCATAGTTGCTGGATGAAAATGATTTAGTCCCTTCATCAGGGGTGAATATTCACCCAGCAGCTTCAGCCCCAGCAAAGCCCTCATCTATCAGCCCAGAAGTCTATTTCCTAGTGATACCTGCATGCCAGACCACTGCTCACATAGGAATATATTTTGGCATCTGGTGAATTGTAAGGTCTTAGGGCCAGGAGAGGAGTGACACAGGGTTACATAAAGAGCCCCAGGCTTCCTGTGTTTCTAAGATTTATACAGGTTTATCTGTGTAGCTCTAGTTAATTTTTTTTTCTTGCTGTACAGTGTCTTTTCAACTGTACAGGTGTACATAATTTGTTTATCCACTCTGCTGCTGGTAAAAACTTGGGTTGTTTCTAGTTTTTTTATGATCATAAGCAATTCTCCTATGAACATTCTCATATATCTTTTGGTATACAGGTAAAGCAGCTTCTCTGAGGTAGAAAACTAAGGTGGGATTTCTGGAGCATCAGGAAGAATATCTTCAACCACATTAAATATTATCCAAAGTCACTGTCCCCATTTTACATTCTTGTCACAAATGTGTAAGAATTCAGGATACTTCACATCTTCAGTAATGCTGAGTAAAAGCGCAAGTTACAAAAGAATTCACATAGGACACAAGACTTCGACCAGACAGTTCAATTATTAACTACATTAATACCGCAGACTGCATAATTCTGTATATCGTATACTTGAAAATTGCTAAGAGAATAGATTTTTTTTTTTTTTGAGATGGAGTTTCACTCTTATTGCCCAGGCTGGAGTGCAATGAAGTGATCTCAGCTCACCGCATCCTCTGCCTCCTGGGTTCAAGTGATTCTCCTGCCTCAGCCTTCCGAGCAGCTGGGATTATAGGCATGCGCCACCATGGCTAATTTTGTATTTTTAGTAGAGACAGGGTTTCTCCATGTTGGTCAGGCTGGTCTTGAACTCCTGACCTCAGGTGATCCACCCGCCTCAGCCTCCCAAAGTACTGGGATTACAGGCGTGAGCCACTGCGCCCGGCTGGGAGAATAGATTTTAAGTGTTCTCACCATCAGAACATAAGTAAGGTGGCATGCAAAAGTCACTGGCTGCAGGAGATTACTCGGCACCTGCAATGTGGCTAGGGCAACTAAGGGACTGACTCATAATTTATTTACATGAAATACAAACAATGCAAAATAAAACAATATACTTTAAAGGCTACAAATGTGGCAAAAGTATAAAGAGAAGCAAGGCATGACAATCCCCAAATTTAGGGTAGTAATTGCCTTCTACCATAAGGGAGATAATTTAAGAATACATACTTTTTTTTTCTTTTGAGATGGAGTCTTGCTCTATCACCAGGCTGGAGTGCAGTGGCACAGTCTTGGCTCACTGCAACCTTCATCTCCTGGATTCAAGTGATTCCCCTGCCTCAGCCTCCTGAGTAGCTGGGACTACACGTGTGCACTACCACGCCTGGCCATTTTTCTGTATTTTAGTAGAGATAGGGTTTCACCATGGCCAGGATGGTCTCAATATCCTGACCTCATGATCCGCCCGCCTCGGCCTCCCAAAGTACTGGGATTACAGGTGTGAGCCACTGCGCCTGGCCAGAACACATACTTTTAAAAAGAAAAGAATGACAAAGGTATTCAGACTGAAAAGGTTAAAAGCCACTGGAGTTTGTAACAAACAGATCTTGGAGACTTTGTAACTGCAAAACGATAAACTGTCAACTGTTTGGAGCGACAAAGAGCTGTTTTCAAAACCCAAGTCCACCACTTAGATGCTTAAGAAAGGCTTTTTACCACTTTAAAACTCACTTTTCTGATCAATAAACTGGAGGTGATCATGGCGAAGTTGGTGCTGCAGGGTGAAATGACTGATGAGTATGAATCTCCTGGCCCAAAGCCATGCATCTCTGGGGACTTACACATCCCTCTCTTTTCCCTAGAAAAACAAATCTATTCCTTCCATTGGGCCCAGCAACCAATGATCCCACACAAATCGGTCTGTTCTAGTTTTTAAAAAATAATTCAAGTAAACAAAAAGAGAGTCTCCAAGATGCTGAAACTCCAGTGGCTTTTAACCTTTTGAGTCTGAATGGCCCTCCTCAGGCGAAGGAGGAATGCCTTTGGTCACCCTCTCAAGTGAGAACACAGCTACGCTCTCTACTCAGTAAATGCCCTCATACAGTTAGCTGGTGGCTTATTAATGTTCTCCAACTTTTTATTAAATCAAATTCATTCTTTATAATTTCCATCAAGTCAGAAGAAAGCAAATGCATGAATCATCTACAGTCATCTGTCCCTGGAATACCCCGTTTTCCCTGATGCTCGAGATGCCTTGCCAAGTCTCTGCCTTTCCCTCTCTGTCCCCTGTTCCCTCTACTTACTCTCGGTCCATTTGCATGGCAGGTCACTCCTCTCTGATTTACATGACACTTGCCTTTTTAAGCTTTCTTTGCAAGTAGGTATTACTTCTGACTTCTTAAATGTGTGTTAAGATGAATTTTTTTTTAAATCAAAACATCAGGAATAAGGATGACAAAGTAAAGCACACAGTGTTATTCAAAGAAACATTCTGTGATGATGGAAATGTACATCTGTCTACCCAACACAAAAGTCACCAGCTGCAGGAGACCAGAGTGCTTAAAATGCAACCAAGGCAACTAGTGGACTAATTCATATTTTTATTTATAAAACTTAATCAACTAATAAAAATTGTATATATAAACTATACCACATGATGTTTTGATACACACACACACACACACACACACACACACACACACACATTGCGGAAGGCTAAATCAAGGTAATTAACATACACATTATCTTACTTATTTTTTGGTGGTGAGAACACTTAAAATCTACTCTCTCGGCAATTTTCAAGTATACAGTATATTATTAACCGTAGCCACAAAAATATATACTAGATTTCTCAAACTTATCTCTCTTGTCTAACTGAACTTTGGTACCCTTTGTCCAACTTCTCCCCAATCTCTCCACTCTTCAACTTTAATTAATTTAAATTTTTACAAGCTCCATGTGTCTGAGGGCTACTGTATCAGAGCAGTACAGGCTAGTTAAGAACATTCAGAAGCTGGGATGAAGTGCATGTATCAGCAAATGAAGGGTCTACACTGAAAACTGCAACTTGTCAGGAAACCTAAACTTTTGACATGGAGATAACAATGTAACAATATAGTTATCTCTAACAGAAATTCCTTTTGCTTTTCATTACTAGTTAATCCCACAAACTTTTATTTTTGTTTTCTTTATTCTTCTTTGATCTCTAGTTGAGAAAGGATAACCTACTAGATGTTCAGTAAGTGTTATCCCTTTCAAACATCCCTTCACAGTTTTAAAAGAACATTAATGCTTTGTATAGTATGCTACCATACTTAACTTTAAAAAATAACATTTTGACATTTCATAAACATTTGAAAAACACCAAAAAGAATACAAAAAACAGTAATTAGCAAACTTTTGTAGTCCTATTTGTCTTTCTCAGTGTACAAATAATGATGGTGATGATAGTGATAGCTAAAATTCTATAGAGTTCCTATACAGACTGAATGCTATTTTGTTTTTACTTACTTTAATTTACTGCATTCTCTGAAATATATACTATTACTGCTCCCATTTTAAAGACAAGGAAACCAACGCACAGAGATATCAAGTCACTTGCCCAAGATGAAACAGCTAGGAAGTGGCAGAGCTGGGATCTGAAGCCAGATAATCTGGCTCCAGATTGCTTACACATACTTAAATGAAACCGGAATCACACTGTGTATAGTGTTAAACTGTTCACCGTATCCTTCACTATGTTTTGAAATACAATATTTAGCAGCTGCATCTATTGTGTCACTTAATTACATTAAAAAATGTAGTTAAACTGACCCCAACTATCGGACATTCGGGTTGTTTCCAGAATTTCCCTGTTACAAATAATGGGGAAACAACATTGTACATCAGTCTTCGTGCACATCTCTCATTGTTTACTTAAGTTCAACTTTCAGGAGTTAAATCACAGGCTCAAACGGTCTGGAGACATTTAAAATCGTTGCTATGCCTTCTACATTATCTTTCATAAATATTGCACCCATAAACCTGCCAGCAATTTATTGTTAATATATTCACTTTTTCCATAACAAAGGATGTTACTGATGGTTTGTCATGTATTCTATGTTTTCTGGCTTAATTTTTGGTGAGCCTGCTTTTGCTTGCACATATGGGTTTACCCTAAACTTCACTCTGCTGAGTCTGGCCACTTGTCCAAGCTGAAATGCAATCCTTATTTTCTCGTCAACCATGATTTGTCAAAACAAACCTAACACCGAGCCCTTCTAAAGGTCAACCAGGATCTGATCCCTGGGTTTGCCCTATAACTACCCTATTTTGTCCGTCTTTGCCATCCTTACAGGAGAACTCTTGCCTGTACCTCACTCAAATTGTCTCTAAGGTCAAAGGCACCAGTCTCTACACAGCATATGGGAGACAGAATTTCTAGGGCAAGTCCCCTCTGCAGCACATTCTTGGTTTACTAGATTCAGTAGGACTCCTTACACATGACAGAAGTTAAATAAGTAAGAAGTTGACATTGGCTATCAAATGCCATAATCTACACGAGAGGTTAAAATTGATTATCAGAAGTTTGAAGGAAAAACCAAATGAAGCCCTCTTTGAACTATTCAGCTGAATTTATGGGAAATATCCGACTGCTTGGAAAAAAATTGGGAAGAGGAAAATAATCGAGGGAAAGACAGAACTCAAACAGGAAGCCCTACCGTACCTGTTTGGACAGGAAACTGATCATTTTCTTTGTCAGGCTCCTCCCCTTATTACCAACATCTCTTTCTCCACATACTATACAGAATGTACTGTCAGGGAATATGGCTTTTGAATTTTACAGGTGCTGTTAATAAATACATTTACAGGTTTTATAATATACTAAAATGTTTTTCTTTTCTTTTCTGGAGATGGAGTCTTGCTCTGTTGCCCAGGCTGGAGTGCAATGGCATGATCTCGGCTCACTGCAACCTCTGCCTCCCAGGTTCAAGCAGTTCTCCTGCTTCAGCCTCCCGAGTAGCTGGAACTACAGGCACACGCCACCATGCCCGGCTACTTTTTTGTATTTTAGTAGAGATGGGGTTTCACCACTTTGCCCAGGCTGGTGTCGAACTCCTGAGCTCAGGCAATCTGCCTGCCTCAGCCTCCTAAAGTGCTAGGATTACAGGTGTGAGCCACCACACCCAGCTTAAGATATTTTTCATCCTGCTTTAAATTGGACAAAGAAACTTCAGAAGAAGCTGTGCAACGTGATCAGTACTACCCAGAATACCACTTGAAAAGCAGAGAGCAGAATCCAGTTGGCCAACATCCTACCTAATAAGACCCAGCCCCATATGGTGCAGCCCCATATGGTCCAGCCCTGAGTCTAACCAAGGAGCCCAGGAAGGCTCAGCAGTAAGCTCATTTGTGTCAACCTATTCACCACTCCTACCGTTCTGAGTGAGCTTTGTGGAGCAGATGAGGGTGGCTATCTGAAAGCTGTCTTTAGTGCTATCCTTGCTTGGTGTGAAAGTGACCAGGTTTTTGGATGCTTGAAGCTCTTTTTCTTCCATCTCCATCTTGGTCCCAGGCAGGGTCAGGTAGAATTTAGCATCTTCCATTTTCTTGTTGTCACCCTAAAAAGGAAACATGTTAGGAACACCAAATGATGGCCAACATCTCGTATATGCAAATAGAAACAATTCTATCATGCATTTCCAGCATGAGAAGCGTGGCTTTATCAAATTATCCTGAAGATCCCTTCCAACTCTGAGATACTGTATCTTTCCGCTGACATTGAGCCCAGAAATAATTACATGATTGAATGGAAACAGAGTAAACTGTGAATCAGAAACCAGAATATGCTAGTCTCTGCTACAGTAAATAAATATATTACAGAATAAGGTTAAATTTTATTTTATTCAACATTAAATGGGGATAATTACACTTTACTGGGTTGATGGAAAAAGAAATAGCTTGCCATCCCTTCCAAAATGATTCATAAACTAAGATGTTAAGAAAAATATTCATCAGGTAGATGCACCTCAAAAGAGCAGCTAACTGTGGGGAAAACCCCAGATACTGTTGGATAAATGAGATATTCCAGCAACTACTTCATACTCTAAAATCTCAGCAGAAGTGGGAGCTCAGCACCAACTGGAAGACAGCAAAGACAAGTCTCAGGGAAGGAAACAAGGCCCCCAGAGCAGAGAAATGGTACATGGCTCACAGTGATAGGAAAACCACATCCACTGTTACTGAAGCCCAGCAGTGCACCTGTCCACATGCCATGCAGGATGATGCAGAGAGCACATCGTGAGAGGCCGGCCCCTTACTGTTCACTGCTAGGGAACACCATTCACAGGAGAGGGTGAGAGCCTCCTCAGAAGACCCAGTAATAATGCGGCCAGAGACAATGGCTTACGCCTATAATCCCAGCACTTTGGGAGGCTGAGGAGGGCAGATCATGAGGTCAGGAATTCAAGACCAGCCTGACCAACATGATGAAACCCTGTCTCTACTAAAAATACAAAAATCGGCCAGGCGTGGTGGCACAGGCCTGTAATCCCAGGTATTGGAGGTTTAGGAAGGAGGTTGTAGTGAGCCGAGATCATGCCATTGCAATCCAGCCTGAGTGACAAAGTGAGACTCTGTCCCCCCCCCAAAAAAAAAAGCAAAAAAAAAAGACTCAGTAATAATGCAACTCACTCTCTTCAGAAAGGAGGTGGGAAACCACGCAGCTGGAGGTCCCAGAGCCCTTTGGGTTTCTAGACTTTAATGGGCAAGTACCTGTAGCTCTAGAAAGGTTTCTGATGTTTGTATAAATAAATGTAAAAGGAGCCTTAAACGCCCATTTGAAAGGGAGTAAATATTTTGCTCAGTCATTTTCTGTTGGCATCACCTTATAAACCACCAGATCGTGCCTCCCATCCTGCAGAGTGGTGCCGTCCGGGTTCATCAGCTTCACGAAGGCCACCCCAAATGCTCGTTCCGATTTATCTCTGGCTGAAAACACAGAAAGACATGTCCGGGCAGTGCAGAAAGACACCAGGAGGCAGTGGCTATGATAGATGATTCCACATTTTGCTCAGGGTTGTGATATTCAACCATATTCTAACAAGCACAATTCAGCAGGTTGCAATAAGCCACATACCATGTGTCTCTGAAACTGCCTGGCACCCCCAAGTATGCGCTCCTGTTCCTACGTCCCCTAATAAATGAGACTAGCATCTGCCCAGTCAGACAAATCAGAAACGTGGGTGTTGACACAAGCTCCACCCCATATCAACTCCATGTCCTAAATAGCTCTGGAGCCTGTCTCTTCTCTCTCCATCCTGCTGTCCCTTCCTGAGTTCAGGCCACCCTCAACTCTTCTCTTTATTTCTACAAGGTCTTTGCAATGCATCTCTCTGTCTCCAGGGCTCTTCCAGCCAATGCATTCTTATGCTGGAATGAGGTTTCCCAAGTCCAATCCATTCACGTCAACCACCCTGCTTCAAAACCTTGAATGAGAGATCTCAAATTCTGTTGCTCAAAAACAGACTCTGCAATATTTTTTTTTTTTTTTTGAGATGGAGTCTTGCTCTGTCACCCAGGCTGGAGTGCAATGGCGTGGTCAATGTCCGCCCCCTGGGTTAAAGCGATTCTCCTGCCTCAACCTCCTGAGTAGCTGGGATTACAGGTGCCCGCTACCATGCCAGACTTGTATTTTTAGGAGAGACAGGGTTTCACCATGTTGGCCAGGCTAGTCTCAAACTCCTGACCTTTTGATCTACTCACCTTGGCCTCCGCAAGTGCTGAGATTACAGGCATGAGTCACCATGCCTGCCCAGACTCTGCAAGATATTTATTATACTCTAGGGTTTATGGTGCTGCCCAAGGTTTCTTCCCCCTTCCTCCCCAGAATATCAGCTCCGGTGCCAGGAAAGAAGATCTGTATGCCCTGTGGCAGCCGGGAAGAGGGTGTGGCTTAATGAGGAGGCAGTATCCCTCTCTTGGTCTTCAGGGCCAGTTTCTGAACTCACAAGGTCCCCTGCCTTAGTGGCTCTGACTGGGGCAACCTGTGACCTGTTCTCATCACATGCACGGCTCTGTGGTCTGCTGTGACTCTTGGGTCCCCACACTGGTGGAGTAGTCATGCATTGCATGATTATACCTCAATGTGTTTGTCCATTCTCCTATTGAAGGGGACTAGGGCTATGCTAGTGTTGGAGTACTATGGGTAAAGCTGTTATGAACATACACCAACCCTTCCCAAAACCTCAAAACCAGAAACCACCCTTGAATTGCACCTCCTTAACAAGGTTGAAAAGCATCTTCAGCCTTCATGGCCTGGCTCCAGCCTAGCTAGAATCACATGGCCTGGGTGCCAACCCAGCCTGCTCATATGCTAGCCTTGTGACTACAGGCAAGTACCTAATCTCTCTGTGCCTTAGTTTCTTTGTGTATAAATGTAGATAAAAGTAGAATGTACCTTACTATGTTATTGTGCATTCTAAACAGATCATGTTCAAATATAGCTTCACAGAATATCTCATGCAAACTAAGACCTTAATAATTGTTAGCTCTGTATTATGCAGAAACATATGAAATGAGTGACATTTGGCCACTTAGACCTAAAAAAAAATGGCAATTTCAAATGATTCGACCTGATACTATTATTGCTCCACTGGTCTGCTTTAGCCATACTCTGCTCATTTAGGTTCTCCAAACACATTTCTCCCATCACCCTTCACTGGGCTAATTTCTACTCACCTTCATGTCTCAGCTAAGATGCAGAAAGTCATATGTCTAAATCCCCCAGACTAGGTAAGGAGCTGTGCTACGCACCCATTGCAAGTCTCTGCCCTTATAATGTACATATCACACTATTCTGTACATACTCACTTTTTCATTCATCTTCCTAACCAGACCACAGAGAGTCTGCATGGCAGTGTCCAGCTGCCTCTCATATACCAGGGCCTCACCTGCAGCCTGTTGTGTAGATGGTGTTCAACACATGCATTTTTGGAAGGAGGGGTTATATTTTTATGCAGCACTAAATGAGAATAAGATGCTTCCAGAAATTTTGTGATCAATCTGAAAACAATCAATTTTCTTCTCTGCTCACACTTTAGTGGAGCCATTTCAAGAACCGTGACCTAAAACTTGAAATTGTTTTTTTTGTTTTTGTTTTGTTTTGTTTTTTGTTTTCTGAGACAGGACCTTGCTCAGTCACCTAGCCTGGAGTGCAGTGGCATGATCTTGGCTCACTGCAGCCTCCCCCTGGGTTCAAGCGATTCTCCTGCCTCAGCCTCTTGAGTAGCTAGGACTACAGGTGCATGCTACCATGCCTAGCTAATTTTTTTTTTTTTGTATTTTTAGTAGCGATGGGGTTTCACCATGTCAGCCAGATGATCTTGATCTCTTGACTTTTTGATATGCCTGCCTTGGCCTTCCAAAGTGCTGGGATTACAGGCATGAGACACCATGCCTGGTCGAAATAGTTTTTTGATCAGAAAAATGAAAATTTGGGAAGACAAGTGACTAAACAGTTTTATTGCTACTGCAATGTGGCAACATGCATTGTGAATGTCTAGGAGGGAGATACAATGTACATATAGCCTCTCCTATACCTATTTGATTGTTAAATAGTTTCTGTTATAGAGTATCTAGTAGTACCTTGGAGCAGGGGACCTCAAACCCCAGGCCACGAACCGTACCAGTTTGTGGCCTGTTAGAAACTGGGCTGTACAGCAGGAGGTAAGTGGTGGAGAAGCAACCAAAACTTCATCTGTATTCACAGCTGCTCGTGGAGGGGCGTGGTGGCTCACGCCTGTAATCCCAGCACTTTGGGAGGCCGAGGTGGGTGGATCATGAGGTCAGGAGTTCGAGACCAGGCTGGCCAATATGGTGAACCCTCGCCTCTTCTAAAAAACACAAATTTAGCTGGGTGTGGTGGTGTGTGCCTGTAGTCCCAGCTACTTGAGAGGCAGAGGAAGAAGATGCTTGAACTCAGGAGGCAGAGGTTGCAGTGAGCCAAGATCCTGCCACTGCACTCCAGCCTGGGTGACAGACTGTCTCAAAGAAAAAAAAAAAAAAACTGTTTACAGCTGCTCCCTGCTCCCCACTGCTCACATTACCACCTGAGCGCTGCCTCCTGTCGAATCAGTAGCAGCATTAGATTTTCACAGGAGCTGAATCCTATTGTGCCCATTGTGACCTGCTCACGCAAAGGATCTAGGATACACACTCCTTGTGCAAATCTAATGCCTGATGATCTGGCACTGTCTCCCATCACTCCCAGATGGGACCATCTAGTTGCAGGAAAACAAGCTCAGGGCTCCCACTGATTCTACAGTATGGAGAGTTGTAGAATTATCTCATTACATATTACAATGTAATAATAATAGAGAACACAATAAAGATAATGTGCTTGAATCATCCTGAAACCATCCCTGCCCCTGGTCCTTAGAAAAATTGTTTTTCATGAAACCAGTCCCTGGTACCAAAGATTGAGGACTGGTGTCTTTGAGAATATCAGTGTTCACAAAACACATTTTAAGGAAGTCCAAATATAGAGTGATAACACAGACCTTGCAAACCCAGCAAAATTCATTATGCTGATTTCCTTAGCACCAGTGAGTTATGAAATAAAGTTGCCAAGTATCTAGTTTCCAAATACCTTGTTCTCCAGATTCACAAGAGGGCTGTCAAGCAAGAGTAAATTTTTTAAAGTGGAAATATGTAATAGACCTCTTAATACTTACATTCCTGAGATGACCTGTGTCGGAAGGTAAACCTTATATGACAGCGTGTGACTTCTTCTATAGCAATGGATACCTGTGTCACAGTAAGAAATTGGTAGTTTACAAATACACAGTACTTTGCAGGCATGGTTTATTTTATGGAATTAGGCTCAATTTTATACTTTCCACAGCACAAATTACTACAGAGTGAGACTTGATAGAGTTTTCATTCAAAGAAGACCAAGCTATTTTCAAATCAAAAGAATCTCAGATCATCTTGCTGCTTATCATAGATTCTGAGCATGGAGATACTATGAGTTTCTAGGACTTTCTTTCATGTGAAACAGTAATACTTCACAGAGGTCTATACAGGACCTTTCAGACTGCAAGATGTGTATAAATATAGTAATAATCGAATCTATAAGACATAAGAGGAGGAAAAGGTAATGATTAGTGCCCATAAAGCAGCTTTCTGTTGCTTACAAATCTACAGGGGAGAGAAGAAACAGAGCCTCAGGGCACTGAAACAAGCAGAGATTTGTGGTGTGCAGTTAAATTATGGCATGATTATATACTGAAACATGCAAGTATCTAAAAATACATATCTGAAGAATTTATATGCCTTGAGATAAGTCGTTTCAAAAAGCACAATATAAATTTGTATCAACAGCATCATTTAAAACATATGAACTATATAAAACTGTTGAAAATGGTTACTTCTAAATCGAGATATATGAACGCAATTTTTAAAAAATTTTCTATGAAGAACTCATATGACTTCAACAACCAGAAACTGCTGATGGAGCCTGGGATTCAGAAGTGGGCTCCAGTTCAGGCCCTGATATCGGTCAGCTCTATGATCTTGGGATGTCACTGAACTTTGGATCTCCACACCTAATCAGAAAGAGGCCATGACAAGACCCACGTGTTCGAGGTGCAGAGCCGCTGTAGGGCTCAAAGGAGAATGACTGATCTGAAAAGCACTTTGGAATGTGTAATACACATATTGAAGTTGAAAAGAGGCCCAGAACACTTGGTGAGAGGCCAAGAAGAAAAAAATGTTAGGAAACTGTTTGCACAGTGTGAAAATTTCCGTTTGGTTTTGCACCATCTTGGCAGTCTATTATATCTATCACGTCAACCACAGACTTTGCTATTCAAATTTCCACACATGAATTAGAACATTATTGAAGAATGCTGAGTCTGTTAACAATAAATGCTCTTAATACAGAATTATAATTACCAAGTCATTTCTTACTGCACACCATAGGCAACTTATCCAAAAATTTCAAAATAAAGTAGGAATAATTTGAGGGTAAACAGAAGATAGGAATCTAACTGAGGTTTAAGGGATAACAGGGGTTACAAATGACTCATTCTTACCTTGACAGTCTCATACCAACAGGGCTGCTTGACTTGGTAATAGACTACGGACTTGTATTCTGAAATGCCTTCATATCCAGCACCAGGGTGAATTGCTTTCTTCAAATGGAAAGCAGAAATTAGACGGGAGTAATTTTGTTTAGAAAACTAAGAGGATCCCATATACCACACACAAGCCCCTTATCCCCCAACATGTCCATACATGCCCTGCACTGGCACTGAACAGCTGATTAAATTTGGTGGACAAAGAATAAAGAAGACTGGGCTGGGAGAGGTGGCTCATGTCTGTAATCCAAGCACTTTGGGAGGCTGAGGCAAGCGGATCACAAGTTCAGGAGTTTGACACCAGCCTGACCAACACGGTGGAACCCTGCCTTTACTAAAAAAATTACACAATTAGCCAGGTGTGATGGTGCATACCTGTAATCCCAGCTACTCAGGAGGCTGAGGCAGGAGAATTGCTGGAACCCAGGAGGTGAAGGCTGCAGTGACCAGTGAGCCGAGATCGTGCCACTGCACTCCAGCCTGGGCGACAGAGCAAGACTCCGTCTCAAAATAAAAAAATAAAAATAAATAAAAAGAATAGAGAAGACTGAATTTCTACCACTTTATTCAAGGGTCTACAATATAAATCTGGTAGCAGCTAAGGAACCCAGCAGCACCTGAAAATCCTTCTTTCCTGTAACTTGTATTTTCTCTTCCCTCCCCAGGCATGCATTGTCCTCTGATTCTTTCCTCATTTCTCTCAGGGAACATGACGATGACTAGAAATTAGGTGACACACGCACACGTGCCACTGTTTGCAAAAAGCATTTATCTTTCCTGTCTACATTCTGTTTTAGGGACTTGGGGCACTGGAACAGCATATTCACTCAAACTCAGGGCTGCATCTTGTTTTGGTCATGAACCACTTAGCTCAGTAGAACTAGGCCTTGGTGGGGCACTATCCAACGAGTTAGCGAAGCTATGAAATGACCAACCACGAGAAGGTGTCTACTTGAAATGAGCTCATGTACTCTTATCAACAGCACAAATAAAATATTCTCATGCAGTGGCTCCCAGCATTCAGTTTATCCCTCTCATGTAGAATACGACTTGACTTAGTAAATTTCCTGGCTGTCTGCATCCCTACTAGATTATAACATCCATGGGAAGTAATAAAATTATATTTCACTGTAGCCTCAAACAACTATGCAACAGGACACTCAGTGAGTCAAATCAATCAAGAGTTTGGTCCTTGGTTACCAAAGCAGGTAACTACGGCTCATACAAGAGGAGCTGAAGTTCAGGAGAGGCCATGCAGCCTCCTGTGACCACCTTCTGCCTATCCTCTTTGATGTCAGAATCAGTACTCTTCTTTATATGGGCAGAAATCTGGCAGATACCTGCTTTATATCTTGTCTTAATTAAAAAAAAAAAAAAGGAAAAAAAGAAAAAGAAAAGGAAAGGGAAAAAGTAAGAGAAAAAGGAAGGAAAAAGGGAAGGGTTTTAAAAAGTAAGAGAAAAGAAAAGGAAAGGAAAATAAAGAGAAAGGAAAGGAAAAAAGAGAAAAGAAAAAGAAGAGAAGAGAAAAAAAAGAAAAGAAAAGCTGCCAGAGTTGGAGGAACTCTGGACTGGAATTCAGGATGTTTGGATACTCTCCCAGCTCTGCCACTAAGTTCTATGTTTCTCAGAGAAAATAACTCATCCTTTTAAAGTTTCTTACAGTTTCCCGCTCATTAAAACTAAAGAGCAGTGGTAGCGAATGCCTACCCAAGGGCTCTTCCGGTTTCAGTCTCTAACGAGCATATCTCCTTTGGTTCTGCTTACCCACGGAAGGAAATGTGCTTTGTAATGCCATTCAAGTACCCAGGCCACTTAGCTGAAGCCCTAGAGGAACTGATCAAGCTTGAAAGTGGCTAAGTAAGTTGAAAATGATAAATAACCTCTGCATTGGAAGCTTACATAAAATCATTAGTGGCTGGAGCTATTTCTTAGCACAGGAGAAATACAAAAATAAGAGTCTAGGTAGCTTCCTTAGTGAAACTGCTCATTGCTAATCACAAATTTAACAGGCTTTATATTTCTTTTCTTAGGAAAAACAAACCCATCCTGATGCAAAGAAGAATAAAAATAAGACCAAAAGCCAATGGTGTTTGTAGTGATGGATGTGATGGCAGCAGGATTTCTGGGCCACGCCACACACCTCCAAGAGCTTGCCCTCCTCGTCGTGCACGGACATCGACACCTCCACGTTCTTTGGCGTTTTCTTCTTCCCTTTGTCAAACTCGCCATGGATCAGGGTGACATAAATGTCATTCCGAACATCTCCTGTAACATGACAAGCATGCTGTGAGTGCTGCTGAGAGAAGTCATTCTAAGTTTCAGGATGTCGTTATGACATAAAAGACAAAAAATATGAAGTGGTCTGGTTTTATAATGAACTACTCATCCGACAAAAGGCTTTCATGCATTGGCCGTCTTTGGCGTCTCTCATTTTACATTTCCATGCCTACCAAGATGGATTTGCACTGTAGTTTTATAGAAAATTAACACTTTTCAGTAGTAATTTTCTCTATTAAAAATTTTTGTCTAATAAATAAATATTGTATATTGTTAGGTTACAATATGCAGATGTTGTAACCTAACAATATGGTAGATGGTTTTTCAAAAGTGCTTTGGAGAGTGTGAAATTTTGAAAACATCTGATAATAATGAAGGCAATTGTCTACTGAGTGCTTATTATGTGCTGTGCCAGGCACTGGTCAAAATGTCTTACATGTATTAATGTAATCAATTATAGATTAACTTGTTAATCTATGAAACAACCTGATGAGATAAGATACTCTTTCTGAAAGCTTATAGAGTATGTTTTTATTTTCTTTTTTGATATATGATCTTGCTTTGTTGCTCAGGCTGGAGTACAGTGGTATGATCTCTGCTCACTGCAACCTTGGCCTCTTGAGTTCAAGTGATCCTCTCACCTCAGCCTCCTGAGTAGCTGGGATTACAGGCACACACCACTATGCTTGGCTAATTTTTTGTAGAGAAGGAGTCTAACTATGTTGCCTAGACCAGTCTCGAACTCCTGGACTCAAGCAATATGTCCACCTCAGCCTCCCAAAATGCTGGGATTACAGGTGTGAGCCACCATGCCTGGCCTAGAGTACTTTATATTTCTTTAAATCAGTTTACTTGCTTTGATCAATGAAAGCACGCTTTCCGCTTGTGTGTGTGGTTTTTTTTTTTTTTTTTTGGTAACCCAGCCAAAAAAAAATTATTTAATAATTGTGTAGCCCATATATTGGATAAAAATATTAAATGTTATTGAGGTACACAACTGAAACTTGGAATACATGGAAAGTATATTAAACTCCTAGATGAAAAAAGTATTGAAAAAATGACTCCAACACCTGCCCTATATTAAACTGCCTCCCAATGTAAAAAACAAAACCTTTTAACATTATAAGAAAGCAGGAGTGCATATTTAGAGCGCTGATCATTTTGATCATTTCCCCAACTGGAAAAAAATAAGATTCCACTTACAGTTGCTGAGAATGAAGAAAAAGGGGTTTATTCACACAGCACAGTTTAAAACATTACTTGACATACTGTTTGTCGATGGAGATGTTGAAAATGTGTCAAAAGCCTTAATACAGCAATTCCACTGGTAATTTTTGTCTCAAAGTACTAAAAATGTGGGCAATAATTTATCTATAAGGATATTCATTGTGGTGTTTATAAAAGTAGAAACATGGAAACATTCTTGATTTCCAAGCACAGGGAATTAGTTGAATAAATTATGGTACGATCAGATGATGGAGGTAATATTCATTATAAAAAGTGCTTGAACTCCTACTCTGCAGCAGGCATGTGCTGGGTGTCTGGGTGGCAATGGTGAGCCATGCACCAGCTCTGCCTCAACTCAGATTACAGTCTAGTGTCGGAGAGAAGCACCAGTCAAATAACCTGCATGAGTAAACCCACCATTACCAATGGAGGCACATGCCGGGCTCTGTGAATGCACAACACCAGGTCCTGACCTCGTCTGCATGGTGTGGGAATCTTTCCTGTCAGCTGTTAGCAGCAGAGTCTGGGAGAGTAGCCTGTGCAAAGGCCCAGAGGTAGGAAAAAACCTGACTGACATCCTCACAGTTAGGGGGTATCTGGTGTGAAATGAGGCTAGAGAGACAGAAATAAACCAGCTCTCACTGAGGCTAGTGAGGAGATTAAGAATTTATATATATGCCCTAAGCATAAATGAAAGTCAGTAAGATGTTTTCAGTGAGGAAGGAGTGGGGTAAGATCAGGTGTGCTTACGCAATAGAACATTCAGGATGCAGTATGGAAAAGAGGAAATGAGTGAATAAAGAGTAGAAACATGAAAACAAGGTAGGAAGCTATGGTAGTTGTCAAGGGAAGAGGCCATCCTAGCTCCAAATTGGCTAGTGGCAATGCAGATGGAGAGAAGGGGATAGATTTGAGAGTCCTTTCAAAGGTAATGCTGACAGGTCTTATCCACTAATTTATGTGAGTTGTAAAGGAAAGGAAGATATCAAGGGTGACTTTCTGGCTTGTGTAGTGGATGGATGGGTGGGTGGACAAATGGGTGGGTGGGTGGGAAGGGGGATGGATGGGTTGGTGGGTGGATGGATGGATGGATGGATGGGTGGATAGGGGTTGGGTAAGTGGATGGATGGATGGATGGACGGATGGATGGATGAATGGATGGATAAGAGTTTGGATAGGTGGACAGGTGGATGGGTAGGTGGATGGATACATGGAAAAAAGCTGGGTAGGTGGATGGATAGATGGTGGATAGGGGTTGGTTAGGTGGATGGATGGATGGATGAATGAATTAATGGATGAATAAAGGTTAGATAGGCAGACAGTTGGATGGGTGGGTGGGTGGATGGATGGATGGATGGATGAATGAATGGAGGTGCTGTTCTCTTAGATAAAACACAAGAGAGGTGCCTCAGGCCTAGATGCACAGAATTATGAGGTCCAAATGGGGATGCTGAATAAGAATTAGCCAATTAAAGCAAGGAAGGGCTAGGCATTGTGGTTCATGCCTGTAAGCTTTGGGAGACAGAGGCAGGAGGATTGCTTAATCCTGAGATCAGCCTAGGCAGCGTAAGGAAAGTTGGTCTCTACAAAAACAATTCATTTAATTAGCCAGGTGTGGTGACTCATGCCTGTAGTCCCAGCTACTTGGGAGGCTGAGGGGGGGAGGACTGCTTGAGCCTAGGAGATTGAGGTTTGCAGTGAGCTATGATCATACAACTATACTACAGCCTGAGCAACAGAGCAAGATCTTGTCTTAAAAAAAAAAAGAGGGGAGTCCTGAGGCAGGAAATAGCTGGATATATGGCCCTAGAATTCATAAAGAAGTCTTGGTATTTAAGCTCCAGATTTGCAGGTGACAGGTAGATGTAAGCCAAATGAGTGGATGATACCTCTAGGGAGAAAATACAGCTGAGACAGAAAGAGGGCTGTTATGGGCTGAACTGTGTCCTCCCCAAATTCATATATTGACGCCATAACCCCTTGTAAAACACAATATAACCGTATTTGGAGATAGAGCCTTTAAAAGAGGAATTAAGGTAAAATGAGGTCATACAGGTGGGTCCTAATCCAATATGACTGGTGTCCTCATATGAACAGATTAAGACACAGCATGCACAGAGGGACAACCAAGTGAAGACACAGGGAGAAGATGGCCATCTGCAAGCCAAGGAGAGAGGCCTCAGGAGAAGCCAACTCTCCTGTCACCTTGATCTTGAACTTCCAGTGTCCTGTCCTTTCTTGTGAGAAAATAAATGTTGTTGACGCCGCCCGGGTCTGTGGTGTTTTGCCGTGGCAGCCCAAGCACACTATCACAGGGTCTCAGGACCAAATTCAAGGAACTTCAACATTTACAGGTCAAGCAGAATATGAGAAGGTGGCAAAAGGGTCCTTGTAGAAGTCTCAGGGAAATGGAGACACAGAGGAAAGTGAGGGGGTCACCAATGAGAAGGGAAGGAAATATTTTGACAACGTCAGATGCTGCTGAGAGGTCAGAGCCGATCACTAGGCTGGAAAACGCAGCGATACCATGATCATGGGTGACTCTCATGAGAGCTACTCTGCAGAGGCGGGAGGTGGCCTGGCAGAGGTGAGAACAGAGAACAGTGGACAGAATCACTCCTGTGATGCTGAAGACAGGGAGTCGGAGCTCCTTGCTAGAGGGCAAGGGGGAACAGGGAAGAGTTTAGGAGGCAAACGGAACCAGTTCCCAGGGTGATGGGATAACAGGAAGGAGTTCTGAGCTGAGGGATTTAGGCCTAGACCTGAATATCTCAGACCTGACTCACCACCAGATCACCTTGGGACCTCTGAATTGGTCTGTAGAAATCTGAGAATCTGCATGTTCAAGAAGATCCTGATTAGCTGATCCATAGTCTAGCACCGGGAACCATTGCTCTAGATGAACTTTTTTCTCTTTTTTGAGACAAGTCTTACTCTGTTGCCCAGGCTGGAGTACAGTGGCACAATCGTAGCTCACTGCAAACTCTGCCTCCTGGGTTCAAGTGATCCTCCTACTTCAGCCTCCCAGATAGCTGGGATTACAGGTGCCTGCCATCATGCCTGGCTAATTTTTTCTTTTTTTTGAGACAGAGTCTCGCTCTGCCACCAGGTGCCATGCTGGAGTGCAGCAGTGCGATCTCAGCTCACTGTAACCTCCGCCTAATGGGTTCAAGCAATTCTCCTGCCTCAGCCTCCCGAGTCGCTAGGACTACAGGTGCACGCCACCACACCTAGTTAGTTTTTGTATTTTAGAAGAGACGAAGTTTCACTATGCTGGCCAGGTTGGTCTCGATCCACCTGTCTTAGCCTCCCAAAGTGCTGGGATTATAGATGTGAGCCACCTTGCCTGGCCATATTCCAGATGAATTTTAAAACCTAATTTGCCCTGGGCCTTCTATAAACCAATCCTATTGACTAAAAACCAAACAAACAAACAAAAAACCTTAATATTCTTTTAGAAGCCTGATTTCAAAGGTGTACTCACCTTACTTAAAGGCCTCAGGAGAAGCCAACCCTGTTGTCACCTTCATCAAAGAATAAACTTTCTCTACTTAATTTTTTTAGATTCGTGTCTTGTAGCAGTAAAACCACCTTCAGGTAGACAATATTACTAATAGTTTTTTTTTTGCCCTTAACAATAAAAAGATAAAATATTTTCCCAGAATGTTGATGACTGCATATCAGGGTGAAACAGCTAAGTAATGGCCAAAATGAGCAAAAAACTTTCTTCTTCTATAAGAAAAAGAAAAAAGAGTAATCTCCATTTTAAAACTTTTTTACTCATTCATTCTGCAAATATTCATTTAAGACTTACTACATACGACAATGTGGGTGGCAGCAAGTTATCAGTGCCCCTTAATTTCTCAAAGGAGAAATAAGATCCTGTATTACTTTAAAAATAACCTCATTATTTTTCTTTCTTTCTTTCTTTCTTTCTTTTTTTTTTTTTTTGAGACAGTGTTGCTGTATCATACAGGCTGGAGTGCAGTGGCACAATCAAGGCTCACTGCAACCTCTGCCTCCCGGGATCAAGCGATTCTCATGCCTCAGCCTCTTGAGTAGCTGGGATTACAGGTGCCCACCACCACGCCCTGCTAATTTTTGTATTTTTAATAGAGACAGGGTCACCAAATTGGCCAGGATGGTCTTGAAGACTTGACCTCAAGTGATACGCCTGCCTTAGCCTCCCAAAGAGCTGGAATTACAGGTATGAGCCATCGTGCCTGGCCTAAAATAACCTGAATTTCTATGCAGTAGATAAGTTGGTTTTCTAGAATTTTTCTAACACGGCATGGTTGTTTTTCTAGAATTCCTATTAATATCAATTAGGTTATAGCAATATGTATAAAGTTCCTTGAGAGACTTATTCTCTTTTCTTAGTATGGAGATTAAAATTAAATGGGTGAAGTCAGTGAATTCAAGAGAACACACACATATGCAGATCACCAGAAAGAAGATGAAACAGAAAAATGCTGACATTCTCATCATGACAAGAAAGGGAGAGCCAGAGTGCTTTTGGAGCTTCGAAGAATGGCGAGAGCAAGGCGCCCATATGCTGCGGACATCATAACGAGAAAAGGGACACACAAGTGAGGCCAATTAGTCTCCTGAGTCTGTGTAAAAGAGTAAGAAAATTTGAGTTATGTTTAAAAGCATTATAGGCTGGGTGCAGTGGTTCACACCTGAAATCCCAGCACTTGAGGAGGCCGAGGTGGGTGGACCACAAGGTCAAAAGACAGAGACCATCCTGGCCAACACGGTAAAACCCCATCTCTACTAAAAACACAAAAAACTAGCCTGGTGTAGTGGTGGATGCCTGCAATCCCAGCTACTCAGGAGGCTGAGGCAGGGGGAACTGCCTGAACCCAGGAGCTGGAGGTTGCGGTGAGCCGAGATCACACCACTGCACTCCAGCCTGAGCAACAGAGCAAGACTCCAGAAAAGAAAAGAAGTAATGGCTGCAGGGGAGGAAGCAAAACAGGTGAGTCATGCAAAGTGCTTACCTGGCAGTATGATTTCAGGAAAGCCCATCTTCCGGGCGATTGCTGTTGATCTATCAACCAAGTGTGAAAAATTCTTCTGAACCTGTCTGAGGTCACCTGGCAATAGCTTCAAGGATACCCAAAGTCCTTTAAAGAAATAAAAGATAAACTTTTAGTTCTCTATATAATCTATATAACACACGCATAACCAGTGAAAAGAACATCTGAGTTGTATAGTCACAACCAACTACCTTACTATACAGATAAAAATTCTCCCCCAGTTAACTTGTAATTTTAATCACACTTCCACAACAGGACCTTTTGAAAATGTGACAGAGATGTGAACAGATGCTAAATTTAGGGGAAAAAATGGTAAAGAAGCCCCTACCAGATACCAGAATATATTGTAAAGCTACAATAATTTGTGATACTAGTGGTAAATATGATATATACATAAAACAATGAAATACTATAATACACAGCAATTTAATATATGGCAAAAAAGGCATAACGAATCATGAAAAAAAAAATCCAATCATTACATGAATATTCTGGGACTATTTTCTTGTTACTTAAGAAAATTTAATTTATCATCTTGTATTATCATTTAAAAAAATTCCCAATAATGAATTAAACAGAAAAAAGAGGCAGAACATTTAAAAAAAAAAAGTATATAGTTATTAAAACTCTAAGAAGAAAAGAAGAACCCACTTTCCTTTCTTTCTTTTTTTTTTTTTTTTTTTCCTGAGAGAGAGTCTCACTCTGTTGCCCAGGCTGGAGTGTGGTGGTGCCATCTCAGCTCACTGCAACCTCTGCCTCCAGAGTTCAAACAATTCTAATGCCTCAGCCTCCGCAGTAGCTGGGATTGCAGGTGTGTGCCATCACACCAGCTAATTTTTGTATTTTTCTTTTTTTAGTAAAGATGGAGTTTCACCATGTTGGCCAGGCTGGTCTCGAACTCCTAACCTCAAGCAATCTGCCTCCCTCAGCCTCCCAAAGTGTTGGGATTACAGGTGTGAGCCACCATACCCAGCCCTAATGATTTTTAAAAATCAATTCACAACATAACCAAGAGTACAGTAAGATAAACACTCGAACACAACAGAAATCTATGGCAAGTGATTTGGCATATGTCTATCTCCAGGTGTAGGCTTATGCCCAGCATGTGACCCAGAAATCCAACTTCCGGGAATTTTCTTGGGGAGATAGACTCAAACATGGAAAAGACTTCATGTATAAAGATAGTCAGAGCAGAGTTTTTTATATTTGCAATGATGACAAATTAAGAAGCACGTAAGTGTTTATCTAGGAGAGTCCCTTTTCTTAAATCTAAACACTGGAATACTATGCAGTCATAAAAATATTCATGAAGAGCATAAAAACATTTGAAAAGCACTTGTTAGGAATGAAGTATAGTACTTAGAAAAAAAGAAAGAAAAAAGAATGAAAAGTGCTTGTTTTGTTGTTAGGCAGCAAGAACGGAAATGACTTTTCTTTTTCAGTTTTGTTAAATAAATTATACATACATGGTAATCTGTTTAGTATAAGGGTTTTCCACTGCAACTGAAATTATACTTAGTTAAGAGCTGTAAAAAAACAGAAATAGGGTGCGTGTGGTGGCTCACACCTGTAATCTCAGCACTTTGGGAGGCCGAGGAAAGCAGAACACTTCAGGTCAGGAGTTCGAGACCAGCCTGGCTAACATACTAAAACCCAGTATCTACTAAAAATACAAAAATTAGCCAGCTGTGGTGTCAGGTGCCTGTAATCCCAGCTACTTGGGAGGCTGAGGCAGGGGAATCACTTGAGCCCAGGAGGCAGAGGTTACAGTGAGCCAGGATTGAGACACTGCACTCCAGCCTAGGAGACAGAGTGAGACGCCATCTCAAAAAAATAAAAAATTAAAAAAAAATTAGTTACTTGTTTTCAGATTATTTATTGATTCCTTGCTTGTCTTTCCTACACAGGGTAATTGCAAATACATCAGAAACTAAATATAATGAAAATCATATGTTTTCTGATTGCTTCCATTTTGGAAGACAGTTATACAGTAGTGAAAAAAAGTCATTGAGTCTCTATGTATTTTTGATATGTACAGGCTGATTCAGTCTCTACTGATTTTTGATACAGGAGTTAAGAAATTATTTAGGCAAATAGTGAGGGTAAAGAAATCCTCAGTAAGATTTTCCTTTTAATGAAAAGCAGCCCCCAAATAATTTTCTTTTCCTGCAAAATCAGGCTGCAGACATGGACAAGCAAGCTGGAAGTTTGCACGGGTAAATGTCAGCCAACAGGAAAAGGCTACCTGGAGCTAGACATGTCCAATATGGAGGCTCCATTTTCCCTTCTCTTTGCCAGCCAAATGTACAGTAAGAAGCAGACAACATGGCGCCAGCCAGATGGAAAGCCCATTTGTATAAGATTAGGGTGGGGTGACCAGCCTTCCCTGCGTGCTGTATACATGTCATACCTGGTCCAAACAATCTGTGGGCCCTACATAAATCAGACACACCTTCTCAAGCCTGCCTATAAAATCCAAAAGGCCCTATCTCTCACGAGAGAGAGAGAGAGCTGTTCTCCTTTCTCTTTCTTTTGCCTATTAAACCTCTGCTCCTAAACTCACTCTGTCTGTGTGTCCATATCCTTAATTTTCATGGCATAAGATAACAAACCCCAGACAGCAACACTGCTTAATTTTTTAAAACTAATTTTATAACCTCTGCAAACACAAGGCCTTAAAAAATTGGTTAAAGCTCAGAGTAGTTCCTCTCCACGGAAATCTTTAGTAAAAGGTGAAAGATTTATGAAATATTAAGGAAAATCAAAGTATTCAATCTTCAACATTATACAAATATGGCCACCATCTTGATATTTGATTCTTAAAACTGTTTTGATTCAAAATGCAGAACTTCTCTTGGTTAAAACACTCCATCAACAGAACATGTTAAGGAGGTGCCAATATAGTGAGACTCCATCTCTACAAAAAAAAATTAAAAATTAGCTAAGCATGGTGGTGCATGCCTGTAGTCCTAGCTACATGGGAGGCTGAGGTAGGAGGACTGCTTGAACCCAGGAAGTGGAGGCTGCTGTGAGCCAAGATCATGCAATTGTACTCCAGCCTGGGTGACAGCATGAGACCATCTCAAAAAGAAATTACTCATGGGATAAAACTTTGTTCCACAGAATTCACAAAATACAACCGTGATCAAAGTCACTGCTGGGTGCATCTCAGGCAGTTCAGTATTAAAAGCCTGTGGTAGGAAGCTGAGGAGGACGGTCCCCAGAGGAGGCTGCTTTGTATCAAAGAACGATAATAAAGGGCAGGAGTCCAAAGACCCAGCTGTGAATGTCCCCCACCCTCAGCAGAGTCCCTCCCAGCTCTGGCACTGGACTGGATACCTTGCCCCTTGTGATTCACTTCCTTTGCTGCAATCACTTTATTCAAGACTGAAGTGAGTGGCTCATTCTCCCCAATCACGTGTGATGTTATCAAGGGCGACATGATGATCTGCCTCTGGCGGATGTAGGTTTCCATCGCAATTCTTGGGAAAGAGAAATAAGAGATAAGGTGGGAGGGGAAGAAAGGAAGTCTCTGCAGCACAACCTCAGATAACAGTGCGTCTTATGAGAATGATTTGGAAATATCACCACTAACTACACCTATCTTTCTATCCTTCCTTTATTTTTCCATTGACAGTCTATCTTAAATACTAAATTCACCTTGGAAATGACTTGAGGCAAAGAGAGAGAGAGGAAAAAAAACCCCAAGAATACTCGAAACTGGTGATCAAAGGTTAGCAACTAAAATCAGAGGCAACGCTCCAGGCTCTTTCAGAAGCAGAAGAGGCTCCTGCAATAGAATTGAAGACAGACCACCCACGGAAAGGGCAGGAGCCCTGGTCTCCAGGTCTACTTCTACTTGAGTGAGCTCTGCAAGAATCTCCCTTTGGGCCTCAGTTTCTTCATCTGTAAGAGATGGGCTGAGATCCCCTGCCTGCTAAGGCTCTTGTCTAGTGTCAGCCCCCCATGTACGAGCGCAGTGTGTACGCCTGGTGTCTGGTAGAGGCTCTCAGATTTCCATGTGATGACAAGCTAGATCTTGGCATGGGTGCTGCCAACCAAGCTCCACTTGAGGGATCCTATCAGGCTGCGGCTCGTAAAGGCTGATCAAAGCAGCAAACACAGCCCCATTCTACTGAGGGCAGAAGCACTATCAGCAACTGCACATCAGCCTGGTGCAGGACAACAGTCTCCTGTCTTCTCTCCCCACTGCATGTAGGCCAGTTTTCTCTGCAGGGTTCCCTGTATCCTGACAATAAGACACACTGCCATACGTGACTGGCAAATGGGATTCCTATAGTCGTGAGTTTCTGTTTTTTACACATGACTTTTGATAAATGGACTCGCAAGATACACATACAAAACTCTCCTACTGGAAAACACTGTAAAGTTTTTGAAGTAGGTTATGGCAGAACTTGCCATAAATCTTACGCGTTCAGTGCCAGAGGCTACAGTCTGCATAGTAAATACTTCACTGTGGCTGCTGGCTGCACAATGAGCGGCAATAACATTACGGCGGGGCTCATCAGGGACTCAAAGTGCAGATTACATGGTGAGGACAATCTCAGGACTAAGTACTGGGATATGGTTGCTGGAGGAAAGCTGGTTCAGAAATTAAGCAGGAAGCACATCACCACCAGCAAATATACAGATGACTGTTTCAGACACCTTTCAAATCCATGAGTGCAACTCCTTTTACGTACATATACACATACATATAATCTTAAATGTAAACATAACACATTTATAGTACTATTATATATTTGGTACATTTATATTTATGATTATATATATTTATGTTTATTCAATATACAGTCATATGCCTAACAATGTTTCAGTTAATGACAGACTGCATAAATGACTATGGTCCCATAAGAGTATAATGGAGCTGGTCAGGCGCAGTAGCTCACACCTGTAATCACAGCACTTTGGGAGGTCGAGGCAAGTGGATCACCTGAAGTCAGGAGTTTGACACCAGCCTGACCAACATGGTGAAACCCTGTGTCTATTAAAAATACAAACACTAGCCAGGTGTGGTAGCGCGTGCCTGGAATCTCAGCTACTCAGAAGGCTGAGGCGGAGAATCACTTGAACCCGGGAGGCGAGGTTGCAGTGAGCGGAGATCACGCCACTGCACTCCAGCCTGGACAACAAGAGGGAAACCCCATATCAAAATAAAAGGATTATAATGGAGGTGAAACGTTCCTATTGCCTAGTGATGTTATAGTTGTTTTAACATCTCAGCACAACTCACTATCTTTTCTATGTTTAAATATGTTTGAAGACACAAATACCATTGTGTTACAATTGCCTGCAGTATTCAGTACAGTAACATGCTGGACAGGTTTATAGTCTGGGAGCAATAGGCCATACCATACAGCCTAGGTGTGTAGCAGTCCATCCATTCCAGGTTTGTGTAAGTGCACTCTATGATGTTTACACAATGACAAGACAGCCTACTGACACGTTTCTCAGAATGTATCCCTGCCATTAAGTGAAGCATGATTGTATTTTATGTAACATATTATATTTAATATATTTATAAATTTAATTATATTAACTTTGTGTTAAACTTAATATATTTATTAACTATACTTATTTAAACATATTTATATATTATACAATACATATTTACATAGGTGTGTGCATATAGTGTTTTATATTACACACAAAACAAAACAAGAGCAGTATTCATGGAGATGAAAGTCATCACATAATATTAGCACTGTGCTACAGAAAACATTTGTCTCATTTTGGTAGGTCAATATATAGGTGGTAGCATACATGGTAAGTGCATTTTATTTTTTAAATTATTTTATCTATTTTTACTTTATATTTTATTTTATCTGAGGCAGGGTATGGCTCTGTCACCCAGGATGGAGTACAATGGCCATATTTTAAAACTCATAGCAGCCTCTGGATAAAAGAGAGAAGTACTGCTTAGCATGAGCTATTTCCACTATTATGCTTAGAAACTGGTCCAAATGTACAGATTTCACATTGAAAAATTAGTATTTTTATATTTTATATATTGAATATAATACATATTTTTGTATAAAAAATAGACAACAGGAAAACAGAAACAGGAGCGAAATCACCAAGAGTTACACCAACAGAAATAATCACTGCTAATCATGGAGTACATTTTTTGAAATATCTAAATTTTAAGGCTGTTAATGCATTGTTACAGTTTATATTCCTATAAGTAATGTATGTCTCCTTATATCTAACCAAATACTAAAACTTGGTCAAGATCAAAACTAAACCTTGATGTTTCAATTTGCATTTTACTCATCCTCAATAAATGTACACCATTTCTCTCTCTCTCTCTCTCTGTGTGTGTGTGTGTGTGTGTGTGTGTGTGTGTGTGTGTTTGTATTCCCCTTTAGGTCCCTATTGAGTTCTATTAATTCTCCACATATTACAACTACTCATCCTTTCTCATACACATTGCAAAGATTGCATTGATTTTTTTCTATGCATAAGTTCTTTACAATTTTTGGATGGTTAAACCTATCAATTTTTCTTTTTTGGTTGAATCTTGAAAATGGCCCTCCCATTACCGGCCTATAAAACTTCTATTTTCTTGTTAATATTTTAAGATTCTAGCTCTTACAGTTATATGTTTAACCATCCAAAATTTAGATTGGCATTAAGTTATGAGACTGGAATTTAACTTAGGGATCTTAAACGGCTAGCTAATGTTCTCTAAACATATTTTTTTTTTTTTGGCATAAAGTATCTCTCTCCACTAATTTGTGATATCATTAGTAAAAAATGATATATTAACTCAAATATATGATTCTGGTTGGTTTCTGGAGTTCTCAGTTTGTTCTACTTGTCTGCAGTGGCAGCTCCAAGTGAGCAGAGATGACGCCCTCTGACTAGCACGATGGCCCCTGGTGAGAGCTGGTCCCGGCTGTGCTCTCGGCCTTTGCTAGGCCTTTACCGCCTGTGCAGGTGCTTGAGCAGGTCACGACATACACATCTGCACTTCTTCAGAGTGACAAGGCTTGCTCCCAACAGCTCCCCAGTGGCCTACCCATGGCTCCAGCTCCTGCAGCTCACTATGGAGGGCCTCAGTAAAGCTCTGCAGGGATCCTTTCACACAGTCCCGGGCTGGCTTTCCCCCGACATGGAGGAACACTGGCCCACGGGTGAGTCAGCCCTTCGCTCTCTCATTTCCTCAATCCTTGCTACAGACAGTGTGGCCCTCAGACCAGCTGCATCAGCATCACCTGGGAGCTTGTCAGGGGCAGAATTCCCCTGCAGCCTAACAAGCTTCCCCAATTCATATGCATGACACAGTCTGAGAAGCCCTGTGCTATCCCACGTGATTCCGAGTATTCCATGATGCCTGTTTCATGCAACAGACTCCACAGATACTTCAGCATTTCTGACGTAAAGACAGTACCACTCTCTGCATTCCAGGGCAGACGGACATTTGCCCTTTTCATATTCCTTTGGTCCTCTCTATAGAATCAGGAAAGTTCAGGTTACCCTCTTCCATGGGAGTCCAACATCAAGGACTTTGAATAAAGTCTTCTGTCCAGCTCCTATCTGACAATCTTTCAGCTTAGAATCTTTTCTTTTCTCAGAAAATGATTTCTAGTACCTGTTTCTGTGTTAACACATGATTGAATGGCTAATCCAGGTCTCAAGTCACCTGGGATACATGCCAAAGTACTTACTGCTGAAAGGGAATAAAATGCTGCTTTTCTTCATCATCCACCTTCCCATGTATGATATCAGTAATATCCATCACTAGGAAAAAGATAAACTTCATTAAAGAAACTAATTGCTTCATGCCTCAGTAAGTTACTAAGGAAAAGGACAGTATCAGCAAACATAAAATGCTAGAGGAAGAAAGGTAACAAGCAGGGACTTTTCAAAAAAAATTCTTTACCAATGATGATTTCCAGTGTACCCAGCCCAGCAAAAGAGCAACTCATGAGATGCTGAGGGTCTGGGTTTTACTGGATCAATTTTGCAGATTACCCACTTTCAAACTCTACAAGATCAAATTGCTAAATTCTTTCTTTTTTTTTTTTTTTTTTGAGACGGAGTCTAGCTCTTTTGCCCAGGTTGGAGTGCAGTGGCATGATATTGGCTCACTGCAACCTCTACATCCCCTGTTCAAGCAATTCTTCTGCCTCAGCCTCCCAAGTAGCCGGGACTACTACAGGTGCATGCCACCATGCTCAGCTAACTTTTGTATGTTTTGTAGTATAGACAGGGTTTCAACCGTGTTAGCCAGGCTGGTCTTAAACTCCTGACCTCAGGTGATTCACGTGCCTCGGCCTCCCGAAGTGCTGGGATTACAAGCATGAGCCATACAAACTTAGCCTGAGTTGCTAAGCTCCTGAGAAATTTAACATCAGGTTACTTTTTAGTAAGTCTGGAACAAGGGTCCAGTAGCAGAATTACATTTCCTTGATCATTTGCAATCTATGAGCAGCCAAAATGTCAATGTAAGGCCCAAAACGCATTTCCTCAATTGAACAAACTGTAGAGGCAGGTTCTGGGGTTTGATGTAAGCCAAGAAGCCTCTTGGAAAGAATTCAGAAACAAACACAACATAGTCTTGAAAGAGTAAATTTCCTAGACAGGCAAAACACTTCCCAGAGAGTATTTCATCCCACTGAAATCACAGACTTCAGCAGATGGAGACAGGGAGGATTCTGATAGTCACAACTGAGGTTCTACTGTGTATAAGACACAGTGTTGGTCACTAAAGGAGAAAGCAAAGAGTGTGGGCCAGGTTGGGACACAGAGCCCACGGAAAAAACCTGGCAGTGCCAGGCATTGTCTGATACTGATGATGACAACGTGATCCATCTCTCACTATTTCTTCCCGTCCTCCTTCCTCCTTCCCTGCCTCTCTCTATTTTCAAAATTGTAGCAAAACACACATAACATAAAATTTACCATCTAGCCTATTTTAAAGTATACAGTTCAGTGGTATTAAGTGTATTCACACTGTTGTGCAAACATCCACACCTTCCATCTCTAGAGCCTTTTCATTTTCATCTTCTCAGATGGAAACTCCATACCCATTGAACACTAACTCCCATTCCCCCTCTCCAGCCCTTGGCACTCATTATTCTATGCTGTTTTTGACTACTCTAGGTGCCTCATATAAGCGTGATAATACAATATTTGTCCTCTTGTGTCTGGCTTATATATTTAGTGCAAAGTCCTCAAGGTTCATCCACATTTTATGTAGCATGTGTCATAACTCCCTTCCTGTTTAAGGTGAGTATTACTCCGTTGTACATACACACCACATTTTCTTTGCCCATTTATGCACTGATGGACACCTGAGTTACTTCCACCTTTCCCCTATTTGTGAATAAGACTGCTACAAACTTGGATGTACAATTATCTCCTCCAGATCTTGCTTTCGATTCTTTTGAAGTGGGGCTGCTGGATCATTTGCTAGTTCCACGTTTCATTTTTTGAGCAATCGCCATACTATTCTCCACAGGACTGCGCTATTTCACATTTGTCTTTAGGTCTCTCTCGTACCTGCCACTCCAAAAGGTCTTCGGAGTCCGCAGGTGTGCTTCTTGCCTTCCTTCAGCTCCATGTGGCCGACACGGACAATCTGGCACACGAGGCTGACGCGGGGCCGGATGAGGTCCATGCTGCTGAGGTCCTAAAGGGGCAGAGAAAGTGTGAGAGGAGGTGCAGCTGGGCCACTCTGTCACCCGTGTCTCTCTTATCTTTACCCTCTGCAATAAAATACTGTTCAGACCTTATTTCTCAATGCTGAAATACCAGAAAGACTCTCTTCTTCCCCATCTCCCTCCAAGAGCACTTATGGCCTCAGAGAACATGACTTTGTGCTTATAAACAAGGGCCTTTTTGTTCCCCAGTTCCTACTCCAAATTTACAAATTAGATCACAATCCATCGGAAGTCTCCGGATCATCAGGTTAAGCAGGGTACTGAAAAACCAGGGCCCTCATCATTGCGACTGTACATCCTTCCTGGACAAATCTCAGCATAAGACGCACTACAACTTCAAATGAAATAAAAACCTGTGTGACACTGACATTTACTGGGTATCCACATAAGTCTGTGACATTTCATTTTCTCTTCAAAACAAGCCCGTGAGGCAACTATAAGACAGGCACTGCTTTATGGTATTATTCGCCTGATTTATGAGAGGTCTCCATTGAAAGCTTATCCGTGTACATAGAATCATGACAGATGTGCCGATTAAACATGCATTTCTCTTGTAGCTAGGGCTCTACATTTGTTTGTATCATTTCATTGTTTTTTTCCTTTTTTTTTTTTTTTTTTTTTAGATGGAGTTTCACTCTTGTTACCCAGGCTGGAGTGCAATGGCGCGATCTCGGCTCACCGCAACCTCCGCCTCCCGGGTTCAGGCAATTCTCCTGCCCCAGCCTCCTGAGTTGCTGGGATTACAGGCACGCGCCACCACGCCCAGCTAATTTTTTGTATTTTTAGTAGAGATGGGGTTTCACCATGTTGACCAGGATGGTCTCGATCTCTTGACCTCGTGATCCACCCGCCTCGGCCTCCCACAGTGCTGGGATTAGACATGAGCCAAAGCACCCGACCATTATTTGTATTCCTAAGGATGGGTGAGTAAACCCAGGCATGAGCTGATATCTCTCATTCAATTCAACGTCACAAAACAATATAATCACATCTCAAATTGGTTATATGAAACAGTTGCCCAAGGCCTCTTTACTGAAGCAAGAATCACTTTTAAAATACTCATTCCAAATCCAGCCCCTGTAATTTAGTTAACTCAGGTCTCCAAGATAGGAATATACATCAGTGATAACATGCACCCTGCATTTCTGCTCTAGGTTCTGCAAGGCTTCTGTGAATAGAAAAATAAAGACTCCAGGCGAATGGTTACATATATTGTGTCACATTCATAGAGTAGTCTCCCCTTATCTGTGATGAATATGTTCTGAATTCCCCCGGTGGATACCTGAAACCAAAGACAGGACCAAACTCTATATGTGCTGTTTTCTCCTATACATACGTGATTATAGTTTTACCTTTTCACTTAAAGGAAGCACTTGGTGCTTGTCTTTGGCATATCCAAACCGCCAGCATCACTCCTCTTGTACTTTACTTTGAGGTCATTTTCTCTTTTTGTACTTTTTTAGTAGAAACAGAGTTTTACCATGTTGCCCAGACTAGTCTCGAACTCCTAGGCTAAAGTGATCCTCCCACCTCAGCCTCCCAAAGTGCTAGGATTAAAGGCGTGAGCCCCTATGCCTGAATTGATTATTGTTTATTATCTGTCTTACCCATCAGGACAAAAGCTGCTTTTTTCCCCTGACTTTTCATGGATGTGTCTCAAGTGTCTAAATCAGTGTGTGGCATCTAACATGTGCTCAGTAAGTACATGTTGAATAAACGGGTGGATTATTCCTTCTAGGGGGATTGATGATTTTTCATCTTTTCATTTTGTATGTCTTCCACATATTCATTATGTGAATCTGCTCATACCATAAACAATGAGAATGACTGAACAGAGGGAGGACTTACAGTAAACACTGCTTGGAGGTTATTGAGCTTCTCTATTTCCTTGGGCATCCCGTTACTGCCCCAACGAATTAGATAGTTCTCACTGGCAAAGGAAAAAAAATTACTCTTAATGAGAGGCTAACTGGGGCTGGAGGCGAGGCTGCCCTTAGTACAGACTTACAAGGGAAGGAGGAAGGGCCAGAAATGCTCAGTGAAATTCAACAGGCCAATGTGAAGAGAGCTGAGTTAGGAACTGAGCCCACACAGATGACCACTGTTGGTGTCCCGGCATTAGAGAAGCGTCCTTGCTGTGGCTCTGCAAGGCATGCCCCATACAGGTACAGGACACGCCCTGCTCCCGATGGGCAAAGACACCATAGAGCTTATGGGATGCTACTGTCTGGGTCATCCTTCCATCTAAAAATCTTTGAATAAAAGTTTCAGCTTTGCTGAATTAAGAATTTAATTTTAGGCTGGCATGGGGGCTTATGCCTATAATCCCAGCACTTTGGGAGGCTGAGGCAGGTGGATCACCTGAGGTCAGGAGTTCAAGATCAGCCTGGCCAACATGGAGAAACCCTGTCTCTACTAAAAATACAAAAATTGGTTGGGTGTGGTGGCAGGTGCCTATAATCCCAGCTACTCGGGAGGCTGAGGCAGGAGAATTGCCAACCCGGGAGGCAGAGGTTGCAGTGAGCCGAGATTGCGCCATTGCATTCCAGCTTGGGTGACAAGAGCGAAACTCTGTCTCAAAAAATAAAAAATTTATAAATAAGAATTTAATTTTGTAACATTGATTCCAAATCTATCCCCTGTAATCCACATTAAGACATTAAAAAATTATTTTTTGAAATAAATTGTCAGCAATTACTTTTAACTATCTTCTCAAAAATAAATTCTCCATTTTCCTAGCTGCTAAACAGTAGTACTACTCTAGGGCTGAATAATTCCCATTCCTTAGAGTCTTAAAAAAAAGTTTTTTGAATAGACATGATTTTCTTAGGGCAGTTGTGGCTCTGCAGAAAAGTTGAGCTGAAAACAGAGTCTCATAACATATTCTCTCCCCTCAGACACAACCTCCTTTGCTATCGACATTCCCTCGACCAGAGCGGTAACATTAGCTCAAACTGATGAAGCTGCATTGACTCATCATTTACGCAAAGTCCACAGTTTACATAAGGGTTCCCTCTTGGTGTTGCGCATTCTGTGCATTTAGACAAATTCATAATGACATGCATCCACCACTATAGCATCATGCAGAATAGTTCCGTTGCTCTACAGACCCTCTGTGCTCTGCCTGTTCATCCCTCTCTCACCCTCCCATGCAGCCTTTTGAATACTTTGGATCTCCAAGTCCTAATGAGATTTATGTGATCTCTAAACCCCTGGGAGTAGACAAGCTGGCCACAATGTGCCAGTAGTGACATATGAAGGCTTCTTAGCCCAAAGGATTTTACATCCTACTACTTAGAAATCTTCCCCACTTCCCTATTTTCTCTTCTCCAATCTGGCAGAGAGCTGCCCAGGTGGGAATCAGGGGAAGGCTGGGTATCTTTGCCAGGTCAACAGCAGGGATCTGGGTCTCTGCTACCTGATAAAAGTGGACTGGTCTGGGTCATAGAGGGCCATAAACAACTCTGCATCTTCCCCGATGTTGCAGACGAAGTTCTTGAAGTTCACATAGAGGCCATAAGTGTGGATAGAACTGAAGATGGACTGGCCCCTCAAGTCGAGGTTCTGCAGGATTGACTAAATGAAGAGGGAAGAGAAAAAAACATCTTGGTTTCAGCAAATGGGAAATGTTGGCAAAAAATAAATAAATAAATATATATAATGTATGTATAATATATAAAAATAAATAAAAATAAATAAATAAATAAATTATATATATATATATATTTTGCCTGCAAATGGCAGACAAAGGCTGGGCACAGTGGCTCATTCCTGTAATCCCAGTGCTCTTGGAGGCCTAGGAGTTTGAGACCAGCCTGGGCAACACAGCAAGCCTCTGTCTCTACAAAAACTTAAAACAATAATTAGCTATGCCTGTAGCCCCAGCTACCTGGGAGCCCAGGAGGCTACAGTGAGTTAGCTATGATGGAGTCACTAAACTCCATCCTGGGCAACAAAGTGAGACCCTGTCTCAATCAATCCCTTGATTAATCAATAAATAACAAGGAAAAAAACACAGTCAAATAACACCTAAAAGGGAGTGTATTTGCTGAGAATAAGTGCATGTAAGCAGACAAATGCAATGAGCAAAATATAATCATTATAATTTTAATAACCAAGACTGTCCTGTTCAGGGCCTTGCACCCAAGACATTCAAAAACTGCTGTCGAAAGGGGGTAATTCCAGAGATTTGGTAGCTCCCAGAAGTGCCTGTCTTACACAGCAGCTTCTGAATGAAGCTCAAAAGCAAAAACACGATCCACTATCCTGGACACAGAAGTAACTCTCATTCAAAACAAAACATTCCACTGGAAAGCCTTTACTTTCAGGCGTGGTTTGCCATTGAGGCCTGGATTCAGAACACAAATATTATCATGACTGTGCAAAAGAAGTAAACACCACAAACCAACAAACCAAAGAAACCGACACAAATCTTTATTCATCAAAACAGAAAGACTGGGAGAAAAACATATACAAAATGTCACTATGTTTGGGTATGAGAAATCAAAATATGAGTAACAGGGTTTTTGTTGTTGTTTTCAAGAGGCACAGAGTCTTGCTTTGTTGCCCGAGCTGGAGTGCAGTGGTATGATCATAGTTCACTACAGCCTCAAATTTCTGGCTTCAAGCAATCCACCTGCCTCAGCCTCCTGGGAAGCTAGGACTATAGTAATGCACCACCATGCCCAGCTAATTAAAAACAATTTTTTTGTTGTTCAAATGGGATCTTGCTTATGTTGCCCAGTTGGTCTTGAACTCTTGGCCTCAAATGATCCTCCCACCTCAGCCTTCCTAAGGGCTAGGATTATAGGCATGCCCCATCATGCCTGGATTCTAATTTTTCTTTAATGTCCAGTTATTACTTTTGAAGTCTTTCAAACACTTTATTTAAAAATATTATTTATTTTAGTCTCGGTACAGTGGATCATACCTGTTATCCCAGCACTTCAGGAGGCTGAGGTGAGTGGACCACTTGAGGTCAGGAGTTCCAGACCAGCCTGACCAACATGGTGAAACCCCCTCTCTACTAAAAATATAAAAATTAGCTGGATGTGGTGGCAGGCGCCTGTAGTCCCAGCTACTTGGGAGGCTGAGGCAGGAGAACTGCTTGAACCCAGGAGGTGGAGGTTATAGTGAGCTGGTATCATGCCACTGCACTCCAGCCTGGGCGTAGTAAGACTCCGTCTCAAAAATGAATATGAAAATACAAAATAAAAATAAATAAATGTTATTTATTTTGGAAATTGCAATATATGCAATGACTGCAGGAGATTACATATTTTAAAAAGTCTCTCTCCCACTCAGTTTTCCTTCCCAGAAGCATCCATTAATAATGATTTATTTCTTGTCTCTTATTTCAGAGTTAGTCTATATATATGCAAGCATAGATTTATATACTTTTTTTGAAACACTAATAATAGCATTTTATATATACCACTCTGCATCCTTATCTTTTCATTTAATATGTATCTTTACAATCTTTCCATATCAGAACATACATATACCTGCCTCATCCTTTCTGCTATGCTTCCCTTTAAAAATGAGGACAAAACTCCAGAAGTAGTTTTGTTGTCAATGATTTCGCCGTCTTTCATTAAAAACCAATGCAAAAATGGGGCAGAATTTCACATGTGGGGAACTCTACCTTCTCTTCTTGGATCTTTTCCTCAATCCTTTTGGAGGCTACCTCATGGGCCTTGAAGAGGGCAATGGTGCTGGTTTTGTCGGGGTCTAGGATGTTCCCATTGTCATCTCGCACCACCAGGTCTAACCCCAGCATTCTGGAGAGAAAGGAGCAGTCAGCTGGTTCTCCTCACCAGGGGCAGACTTTTTACTGAAGAATCCTCGTCAAGGAGCCCAGGGGATCCATAGCTAGAAAGGGAGGTGCCGGACAAGCCCAGGGAAGCACAACTTACTGACCTTTCTCATTTCAGTTTATGCCACCTTTCCACATAACACCGCCACAAAACTCATGAGATGACGTTAGCCAAAGTTGTAGAAGGATATGCAACCATGGGCCAGAGACCCTCAAGAGAAAAGTAAAATCAGCGCTAATTCTGACTAAATTCCTCTGGCTAATGCTTCTTACCTGTAATCTTCTGTTACTATAAAAAGGAACTATGAAATGAAGTAAACATAGCACACAAAACTCAGATTCAACCTGTGTTTAATAAACTCTCCTTTGGCCAGGCGCTGTAGCTCACATCTGTAACCGCAGCACTTTGGGAGGCCGAGGTGGGTGGATCACTTGAGACCAGGAGTTCAAGACCAGCCTAGGCAACATGGTAAAATCCCGTCTCTGCTAAAATACAAAAATTAGCCAGGTGTGGTGACACATGCCTGTAGTCCCAACTACTTGTGGGGCTGAAGTGTGAGGATTGCTTGATCCCAGGAAGTTGAGGCTGCAATAAGCCAAGACTGCACCACTGCACTCCAGCCTTCGTGAGAAAGTAAGATCCTGTCTGAAACAACAGACACATACATACATACCTCCTATATACATTCCATATACATTGATTGATTATAACACCATGAGGTAGGGTGGAGGTAACTGTTATTATTTCCATTTTATGAGTAAAGAAACAGACGAAGTAGGTATGGTCTCGCTGTTTATTACATTGCTCTGAAGGACCAGTGAATAATCATTTGAGGGTTTGCCTTGATTTCCTTACTTAATGCAAGGTGGTCACAAAGGAGATGAGTGAAGTAAGTCCTGGCTTGTTGCTATCTCATGCCCAGAGCATGGGCTCTGGTGTCATTTAGACCAGGATTTGAATCTTGGCTTGAGTACTTGCCACCGCTATGACCTTGAAGAATTTACTTAATTCTGCAAAACTTTGGTTTCTTCATTTGTATATATTCCTTATCCTTCAAGGTAAGGAATTTTTTTTATTTTTTATTTTTTTTAGAGGCAGCCTTAAATTCCTGGGCTCAAGCAATCCCCCTGTCTTAGCCTTCCAAGTAGCTGGGACTACAAGAATACATCACCATGTTCAGCGAATTAAAAAAAAAAAATTGTAGAGATGGTGGTCTTGCTATGTTGTCCAGGATAGTCTTGAACTCCTGGCTTCAAGTGAGCCTCCCATCTTGGCCTTTCAAAGTGCTGGGATTACAGGCATAAACCATTGCACCTGGCCCTGTTGTGTTAATTTAATGAGATAATGCATGTAAAGCACCTAAAACAATATCTAGCATACAGTAAGCTCTCAGTTTAAGCATAAATGTTAGCTCTTGCTATGGTCTGGATCTGTGTCCCCACCCAAATCTCACATTCAATTATAACCCCCAATGCTGGAAGTAGAGCCTGATGGAAGGTGACTGGATCATGGGACTGGATCCTTTATGAATGGTTTAACACCATCCCTTTGGTACTGTTCTTATGACAGAGTTCTCACGAGATCTGGTTATTTAAAATTCTGTAGCCTGTCCCACCTCTTTCTCTCTTGCTCCTGCTCTAGCCATGTAAGACATGCCCACTTCCCTGATTGTAAGTTCCCTGAGGCCTCTGTACAGCCTGTAGAACCATCAACCAGTTAAACCTCTTTTCTTACAAATTACCCAGTTTCAGGTATTTCTTTATAGCAGTGTGAGAATGGACTAATACAGCCCTTATTGCAGCAACTGGTAGAAGCAAACACCTGGCTGTGTGTGAAGTTGGGGCCGTGCATGTGCTTGGGAACAGTAAGGGCCATATCGTGAGGGCAATCCCTTTCCTCAAGGCTTTTGTGCCCAATGTGTACACAGAAGTAGAAAAAATTTGCTTAGGCTCAAGACATTGAGGACTGTGGTGGAAACAGGATACTGCTATCCGAATACCCAGCATGCATTCCAGGCACCAAACAGCAAGACCGCTCAGCAATAAGCCTGAAATATGCCAAGTCTTTGGGAAGAAAGCAAAAATGCCTCCTTTCCCTCCTCCCTGTTCTACAGCAACTCCATCAACTGATTTGATCTGGCAGGTTCCTTTCCATGGCGGCCAGACCCACAGGCCACCCAGACTCATGAACAACGGCCATGCTGGCTGCTTGGAGAGTGGATCAGGAAGGCACTGACACAGAAGCTCCATTTCCTGAGCTAGTTTCAAGAGCTGGAACGGGAAGGCAGGCATGTTCTGCCTTTTATGGGGTGTGAACATCCTGTGTCAGAGATCACGGGACTTCCAGGCCAATGTCATGGCAAGACATCAAATGACAGACGTGTCCTATGCACAGTGGGGAGCTGCCTTATCCCACCTAATTGGCCTTTTATTTATTTATTTATTTATTTATTTATTTATTTATTTGAGACAGAGTCTTACTCTGTCACCAGAATGGAGTGCAATGGCACAATCTTGGCTCACTGCAACCTCCACCTCCCTGGTTCAAGTCATTCCTGTGCCTCAGCCTCCTGTGTAGCTGGGATTACAGGTGTACACCACCACATCTGGCTAATTTTTGTATTTTTAGAAGAGATGGGGTTTCATCATGCTGGCTAGCTTGGTCTCAAACTCCTGACTTCTGGTGATATGCCCACCTCAGCCTCCCAAACTGCTGGGATTACAGGCATAAGCAACCTCACCCAGTCTAATTGCCCTTTTAATAAGTCCTCTGACACCATACGCCTGGCAGTGTGGTCGCTGTTGGTATGGTCTTCTGGGTGGTCAAATAGTAGGTGAGGGAACTGTTAATTCGCTCTCTCTTTTTTTTTTTTTTTTTCTGTGACAGAGTCTCGCTCTATTGCCCAGGCTGGGGTGCAATAGTGCAATCTTAGCTCACTGCAACCTCTGCCTCTTGGGCTCAAGTGATTCTCCTGCCTCAGCCTCCCAAGTAGCTGGGACTAAAGGCATGCGCCGCCACATCTGCCTAATTTTTTTTTTGTATTTTTAGTAGAGATGGGGTTTCACTATTTTGGTCAGGCTGGTCTTGAACTCCTGACCTTGTGATCCGCCCACCTCGGCTTCCCAAAGTTCTGGGATTACAGTTGTGAATCACTGTGCCCAGCCCCTGGAACTGTTAATTCTTAACCCTAAGAAGGCAGCATTAGACATGGAGTCAAAAGTAGTGGGTTCAAATTTAACCTTTCCCATTTATTATCTATGTGACTAGGAAGTAAATCACTTAAACTCACTTGGTCTGTTTCTTTATCCATAAAATGGAAATAATAAAAGCCATCTCAACCCTCTGTTTTAAGATTATAATCAAGTAATGGATATGAAATGGGGGACATAGAAGGTGTTTCCTAATACCGGTTAAATCTGAATCTTGCATGTCATGTTCACTTCAGTTATTTCAGAATATAGTTGTCAGAGTCTATGACATTTAAATAAGTGGGATAATAATCTGCATTTTAATAGGTCTCTGAGGGATAGCCAAGAATTCTGAGATTGGAAATGTAGGGTAGAGGAGAAGGAAAAAGAAATGTAGGAAGGAAAAAAGAAATGCACACGTTGAAGAAATGTAGATAATGAAACTAAATTCCAAAAGAATCACCAATAACAGCTAATCAAGGAACCACTTCTGCCTTTTAAAAAATAGGTGGTCAGGAGGCAAAAATCCCAGGCCACCATCCATTTGGAAAAATGACTGAATTTCTCGTTTTCCTAAAGGTGATAGTATCTGGAGCCTACATATTGGCCTGAGTTAATCAGAAGATAATGAAGTGATTAACTCTGTAGAGGTGATTGCAGACAAGATCCACAGGCTACAAACATGTTACACCACTCCTGCAAGCCTGCTTTTCATGCACAGTAAACAATGGTCTCGGTCAGGAGGAGATAAAGAGAAAGAAAGAGAATGAGTCTGGTATTGATTTAAAATCCACTATTAGAATAAAAATAGATACAGTCCCAAGTATCTGAAAATGTCAACTTCAGATGCTTGGTCATTTTCAGTGTTTTTATTTTACTTTAGTTTTTGAGACAGGGTCTCACTCCGTTGCTCAGGCTGGAGCGCAGGGGTGCAATCATAGCTCACTGAAGCCTTGAACTTCCAGGCTCAAGTGATCCTCCCACCTTAGCCTCCCGAGTAGGTGAGACAACAGGTGTGTGTCACCAGACCCGCCTAATTTTCAAAAATTTATTGTAGAGATGGGGCCTCGCAATGTGGCCCTGGCTGGTCTCAAAATACTGGGCTCAAGCGATACTCAAGCAAAATCCTAGCAAAGTACTGGGATTACAGGTGTGAGCCTCTGTGCCCAGACAGGTTATTTGTTTTCGTTTTCTTTATTTGGAGTAGAGCAGCTTCAATCCAAGCCCCATCTTTCCTGGTCATCTGTCACCTCCATGGGATCAGAGATTCAACACAGGGCCTGGCCATGGAGGGGACTGTGACATCTTTTTCAATGAAATTAAATGTCTTCAAAGACAAAATGAGAGCAGTAAGCATGATTCTTTGGCAACTCTAAGATCAAAAGTCTACTGCAAACAGTGTCATTAGCGTGAATGGGCCCATTGTTTGCCAAGTTTTCAGTGAAAAGACATCCCTGGTTTGCCTACCGGTTCCCATGATCAATTTTGGCTGTGACTTTCTTCTTGAGCTCGGCCAGTTCATCCTTGGGGAGCGTCCCAGACAGGATCTGGGACCGCCACTCGATCAGGCTGTACGTCATCTGCTGCAGCTGGCGGAAGAGGGTGAGCTTGTTGTTCTAAGATGAGAAAACAAGATGGAGAAAAGATTCTTAAAAAAAGGTGTGAGAGATGATGGGAACATCCTTTGTTTATTTGTTTGTTTTTAACAGGAATGTCAGACAGAGGAGAGGGAACATCTTTTGGCCGATTCTTTTTTTGAGATGGAATCTTGCTCTGTTGCCCAAGCTAGAGTGCAGTGACACAATCTCGGTTCACTGCAACCTCCACCTCCCAGGTTCAAGAGATTCTCCTGCCTCAGCCTCACGAACAGCTGGGACTCCATGTGTGGGCCACCACGCCCAGCTACTTTTTGCATTTTTAGTAGAGACGGGGTTTTATCATGTTGGCTGGTCTCGAACTCCTGACCACAAGTGATCCACCTGCCTCAGTCTCCCAAAGTGCTGGGATTATAGGTGTGAGCAACTGTGCCTGGCCTGATTCTTTATAAGGTGTTATTTAATCAATCAGTTGTGTCATACAGTCAGCTGCATGAATCCAAGGATTTTTTAAAAATACATTAATAGGGATGGCTTTGTCCCGAGCCATTTCTACACCCTCCCCTCTTGCAACTGTGGAAGCCGGTGATCACAGGGTGGAACAATGGGTCATAAATCACAAACATATCAAATCATCCACGTACCCCAAAACTCTAGCCATGCCCTTCCTGGGTTTAAAGCCCTCCAGCCACAGTGGATCACACGCGATCCTTCCATATCTTGACTTTTACGCACATTCCCAGCTGCATTTCACACCAGTCTCCACCCCAACCATCTACGTTCCCTTCCATGCAAAGCCACGTCCATTTCTCTCTGAGGCTCCAGATCCTCCCAATATGTTATTTCGCCTTTGGCTCTCTTCCTCCAAACCTACCCCCACCCCTATCCTTTTCTGGCTCGCACTACACCCTCTGCCAACTGGTAATTGTGACTTCTTCAGTCTCAACTTACATGTGTCTACCTTGAAACTTTAACTTCAGGTTAGTGGTCCCACCTTCAGTGCCCAGAATTTGGTCCCATGATAGCAAGGAGAACCCTGGGTTACACCGGCTCATCTGCCTCCCCACTTAGCTGGTAGGCTCTTACAGGACAGACAGCTTGTTCATTTGTGTGTCCCTAGTATATAGCTGGTACAAGTAGGCGTTCTAGCAAATGTACTAAATGAGTGAATTATGAATAGAGAAATAATTATAATTTCAGAGATAAGAAACACTAGACAATATAATTTAAAATATTATTTTCAAGTCCCCATTTCCCCAGACAATTGTTAGCCCATTCACATGAAACTGTTAATCTTGGTTTCATTAGTGACTTACTGTAACCAAGTAAATTACCTTACCATAACTAATCATCTATTTTTCAATCATTTTAAGAATCAATCACTTTATATCTAAGCCATCACAACCTTCTAAATCATGCTTGTCCAAACTGCGGCCCCGGGCGGCTTTGAATGCAGCCCAACACCACTTTGTAAACGTTCTTAAAACATTATCATATTTTTTTGCAATTTTTGTTTCTCAGCTCATCAGCTATCATTCGCGTTAGTATATCTCATGTGTCGCCCAAGACAATTCTTCTTCCAGTGTGGTCCAGGGAAGCCAAACGATTGAATATCCCTGATCTAAATGATTGATTACTTCATTTTAATTTTTTTTTTTTCTTTTTTTGTGAGACAAAGTTTCCCTCTTGTTGTCCAGGCTGGAGTGCAATGGCATGACCTTGGCTCACCACAACCTTCACCTCCTAGGTTCAAGCGATTCTCCTGTCTGTCTCCCAAGTAGCTGGGATTAAAGGCATATGCCACCACGCCTGGCTAATTTAGTATTTTTAGTAGAGATGGGGTTTCTCCATGTTGGTCATGCTGGTCGCAAACTCCCGACCTCAGGTGATCCGCCTGCCTCGGCCTCCCAAAGTGCTGGGAATAGAGGCATGAGCCAACTCATCTGGCCTGTATTAATTTTTTTTTTTAAGTCACTGAGCATCCACTATGTACTGGTTATAAAGTTCCTGCCCTCAAGGATCTAACATTCTAGACAAGGAAAGACAGTTTATATATAAATAAGTTTATATTATATATATTAATATTAATAATATAATACATATGAGTATTTTGGATGTATATTATAAAAATATGTTACATATTAAGTAAATACATACCCTATATGCTATAACATATTATAACATATATAACATATCATCATATATGTTATAACAGATACGGTATATATTTATATATACCCTACTATATTTTATATATAATATATACACACACGAGATAATTTTTGATAATGAAAAGTGCAAGAAGAAAAATAAATACGGCAATCTTACATATACGGGGAAGGGTGTTACTTTAGGTAGTGTTCAGAGAAAAGTCTTTTGTATATCTCTTTTGAGGTAAGTTAGTTAAATAAAATCCCACAGAATTCCACTCAATCCACATATAGTATGAATCCATTTCTTTCTTCTTTATAGTTTAAAGTCATAATATAGTTAGTTAATGATATGCTTTGAAATTATTAGAAAGCATTCTTCTTATCTGCTATAAAAATAAGGCACACTGGCTGGGCATGGTGGCTCACGTCTGTAATCCCAGCACTTTGGGAGCCAGAGGCAAGAGGATCACTTGAGCCTAGGAGTTTGAGACCAGCCTGGGCAACACAGTGAGATCTTGTTTCTGTGAAACAAACAACAAAACCCAAAAAACAACACACACACACACACACACACACACACACACACACACACACACACACAGAGATGCTGACAGTTGTACAATGTTCTCCAGCGATGTTCTTCTATAACGATCCCAAGGACAGAGATGCCTACACCCAAGTATCGACTAGAAACAGGCTGAAAACATCCAAAATACTCCTTAACAAAGAATAAATGAGGAGGGAAGAGCCCTAGGTATAAAGTAGGGGGTAATGAACAAAACAGAGATTAGCAGAGTGTGATAAAACCCTAACAGTGGTTCAAAGTCCTCTAGCAACACAAAGGAAAGAGATGAAGAATCCATTTCTCTGTGATTACAATATGCTCTCTTAACACCACTGATCTTACAAAACAAAGAAAGCAAAGCATGTTTAAAATTCTAAAACTATCTACATTTACTGCTTTGAGCATTTTCTTAATTGCGTCTTCCTCATCCGCCAGTCTGTAGTAAAACATAAAAACGAGGCTTTTAAAGATATTATTTTTAATAAGCAAAGGTAAAAACCCTGCTCTTCCCCTTCAAAATCCTATATAAAATGTTTCCATTTATTTTCTTCAAAATTGGAAAAAGAAGTGGGTAATTAAGCCTACCAGCTTTTGCCTTTCAAAACTGCTAGGCAAAAAGAGTCTCTGTTTTTCTTTCTTGCAATGCATTTGTCCACTCTTAGCTATTTAAAATGTTTTCTAATGTTAAGATATTGCTTCTCATAATATGGTAGAGAAGGGGTTCAAAGGCTCAGAGGATCCTCTGTGTGAGACAGCGCTTTGTTTGGGGCATATGTGCACAAGTTCTTAGTCTCAATTATATTAGACACTATCCGTGGCAATTTAATTATTGCCTGTCCATACCAGCCTTGTCTGCCAAGTTCTTCCCCCAAGGAAGGATGAAGAGAGCCATTCTTCCTTGTGCCAAGTGAGTTATGTATAGACAAGCTAGAACACACCAAAGGAAGCAATTTCCCCATTTACTTCAAGGAGGTGGACTTTGTTGCCACATTCCTAAGAGCGTTCTAAGCAAGATGTTTTGCATAATAGCTGGTCCCTAACACTTCATGAGTTTTGGAGGAAGCATATAAGGACAAGTGAAGAGAAAAGCAAACACTCAACAAAAGAACATGGGCTGGCCAGGCACGGTGTCTCACGCCTATAGTCCCAGCACTATGGGAGGCCAAGACGGGTGGATCACCTGAGGTCAGGAGTTTAAGACCAGCCTTACCATAAGGGCGAAACCCCGACTCTACTAAAAATACAAAAATTAGCTGGGTGTGGTGGTGGGCACCTGTAATCCCAGTTACTCAAGAGGCTGAGGCAGGAGAATCACTTGAACCTGGGAGGCAGAGGTTGCAGTGAGCTGAGATTGTGGCATTGCACTCCAGCCTCGGTGACAAGAGCGAAATTTCATCTCAAAAAAACAAAAAAATAAAAAAATATATGGGCTAAGCTCCTCTGAGGCTCTATTTTCTCTCCAGTTGTCCTCCGTTCTTTCTCTTCTGATCCTACACTGGCCAGGCCTGCCTCTTGCAAAAGCCTTCTCGGTTATCTCTCGTCTCCATTCAGCCTTTTCTGCACTATCAGCCATTGTCACATCATCCAAGAATTTCTATGACCCTCTCCACAAAAGACAGCACAATCCTAAAACAATAGGGACTCAAAAACAAACTTTGACCTCTCAAATTTAAAATAACACTCTATAATACTCTGCTTTCAATTTGAGTGAAGAAAGACTCCACAAAATAAGTGAATCTAAATTTTTTTTAAGATAGCAAAGACATTTCTGCATTTGCTTAGAATAAATTCTCTCTTTTCTACTTGTAGCTACCTGAGGCCTCAAGGCCTCAATTTTTATAGTTTTAGTCCAGATATTTATACCTTTTTTTTTTTTTCCCCTGAAATGTAGTCTCACTCTGTTGCCCAAGGTGGAGTGCTGTAACACAATCTCAGCTCACAGCAACTTCTGCCTTCCAGGTTCAAGTGATTCTCCTGCCTCAGCCTCCCAAGTAGCTGGAATCGCAGGCCACCACACCAGGTTAATTTTTGTATTTTTAGTAGAGACTGGGTTTCACCATGTTGACCAGGCTGGTCTTGAACACCTGAGCCTAAGTGATCCTCCCGCCTCAGCCTCACGATGTTTATAACTTTTTTCTCCTTTTTTTTTTTTTAGAATATCTAGAGATAAACACAAAGTCACAAGAAAAACAGCTTTGCCTTCAATACTGAGCGGAAAGCAGGGGTCATTCATTGAGTATTACAGAAATTTGAGGAGCCATTTCGATAATGGCCCCGCTGCACTGGGTGTCAGAAAACCTGGA